TTACCTTTTCTTCTGGGTCTCGCTCATTGCTCTTGTATTTACCCAATACTAACGCCACCTCTCCTGACTCTTGCCTACGCTTCCTCTCAAATCGCCTCGAGCTGCTGATCATCATCATCATCACCACAGTCGCCCATACGCTTCCCCCTGCACTACAGCTGCGTTGGAATTGAGTCTGTTTCTGTTTTCACTGTCCCCTAGATACAATTCCCTCTCACTTCCTTGTCGTGTTTTGAATAATAATAATTATAATGATAATATATTCCCCAGTAGCGTAGGCACGCTTGCCTTGCTGCTTTCTATGCCTTTACAGAAACCTGCCTTCGCTTGAAGCTCTCCCAGACGCTTCGGCCTGTACCTATGCCGACTACTTGGTCCTTTCGTGAACTGTTCAACGTTCATGTGCTCTGACTATACACTCATCTGCTGAACGCTTACGCTCTTGAGGCGCTGTTCTTGTTTTTCTTTACTCCTCATTCTCTTCGGGGTTTCCTGCTTGTTTTTCTTGCTCTTTGCTCTCGTCGCTGATGGTTGGCTACTTCTCTTTCTACACACCTCACACTTTGTCCAAGACCAGACGCTTACACTGCCCTTCCTTGTCTCAACCCTTACGCTTCCTGGCCTCACTCACTTAAACGTTCCTCCCCGGTTCCCTAACCAGTTCCCTTAAATGCTGATTTAACAAACCGATTTAACAAATCGAGTCCTCGTGCGACGCGCTTTCTAACAACCTCTAACTCAAGTGCGACGCGTAGAACCCTGCACACTCTTCAATAAAGTGCCTCAACAACTAACTGCGCTGCTTTGTTTTCTTTCGATTATGTTCTGTATCCGTGGTCTTCTTCTTTGGGTATTTCTTGATGTGCGTCGCTTTTTTGGCTCAGAGTTTCTCTTCCTCGACGCTGACACTAACGCTACCCACCAGCACCACCCTTCCAAAACGTGCGTGTGATCTCTTCAACTTCTTACTGCGCTTACTACATGGTACTCAGCAATGCCCTTTGAGCACGATACCTTACCGCTACATTTGCGCGTCCTTGACCCCCTCCGCTTTCGTCACTTGCTATCTGCCCGTGCACTCACGTGTGTAGTGGCTGTCTTCAGGTTTTTCTGTCAGAGTTTGTGCTCCTCCATAATTCCTTCTTAATCTGTCCATGAATGCGTACTGACTGAGAGATTTGAAAACTCGCGCTGATCGGCGCTCGATCTCGCCGGCCCGCGAATTCTTCAGAATCACTTGATCTTGAATTAGTAGTTCTGCTCTGCTTGCAGTCGGAAGTCGATCTTGCAGTCATTCGTCTATTCACCATCATCATGGCGATTCTATATAGGCACGACTCTTGTCTGTTAGTTTACTTTCTTCTTTGCACTTCGTCTTTCTTCACTTGTTTGTCGCGCCTTTGTTCTTTTTCTTGTCATCTGTTCTTCCACCTACCCAACGCTGGCCCTGTTCTGCTCTGTTGCGAGTTATAAGTCGCGCCTTTGTTGTTATATTTATAAGTCGCGCCTTTGTTGTTATATTTATATGATTTCTGCCCTTACTCTTACCGAGTGCGTTGACACTTTCTCTCCTTACTTTCGGTCCTATTCCCGCGCTTCCAAGCCTGTCAAACTCCTCCTCTTCATGCTTCCTCGCTTTTGTTCGGTCAAGTTTCTTAGACGTGTCAGGCGCGTCTAACTTTACGCTCCTCAACCGAGTTCTCAGCCGAGTCTTTCACTAACTACTACTAAGTTCCCGGACTTTACTTTAGATAAACTCTCTTTAGATAAACTGTCATTCCCACCTGCTGAGTCCAGATTTCTATGGGCACTACACAAACCGCTACACAAAGCCAGTCTCCGAGAGTGTGTCAAGCCCGTCAATAAACGTTCTGTTTCTTGACCTCCACACTCCTCCTCCTCCTCCTCACCTCACCTCACGCCGCACCTCCTCTTCAGCTCACCTCACGCTCCATCAACGTCGACGCTGAATTGGCCTCCTTGCCTACTCCTCCTCTTACCCTCTTCGTTTCTACACTCCTCCTCCTTCATGCCGGGGGGGGTAGCAAAAGCCGCTGCGCAGTTATGCAATTCTAGTGAGGGCCAAGTGTGCTCCAACAGTGTACTAATCGTGGTAAATCTCGTTTTACCACGATGATGGCTGTCAAGCGGCGCTGCTTACAATGTTTTTTTTCTGGAGTAAGGGTTTAGTCTCCATCTATCGCAGGCGTTATAGGCCTACTTCTCCCTTAGAAAGCTCGATGTGAACAGTTCTTGTCATAGTCTACTCAGCGTCATAATCGTAATCCACCTCACCACTGTTGTCCATCATTACGGCCACTGTCTCATCTCATTGTCTTAACAATGACTGAACCAAAGACGCGATCAACTTAATATAATCTGAGGGTCTGAAACAATGATGTCAGGCGAGTGAGTCAACTCGGCTATGTTACTGGTTCGGGATTAACTAAACTTTAATGTGGCATATAAACATAATAATAAATTCACAATATTTCACTCAATAGAGAAACAACAGCAAGAATACAGTAACGCTCCGACTCCTTAGTACACATAACGGAAACTCGGGTTCTCCTTGTCAGTCAAATCATCAAACGCGTTCTCCACATTCGCTTCGGACGCTCTCCAGTCCTCGTCCTATAAAGAGTCGTTAGAGGGCGTTGATTTAGTAACGTAATGAGCAGAAGCACTTACCTGCAAAGCATCTCTCTTGGCATTCTCTTTCTTGAGGTAGAACCGCAAATAGATGAGAGTGCCATAGATAACACCATAGCATCCCATATGGACAGAAAATCCGGTGACGTATCGAGGCGCTTCGGATGACTTGAAGACCTGAGGTCCGATCATGTTGCCAACAGCCCAGGCCAAGAAGAGAGTGGCAGAGGCAAGCGACTTCTTTGTCTGACCGGCGACGTTGCGAGCAAGCATACTCATAAGAAGAACCATCATGCCCCAGAAGGAGATGGTGGTCCAGTAGGCAAACAGGAGACCGATGCGGGTCGAGTCATTGACAGGGACGGCTAGAGGGTGTTAGTAGTTGATCGCTGAGTACGATGAGCTGATATGATACGTACACAAAAATACAATGGTACCGACGATATTGGGCACGAGGTAGATCTGCATCTAAGTCAGCGTTGTTTGAGTGAACATGAGAGAGTTACATACCAGCATGAACAGGATGACACTCTTTTCGAACCTTCGCTGGAGGTAGGCAGCGCTGAGCATGAAGAAGACCTGGAGGGCGCCGTTGACCATAGAGAGTAGCTCGGTCTGCAGCTCGTCAAAACCGATACCCTTGATGATGAGAGTGGAGAATGATCCGAGACCGCCGGAGGGAATTTGGATGCTAGCAGAGTTAGTAGTGAGCGACGGAGTAATCAAGGAGCAACTTACATGACCTCAACAAATAAGTAGCACCAGATCTGGGGGTCTTTGATGAGCTCGATGAGATGAGCCTTCTTAAACTTCTTGTTCTGAAGACCGGTCTTGTTGGCACGGACGCGCTCGACCATGAGCATGCGCTCCTCTTCGGTGAAGCATTTTGCGCGCATGGGGGAATCGGGCATCCACCAGCCGATGAAGACCGCCCAGCAGCAGGTGACGCATCCGAGGAGGATGTAGAGGATCTGCCATGTCTTCAGGACGGTGGAGTTGATGTGGCTGATACCGTAGGCGATCAGGCCACCGCAGATACCTTGGATGCCGTTCTAGAGAGGTTAGTATCACTCAAGAGTGGAGAGCAAGTGAATATTCTTACCATTCCCTGCACAGATGTTAGTAGGTGAAATAATTATATAATTAAAAGAGCGGCTTTATGGGTGCTACTTACATACCAGCTGGCAACGATAAACGGTTGCTCTTCGCGTTTGTACCACATGGTCGAGAGGAGAAGGAAGGTCGGCTGAGAGACGGCCTCAAAGAGACCGAGGAGAACTCTGAGGGCGACTAGTTTGGGGAAGGTGTCTCCGAAGCAGGTCATGGTGATGACGACACCCCAGAGGAAGACGTTTGCGGCAAGGTACTTTGCGATGGGGACTTTCTGGACAAAGATGGCGGTAGGATATTCAGCGGCGAGGACACCAAAGTAGATGACGGTGTGGAGCCAAGAGTACTGAGCAGTTAGTCGCTGGATCAGACGTCGATATATCAAGAGGGAGACCTACATTCTGCCCAACCAAATGAGCATCCTCCTTGATACCCATGATGGCGGTAAAGTTGAGGGCGTTCTTGTCGAGCGACTGCAAGAAGTACGTTCCGAGCATGACGACGAGGATGCGGCCGTTGATCTTGTTTAGAAGACGTCTGTTGAGTTTTGAGTCGATCTCGACGGCCTCAGTAGCAACATATTTGCGCAGTTCCTCGTCGATGGCGGCGTGCTTCTGGACCTCGACGTCGTCGGTCGAGGCGGAGCCGATGGTCTCGAGGTGAAGAAGCTCGGGCTTGGGATTGCTCATGGTTGTTACGGTACGGCAGAGGAGAGGAGAGGAAGACGGTGGATAGGAAGGGATTTCGCGAAAGTGGCCAGAGTGCGATGGGCTTTATATTCTGTTGTTTGAGTAAGTAATTATCTCATGACCTGGAGATCAAACCTGGGGTTTTCCGCCAGGTTTTGCGGGGACGCGAGGTGGGGGTTTTCCGGGGCAGGCAACAAAGGGCGCCGCACGAGAATGCGGGGTGAGGTCGAGGTCGAGGTGGAGGTGTTCTACGGGCCATGCGAGGAGGAGGAGGAGGAGGTGTGTCATCTGCGAGTAATGCGAATGCAACAGAAGAGAAGAAGTTGGGGGCAGGTCCGAACAGGAATAAAATTAAGTGAATGCGCCAAGAAGTTGGGGGCAGAGTTCGGTGCTCGAGACTCCTCCTCAGCAGCGCGGCGAACGCGTCTTTTTCAATCGGCTGCCATCCCGCAGATGAATAAATTATGTGTTTTATATTAATTGTGCAGGGCCGTCTGAAACCTTCCCCTCAGCCAAGCAATTCGATCAAAGAAGCCCAGCACCTGCCCAGCACCACCTTTTCCGGCTGCTTTCTTTTCCGGTCACGGGACTAGTCCTCGGTCTTAGTCCGGCTTTAACAGCTGCTGCAGCTACTGCGATGTGGGGTCGACACTAGCGTTCGCTCTTATATATAACCCTCTATCTTGCTGCCCACTCTGTCCTGATCAGTTATCAGTCAGTCAATATCGTCAGTCCACTCACTCCTCCCATGGCTGACATCCTCGCGATCTTCACCGACCCCAATGGGGTTAAAAACACTCCCTTCGAAATCACCACTCACCTGAGCGACATGTCGATCGACGAAACACAGGCCCTCGCCCTCAAGCTCGTCGACAGTCTTGTTCACCTCAAGGACGAGTCTGGATCGTTCCGCGTCCCGCTGCCAAACGGAGGATTCAAAGTTGACTCGAAATCTTGGAACAACTGGGAATGGACTCAGGGCGTGGGCCTTTACGGCATGTGGGTGCTCTTTGAGATTACTGGCGACGAGTCCGTGCTCGGCCATATCAAGGACTGGTTTGCTTTCCAGTTTAAGAAGGGCACGCCTACGAAGAACGTCAACAGCATGGCGCCTATGTTGACCCTTGCCTATCTTTATGAGCACACTGGCGAGATCAAGTACAAGGCTTACCTCGAGTCGTGGGCCGAGTTCATCATGCACGGCATCCCTCGCACTGTCGGTGAGTCAATCTATGATTTAATTACTACATAGCAAGATCATCTAACAGTCTATAGAGCGCGGCATCCAGCACATTACCTTCAGACAGGCCAACGAGCAGCAGCTGTGGGATGACACTCTCATGATGTCTGTGCTGCCGCTGGCAAAGATCGGAGTGCTGCTCAACCGCCCAGAGTACGTCGAGGAGGCCAAGCGCCAGTTCCTGATTCATATCAAGTACCTGGTCGACAGACGCACGGGCCTGTGGTTCCACGGCTGGACATTCCTAGAACGTCACCACTTTGGCGAGGCATTGTGGGGACGAGGAAACTCGTGGGTGACGATTGCCATTCCAGAGTTCCTCGAGCTGCTGCAGCTGCCGGCGGACGACAACCTGCGCGTGTTTTTGGAGTCGACTCTCGAGCAGCAGGTTGCGGCGTTGAAGAAGTACCAGAGCCCGAGCGGACTGTGGCACACGCTTATCGACGACGCCGACTCGTACCTCGAGGTGTCTGCCTCTGCCGGGTTCTCCTACGGTATCCTCAAGGGAGTGCGTCTGGGCTATCTGAGTGAGGAGTACCGCGAGGTGGGAATGAAGGGACTCGAGGGGGTGGTCAACAACGTGAACGAGAAGGGTGTGGTGGAGAACGTGAGCTTCGGGACTCCGATGGGCGCGGACAAAGAGTTTTATCGCAAGATCCGACTGACGGCGATGCCGTACGGTCAGGCGATGACGCTGCTCAGCGTTGTCGAGCGCCTGCGCCAGTATTTGTAGGGTTTGGTCATAGATAGAGGGTGCGGGGTAATACATAGTCTGATTTTACTACTTTCCCTGAGCCAACGTAGAGAAAGAACAGGTGACGTGGGGGTGGACGCTTAAATTATGTTCACTGTTCAGAAGACGTGGGGGTGAATTCATGCTATTCTATGCTACACACTAAATATACACCCGCAAATACTCAGTCAAAGCCATCATCGCCATCGCCTGACCATACGGCATCGAGGTCAGCTTGATATCCTTATAAAACTGTAGACTGTCGCCCATTCCCGTGCCAAAAGAGGTCTGCAGCAGCTCGCCGTCGGAGCTGACGTTTGCGAGCACTCCCGCAATTGCCTTGTGCGCGACCGGCAGGTACTTGTTTGAGATGTAGCGTTTGCGGATTGCTTTAAGAATACCGTACGCAAACCCGGCCGTGGCGCTGGCTTCGAGATAGGCAGTGGGATCGTCGAGCAGCGTGTGCCACAGACCGGTCTCGCTGTCCTGGGTCTGCGCAAGTGCTGCCACCTGCGCCTCGAGTGTCTCAATCAGATATGTGCGTAGGAAGTCACCCTCAGCCAAGTCGACGAGCTCGATGAACTCGGGAATCACGATCGTGATCCACGAGTTGCCGCGTGCCCACCGCGCATTGGCAAAGTTGTGTCCGCCGTCGTCGAAGGTCCAGCCGTGGAAGAACAGACCAGAGGAGCGGTCAAAGAGATACTTGATGTGCGTAAGGAACTGCCGCTTGGCCTCGTTCACGTACTCGGGACGGTTCAGCACGAGGCCGATCTTGGCCAGCGGCATCACCGACATCATCAGAGTGTCGTCCCAGAGCTGATTGTGGTTCGTCGTCAGATAGGTGACGTGCTGGATGCCTCCGTACGGTGTCCGCTCGAGATCGTACATTGCCCATTCCGCCCACGCGTCGAGGTAGCCGAGGTATGTCGGGTTGGATGTCGCCGGGGTCTCGTACATGTACGCAAGGGTGAGAAACGGCGCGAACGTGTTGACGTTCTTTGTCGTCGTGCCTTCCGCGAACCGGCGAGTGAACCAGTCGGTGATAGTCGCAAGCACGTCGCTGTCCGCAGTAAGAGTGTAGTAATGCCACATGCCATACAGACCGATCCCGTGTGTCCACTCCCAGTCCTGCCAGCCCTTTGTGTCGATAACGCGGCCGTCCGGCAGAGTGAGCAGGAACTCGCCAGTCGTGTCCTTGATCTCGACGAGGTTCTTGATCAGAAGCTTGATCGTCCGGTGAACCTCCTCCGAGTGCACTCCATTGACTGTCGCTGGCATTGTAATATGATTAGTAAATATGATTGATATCGATGAAAGTAGTATTAGTATAATTGAGCAGCTGCGTCTGTTTATTTCATCCTCGAGACCCCTCCAACCCTGCACCCTACGCCCTATCTACGCCGCACCGGCGCATCTTCCTCCCGGCGCGCGACAAGGTTTTGCGGGGTTGCCCCTCTCTTTAGTCAATAGAAACCCTACGAAAACTCATTGTCTCACTCTCAATCTAAACCGGCGCTGAAGATCACCAGATGACACAGTTCGATGCGGAGACCTGGACCTTGAATGATGCGCCGATGTCTTGTATAAATCAATTGCCTCCTGCTCTCTCTATTCTCTCTTCATCTCCTCCTCCTCCTCCTCTCATCATTCGTTCACCATGACCGACGACAGAGCTCTCGAACACAACAAACTCGACGTCGCCCACATCGACGACTTTGATCACGTCCACGTCGAGCGCGTCGACAAAGAAGTCGCCCAGTACGTCCTCGACGAGGCCGTCGTTATCGACGACGAGACCAATTCCTACCTCAAACGCAAAATCGACCGCCGCATCCTGCCCGTGATGATCATCACCTACTTCCTCCAAGCCCTCGACAAAGGAACCCTGTCATTCGCCTCCATCATGGGCATCAAAGAAGAAACAAACCTCGCCGGCCAGGAATACCAATGGCTCACGACCTGCACCTACCTCGCCGTCATGATCTGGGAGTTCCCCACAAACTGGATCGTCCAGCGCGTGCCCATCGGTAAATACCTCGCTCTCAACATCGTCTGTTGGTCGATCTCCCTCGGCGCCCACGCCGCCGCAAAGAACTTCACTCACCTTGTCGTCGTCCGCACATTCCTCGGCTTCTTCGAGTGCTCCTGCCAGCCCATCTTCGTCGTCCTCTCCTCGATGTGGTACCGCCGCGAGGAGCAGGCCGCCACCGTCGCCTTCTGGTACATGATGAACGGCGGCCAGCAGATCGTCGGCGGCATCCTCGCCTACTGCTTCACCCTCATCCAAGGCGCCGCCCTCTACAACTGGCAGATCCTCTTCCTCACCTATGGATGCATCTCCCTCGTCTGGGGCGTCTTCGTCGGCTGGTGGATGCCCGACTCCCCCATGCGCGCAAAGTGCTTCTCCGAAGAGGAAAAGAAGCTCATGATCGAGCGTGTTCGTGCGAACCAGACTGGTCTGCAAAACAAGCAGTTCCGCCGCGAGCAGATGATCGAGGCCCTCCTCGACCCCCAGTGCTGGGCCTACCCGTTCGTGCAGTTCTTCACCGCGCTGCCAACCTCGGGACTCGGCGCGTTCGCAAACATCATCATCTCTTCTTTTGGCTTCACCGTCCTGCAAACCCAGCTGCTCGCCATGGTCCTCGGCGCCTATCTCATCATCATCCTCCTCAGCTCGGCCTGGCTCTCAAAACGCTTCAAGCAAAACATCTTCATCATGATCAGCTTCGTCATCCCCTCAATCATCGGCACCGTCGTCCTGATGACCGTCGTCAACGACGGCACAGTCACCCGCAGAGCTGCCCTGCTGTTTTGCTACTACCTCACTCTCTCGTTCTGGGCAGCTTCCACCCTCGGCCTCTCCATGCTCTCCCGCAATGTCGCCGGCCAGACCAAGAAAACCACCGCGATCGCAATGAACTTTGTCGGCTGGGCGGTCGGCAACACCGTCGGTCCGCAGGTGTTTCGCACGACCGACTCCCCGCGCTATATGACCGCGTTTGGCGTCCACATGGGCTGCTATGGCTTGCTCATCATCATGCTCGTCGGGCTCAGGTTTTGGCTCGTGAGCCAGAACAATAAGAAGGACAAGATGTTACAGACCGGAGAGGCCCTTCCTGATGTCGATCTCACACATGCCTTTGAAGATCTCACCGATCGCGAGAATCCCAACTTTCGTTATCTGTTTTAGTAGTCTGCGATGTTTACAATAGTAGTAAATGAATTGATTTCACGTGACACTCTACCCTCTCTCATACAAATCTGAACCCTCTACAAAGCCCTGGACAGTCACACACTACCAATGTGACTCGATTTGTGACTATCATGTGACTAAAATAGAGTTTGTGTCCTGGTTGTTTTTTTTTCTCTGTCGTTGCGCTTCTTTTTTTCTTCTCTTTTTCAATCTCTCGACTTCTCCACCTCAACGCCTCGTCTTGACCATCGCTCGACTTTCCATCCCACTTCTTAGTTTCGATTCTTTGATCTATTAGAATACTTCAACATGTCTGAGGAAGCCGTAAGTTTCTCTTTTGATGATGGCCCATATCACTTGCCTGCTCGTCCTGCGCTGCTCGGTCTCCTGCTCGAAACAATGAATGAATGCAGAAATTTCATCTGTCTCCTTCGCTCTCTGCGCTCCCATCCACATCTACCTCAATAGTTGAATCTCTCATTACGACGAAAGATCGAAGATTTCTTGTTTCTTGCAGCCTGGCAGTAGCTGAACGCAATACGGACGATGTCGTTTGAGGCAAGAAAAGTCTGCTAACACCACCTCTCCAGAACCAAACCTTCGAGTCCGTCTCTGCCGGTGCCTCGCTCACCTACCCCATGCAGTGCTCTGCTCTCCGCAAGAACGGACACGTCGGTATGTCTTGCGCACAAAATCATATCCATACTCCTCACCGTGCTTAGCTAACTGTAAATTTTTTCATCCCAGTCATCAAGGGACGTCCCTGCAAGGTATGTCAATCAATCACATTGTCTATTCGTCATCTCAAGCATCTACTAACTTGTCTCCCAGATCGTTGACATGTCGACCTCCAAGACCGGAAAGCACGGTCACGCCAAGGTCCACATGGTCGCCATCGACATCTTCACCTCCAAGAAGCTCGAGGATCTCTCTCCCTCCACCCACAACATGGAGGTCCCCAACGTCACCCGTACCGAATACCAGCTCGTAAGTTACTCAAAGACTTTATTCATCAGACTTTTTCTCATCTTTTGAGCACCTCACTAACAACTCACCCAGATCAACATCGATGACGGTTTTCTCTCCCTCATGACCCCTGACGGAGCCACCAAGGACGACGTCAAGCTCCCCGACTCCGACATCGGCCAGAAGCTCGAGACCGAGTGGGAGGATGGAAAGGACCTCATCGTCACCATCATCTCCGCCATGGGCGAGGAGGCCTGCATTGGCTACAAGGAGGCCCCCAAGTCCTAAATGTTCAATAATTAACCTTCTTTACCTCCCCTTCTCTTCTCTTTTTGTGAGCTCTCTAGTCTATGCTACTCCTTAGTCTTTGATTTTGTGAGCTTCAAAATTATGCAAGCTGGCTGGGTTGGCACGGGCAGACTGTCTCTATATCTTATGTAGTTTTGCTGTCACCTTTTATTTTTTTGTCGTATTATGTCTGGTTAGGAATAAAAATTCATGCTCTGTTCTTATTATATATTATCTTCTTCTATAGCCATTTATTTCTTTTGGTTGTATCCAATAGTTTAATCGATTTGAGTAACTACTTATACTGTTTGAGAATTCTTAATCGAATACCATCTATATCCCTTGACGAGAGTCTTAGAAATGTCGATCGACCACGACTCTGCTTGACTGAACAGTATCTCGACAGCAGTATGAAGGACTGTAATATCAACATCTTTTATACATGCAATTCTTGTAGTAACAATCATCTCATCACTGAAATCCTGATAATCGATAAAGTTGCCTCGACGCCGAGCCGCGCTGCACGTGGTGCAGTCAATAAACACGCATCCACTGCCGCACCTCATCATCTCCTGCACCTTCCCTACGGCACGCGGCTGCTGAAAGCACAATTCATTCCAGATCGTCGCTTTGGAAGTAATTATCTACAATGCAGATCTGGAATTCCACCAGACGAACACAGCGGCAACCGGCCGGCGCTGCTCGCAGTGGAACCGGAACCCCTCAACCCCCGCCGTCGTCTGCGGCACAACAACAACAGCAGCCTACTCTTCTACAACAACAGCAAAGAGCGTCGCTCTTGCAGAGATCTCCCCTTCCTCAGACTCCTACAAGACCGGCGCCGTCTACCGCGACTCCTCAGCCTTCACCGTCTCCCGAGAAAGGAAGCGTCAAAAGGTCGGATGTGAAGGTAGATCCGCTGGCTGTTCTTGGCAGGATTCTCGACAGCGATAGCTCTTACATCAAGGCAAAGGTCTGCTTTCTTCTTTCAATTTATTCAAAAGAATATTCTTGCTTATGGACAATGCTAATGCTGCATCGCAGGTGGAATCAAAGTCTCCCGGCTCGAAACCGCGCTCAAAATCCGAATCCGAGCCAGCGGACGTGTCTGTTCTGATACGGAAGATCGACGGCGACGCGCTAGCGAGATTCATAAAATCCGACACCTCAGCGGAAGACCAAGATATAGCCGCCTACCTCGAGACTCTGGAGAAGCAGAGCAAGTCTACCCCGTCAGAGTCAACAGACAGCAGCGAGCAAGAGAAGCAAAATATAGCGGCCGAGTATGAGCAGCAAATCGAGCGATTCAAAGACCTGCATGTGTCGATTCAGAAATGCGATTCAGTCCTCGCATCGGTTGGCGATTATCTCTCGCTGTTTGAGAAAGATCTTGGCTTGCTGTCGTCCGAAATCGAGACGCTGCAGAACCGGTCTATCTTTCTCAATCGCCGGCTTGAAAACCGGAGAGAGGTCGAGACAAGACTGGCGGCGCTCATTGACGATATACTGATTCCACCGTTTGCCATCAAAAAGATTCTCACAGGAGAAATCAACACTCAATGGATCAGTCTTATTCAAATTCTCTGGACGCGGCTCAAACGCATGGAGCTCTTCAAAGCCGAGGCGCAGAAAATCAGTCAGTCGGTCGCTTTGATCGACGAGATTGAGCCGGTGCTAAAGATGCTGGCTGACAAGGCGGTTGAGCGGATTCGCGACTTCTTCGTGGCAAAGATCAAAAGCTTGAGAGTGATCAACACAAACGCGCAAGTGATTCAGTACAGCATCTTTCTGAAATTCCGGCAGCTCTTTGCCTTTCTGGCATATGTCAACCCGCAGCTCTGCGAGGATATCATCCAGGGCTACATAAACACAATGCGATGGTACTACTCCAGCGATTTCACGCGCTACGTCAAAGCACTAGAAAAGCTAAAGATCCGGTCAATCGACCGGTCGTCTCTGATCGGCGCCGAAGGGAGCAAAAAAATTCTCTCTTCCTCGCGTGCCCAGTACACGAGCAGTCAACGAGATCCGCTCACGCTCGGGCGGAGAGTCAACATCATCTTCTCGACCGACAGTTCGGTGATGATGGAAAACTCGGCCGAGCAGAGCCAGGACGTGCTCTGGATGGAGATTGGATTTAGAAGTTTCAACCTCGCGCTCATGGATAACGTCTGCGCAGAGTATCTCTTCATTGTCGACTTTTTCGCATTCAAATCGCCCGAGCAGCAAGCGCATATATTCCAGGAGATCTTCAAGCCCACGTTCCGCATCGGCGAGGATTACGTCAAAAAGCTGCTTGAACTCTCACACATGGACGCCTTTGGGATCCTGCTCTGCATCCGCATCATCCAGCTTCTCGAATTCGAACTCCAGCGGCGGAAAGTGCCCGTGATGGAAGGCTACTGTCACGCCATCAACATGGTCCTCTGGCCCCGGTTCCAGCACATCATGAACGCCCACTCCGACAACCTGCGCATGCTCTCCGGTAAACCCCCCGCCGACGCCGGCACAAGCGGTCTCGGCCGCAGCGCGTCAAACGCAATCAGCGGACTCTCCGCCATGCTCTCATCCACCCACGTCTCTTCCGCGCTTCCCCACCCCGTCACCCAGAAATTCGCCACCTTCTTGAACGGAATCCTCGAGCTCTGCCCCGAGGACATGGAGTCTGAGCCCGTGTCTGTATCGGTCGTGCGTCTGCGGAACGAGTTCGAGGCTTTCCTCACCAAATTCAGCAGCAAGATCACCGCGCCTCAAACTGCTGCTAGTGGGAACTCACGCGGCGGCGCGGATGCAAAGGAGACTGCAAAACTCAGAGAACGGTTTTTGTATAATAACTACATGGTTGTCTGCACCGTCATCTCGGACGCGGAAGGTACTTTGGCGGATCAGGAGAGAGAGCATTTTAGAAAGCTCGCGGAGGCGTATGGCGCGTCCGCTACTTGATTTGTATATATGTTTAGGAATACAATTAGATTTAGTATTATTATTTACTTTAGATTGTTACATTAGTATATAAACTCTTCAATATGCAAGAACAAAAAAATAAGCAGATAGATTGTATACAGTAGAGCAAATCAGTTATCTTTGCTGGAGTCCTCCTTCAAAGTAACGATTCTGTTAAAAACAAGCTTCTCGTCGGTAGTATCTTTATCGACGCAGAAGTATCCTACTCTCAGAGCCTGGAACCTCATGCTCTCAGGTCCCGCTCCGGGCTTGACAAACTTCTTCTTAAAGTCGTCAAAGCCGATCTCAATCACCGCGTTTTCGCACAGCTCGATCGAGTTGGGGTTGATGTCGGCAAGGTATCCGTCCGGGTTGGACTCTGGGTTTTCAGAAAGGAACAGGCGGTTGAAGTTTCGCACCTCAGAGACCTTGATTGGCGAGCTGTGTGCGGCGGATTCGGCAACCCATTGAATGTACGTCTTTGGCTTCACCTTCTTGTCGTTCTCGTACACAGCTCTGATCTCGGTGATCTTGCCCGTCGCGGGATCTTTGGTGAACGATGTGACCTTGACAGTGTACGGAACCTTCAAGAGGCCGACCGACTTGCCCGGCGCGAGACGGAAGTAGTCCGCCGAATCAACCTCTCTGAAATCAGAGCGATCGATAAAGACCTTCTTTGTGAACGGAACAGTGTGTTCGCCAAACTCGGACGCGCCAGGTTTGTAAGGCACGGCAATCTCCTCCACGTAGTCGTCCGGCAAGTTCTCCAGAATCATCGGGATCGGGTCTGGAATCAGCATCAGTCGCGGAGTGTTGTCTTCGAGGTACTTTCGCACCGAGGACTCGAATCTGGCGACCTGGATGTTGCTGTTTGTCGTCGTCACGCCGAGCTCGTTGACAAACGAGAGAATGGCTTCGGGGGGGACGCCGCGTCGTTTGATGGCCACCAACGTGAACAACCGCGGATCGTCCCAGCCCGAGACGTAGTGTTCTTTGACAAGTCTAAGGATCTTGCGCTTCGACATGATTGTGCCGGTGATGTTCAACCGGCCGTACTCGCGCTGCGCGGGCTTGTACACGTCGAGCGCATCGCAGAGCCATTCATACGACTGGCGCGACAAGTAAAACTCAGTCGTGCAGAGCGAGTGGGAGATGTTTTCAAACGAATCACACAAACAGTGCGTGAAATCATACGTCGGATAAATCTTCCACTTGTCGCCTGTGCGATGATGGGTCGCATTCAGCACGCGGTACGCCACCAGGTCCCACATTTGCGGGTTCGGATCCTCCAAATCCATCTTCATCCGCATGGTAGCCTCGCCCGGGGCGTACTTCCCGTCACGCATCGCGCGGAACTCCTCGAGAGACTGCTCGACGGGCTTGCTACGATGAGCGCAAGCGATTCGCGGGCCGCCATGAAGACCACGGTTGTTATGGACTTCTTCGGCGGTGCAGAAGCAGACGTATCCCTTGTCGCGTCGGATCAGCTCTTCTCCTAGATCGTAGAGCTCCTGGAAATGGTCTGACGAGTAGGTGATCTGGTAGGGCTTGTACCCTAGCCAGGTGATGATGTCGAGAATCGCGGTGAAGTACTTCTCCTCCTCGGCCTCGGGATTGGTGTCGTCGTAACGCAAGTAGCAGATACCGTCGTTGAATTTCGCATAGCCAAAGTTGATGGCGATCGCTTTGCTGTGTCCAATGTGTAGGTACCCGTTAGGCTCTGGAGGGAATCGGGTGACGACTTTTCCTCCGGTGGCCTTCAAGTGCTGCTCCATCAGCTCAGGTCTAGTCTGCTCGTTTCCACCCGGCTTGTGAAGATCGCCCAAGAATCCCTCGGTGAACATGTTGCGAGCTTTCTTTGGCTCGGTGGACGCCGCCGCGGCGGCAGGCGTCTTTTCCTTCTTTGTCTTCTTGGGCGGTGCGTCGCGCTCGTCCTTCGGTCCTAGAACTTCGAGCAGCTTTGCGTCGATCGCGAGCTTGACTTCACCGGGTGCTGCCCACTTCAGTCCTGGAAGGCGCTTGATTCCGGCCATGAGGCTAGGAATCGACTTGTAGCGATTTGTGGTGATGGACTCCTTGTTGGCCTCGAAGTATGCTGCAATTTCAGCTTTGATCTGTTCCGGTGTAGACTCCTTGCCTGTCAGAGTTTAACTACGTTAGCATGTCTAAGATCACTAAAGGGGAAGACGAGCACTCACCGACACCAGCGGCTTCTTCGAGATCAGAAGCGTTTGCTTTCTCGCCAGCAGATTTGATGTACGAAACAGCACCTAGAATAACACACAAATCAGAATAAGAACGTCAGAGAGCGAAAAAGAAGAACTGTACTCACCATCAAGCTGCACAGATGATTTGATTTTCTTGTCCAGGATCGCGTTGATCACCAGCGGTCTGGCAGCCAGCACGCTCGGATCCGCCACGTCCTTGGTAGCAGACGCCAGCGACTGAAGCAGCGCAGCAGAGGTCTTGTCTTCAACCGGTGAAGTCAGTCCTGATTCCTGCGCGACGGACGAAAGGGTGGCGGCCAGTTTCTTGTTTTTCAATGCGTCGGACAGCTTTTGATCGCTGAGACCGAGCAGGGCCAGCTTCTCTGAGAGATCGTTGTCGGCCATTACTGTTCTCGATAGATTCTCTTCTCTAAGACTCCAATTGATATTCGCCTTTTCTATAGAAACAAAGGGAACTGACGGGGTTGGACTTTGATCAGCGAAGAGCCAGGAATACTTCAGGAACTTATACTCTGCCGGTCAATTTGCGGCGGCTACCAAACCCGTTCAGCGTGACTAACATAGTGATCACGTGTGCAGTCACGTGGTCATAATAGTTTCCGCAAGAAGCACTAGGAAGGAACATTTCGGCTTGTGATATTAGATAAACGTCCTATATTCTTAATTAAACTATTGTTACTGATCAACTGATGCTCTCTTGTGCATGGGCTCAATGCGAGACACGCAAAAGCGCTCAACCGATGTAGAAACACGCTATAATATACACCAAAACCCATTGGCCTAATGTTTGACAACACGGCCTTCCGAAAACAGAGAAAAACAGACAAGAAAGAGACAACACTGATTATTATTAAAGCGTGTTGCCCCTCACAATAAAAATACAAAAAAGTCGAAAGAAATAAAGTAAACATATCACTGTCCTGCCTGTCCCATCTCGCCCATGAACAATTGCACAATAAAGTTACACCACACGCGTCAAAAATATCGTACAGAGACGTCCCCTAAAGATTTAGTCGAGACTTATTTGATCAAGATGGCAGAGTAGATTGCCGCAAGCGTGCCAATCGCACTTCCGACGAAGGGGATATTGCCAAGCACTGCGGAGATCAATGAAGCGCTGGCAGCGAACGGCACCTTCGACGAAGTAGGGTGGCTGGCCGTCACAACAGTTGATCCAGCGACAAAGCTGTCAGTGACAGTGCTGAGCTTCACAAACAAGAGATAGGCGCTAAGCAACTTGACAATGTTGAACGTCACTGGATCAAAGGTGCGGCGCGCCTTAGCAGGGGTTGACTTGCTGGAGGTGAAGTTGATGAAGAATGACAAGACCAACGGGATAGCAACAAAGTAGAGAGCCCAAAACACAAAGGGCTCCCACACTGGCTTGTAAGTGCTGGCCGCAAACGGCTCAGGAAGGTGGACAGTTGGTGTAGTCAACTTGTAATCTGCGAACGGAATAGCAATGTAATCAACCTTATAAGACAAAGGGAACTGCTCCTTCACAATGAGAAACAGCTCATAGAAAGCAACAAGCTTGTCAATAGCGGCCACGGAGGAAACCTTCTCACGCAGCTTGAGTCCAGATTGCTGCGCGGTAGTCACGGAGTATTCAGTTGATGTCGAGACCGCGTCACCAGCTGAGGAATAGTAGGACGACAATTTGGACTTGAGCGCTGCCCAGTAGTGCGATCCTTCCTCCCCAGACTCAGAAGATTCCTCACTATCTGAGGCCGATAGTGGTGAAGGAGACGGGGTCGATTTTGAGGTCAGCACTGAAGTGAATGGCGAGCGAGGACTGAGAGGCTTTTTGTCCGGAGATACGGTCCTGCGTATTATAAATGTTAGAGTGCTGTAGAGCTAGAATGCTGCTATAAGAATGTGAATTATCATACACGAGCGACTTTCTAGGGCGCGAGAGGGCGTAAGGGCTCGAGGTGACTCTGTAGAACTGCGAGAAACGCGCGTCATTTCTCATTCTTTCGCTGTTTTGAGAGAGGGCGCGAGCAATCCGGCCCTCAAGATCGGTTTTAAATCCATCGGTTCTGTAGGATCACGGAGAAGATTAGCTTGCGAGTCGACAGAGGACGATTGATTGACGCGATCGACGACATACTCCACCCCAAGTTGAGAGGCCAGATCAACGAGATCCTTCTTCTTCAAGGCAGCAATACGCGACGTAGATATCATGTTTAGATCAGTGAATCAGCAAACAGGCGGGAGAACTGGCAACCAGACGGTGGAAGGTGGGGAAGCAGAGAGGAAAGCGGTGATGGGGAAACAACAACAAACGGATTATCATCGGCTGGCAGGTAAACAAACCGGAGCTGAACCCCAACCCTCTGAACCTTAAATACCAATTAAGAAGCCCTAACCTGCACATGGCTGACATCCGAAGATGCTGAACAATAAATATTTCTTGAATATCGTCGAGGGAGATTTTCTAGGATTCCCGCAAGCAGTCGGTCAATTGATTGCTGATTGTTCTTCTGGTTGTTTTATTTGTTATTCAGACTATAGGGAGGCAAGCTATGGTGTGCTTCATCTAGTGGACTACTTATTGGAAGAGAAAAAACTGGACGAGACGCTGAGTTTTCAGTAACTACTGTTCTCGTCGTCAACCAAGAGCTATACCGTTGGTTTTTTGATTCTGCGATCGATTTGAAGCCTGAATTGGACAGCGTAGTGCATTTGGGTTATTTACAGCGTTTATAAGAGGCATGGTTGGTTCCGCTTCGGCACAAGATGTGTCGGTGGGCAAATCTATACATGTCTTTAGCGCACTGGTAACGCCCCCCGGGCAGGATGGACACGGTCCTCCGCTGATATACGTATGTTGTTCCTGTGCTTTCTAGTTGTTGAGTAGTCCTATTGACTTCTTTTATAGAATTTCATTGCCGGTGGGCTGGGTGGTATGATGGGCGACGGAAGTATGCATTCGCTTGATACAGTCAAAACCCGGCAGCAGGGCGCTCCGAATGCTGTGAAATACCACGGTATGCTAAGGGCATACTCGACAATATTCCGGGAGGAAGGGATTAGAAAAGGTCTATACGGTGGCTTTGTCCCAGCGATGCTTGGAAGTTGTGAGTGTTCTCGATTGTCGCCTGCGGTTCAAATTCATCTAGTTGGCTAACATCTTTGATAGTACCGGGAACCTCTATCTTCTTTTTTACTTATGAGTTTACAAAAAGACAATTACTCCAGCTTGGAGCGCCAGAGACACCGGCATATCTGGCGTCTGGATTTATCGGAGATTTTGCGGCATCATTCATCTACGTACCGTCAGAGGTTTTGAAAACTCGGTTACAGTTACAGGGGCGGTATAATAATCCACATTTCCAAAGTGGATACAACTATAAAGGCACATTTGATGCAATCAAGACTGTGAGTTTACATTTATATATTCTTGTGCGGTTTTGTGCCAAATACTGATTTGCGATGACAGATCATTCGTCAGGAAGGATGGCCCACATTATTTTTCGGCTACAAAGCAACGTTAGTGCGAGATTTACCGTTTTCTGCTTTACAGCTTGCTTTTTATGGTAATTTTATTTCTCAGGCCCTTGAGTTGAATGTTATGACCTCTAACACTTGAATGAACCAGAACGATTCCGAAGCGCTGCGCAAGCTTTAGAAGGCACCGAAAATCTCGGCTACTGGGAAGAGCTACTGACCGGTGCCGCGGCTGGAGGTATATCGGGGGTCATGACCACTCCATTAGGTATGTTCTTCTTTTGATATAATCTGGGATCGAGCGCAGAGCTAAAACTTCTGTAGATGTTATCAAAACACGGATACAGACTCAGTCAGATGCGCAGCAGCAACCATCCCAACACCCACCTCATTCAGACAAGGCTCCAACAGGTGCACAAAGTGCCCATAATCTGAACTCGACACAGAGCAAGTCGATGCATACTTCTACAAAAGCGCAAATGTCCGGCGCGTCGCCCATAAGCGCTTCCCCCGGTGTGGCAAGGATCGGCTCTGAGAGCACAATGCAAGCCTTGACTATGATCTATCGATCCGAGGGGATCCGAGGGCTGTTTGCTGGAGTGGGACCGAGGTTTGTGTGGACCTCGATTCAGAGCAGTATTATGTTATTTGCATACCAGAACATTCTGAAGGCTCTGACGGGGATCGATGAGGAGATTTCGTTTTAGACTGATTGAGAGATGGGTCCAGTGCCCAGCACTTATAATGTGCTCGATAGATATCTGTATAGACTTATGTTAATACTTGTTGAATATGTACATAGCAATACAAAACTCATCAAATCTTCACGTGATGCGGAGAGTAAAAAGGCGTAATTTGAATTTAATCTCCAGAAGTCAACAAGGCCAGCGAACGTACTAAAGACTCCTCCTTTCCTCTTTCTTCCAACACATACTGAAGATGGCCGAACCTCAGACGAATTCTGCGATAATTGAAAGTAATGGGACGACCGCTGTCAAGGCAAAGAAGCGGTCGATCGACAAAGAGCCCGGATCCAAGGCTTTCTTCTATGATCTGATTGTGGGAATATTGTCAGGTAAGTCAGCGCCGCTCAATCTAGACCTGAACTGCTGTTGTTGACCGGTTTCTGGCTGTTTAGTTACTTTTGATCTCTTCTTTCGAGAGATAAAATCTCGTGGTGCTTTCAATATTCCAACCGAGGGTCCTCTGGTGTTTGTCGCTGCCCCACATGCAAACCAAGTACGTGGTCCCAGCTGTTCGTCGTGTATACAGTAGCTAACCGTCTGCATAGTTTATCGATCCCTTGCTGCTTATGCGGCAGATTCTGTCGCATTCTGGTCGTCGGGTTTCATTCTTGACCGCCTCAAAATCTCTCAGACATCCTCTGATCGGACCGATGGCGCGCATGTCCTCGCCTATCGCGGTCGATCGGGCACAAGATCTGGCTGCTCCAGCAACAGGGCAGATTTACATTGCAAAGAAAGATCAACCGCTGAAAGTCAATGGCAAGGGAACCAAGTTTACGAAAGAGCTTGAAGTGGGTGGCATGATTATGCTGCCTAATTCTCTTGGCTATGCCCCTATAGCAGAAATCATCTCTGACGAGGAACTTGTGCTGAAAGCTGGCTTCAAAGAGAAGGCATTCGACTTTGTGCATTCGGGACCGACGGCATTCAAGAAATGCCCAAAGGTTAGCCACGAACAGATGTTTGAAAACGTCTTTGATCATTTACATAAAGGTGGCTGTATCGGAGTCTTTCCTGAAGGTGGATCCCACGACCGACCGGATATGCTGCCGCTAAAGGCTGGTGCAGCGATCATGGCCCTCGGTGCAGCGGCTACTGATGCCAATTGCAACGTCAAGATCGTGCCCTGCGGACTAAACTACTTTCATCCCAACAAATTCCGATCTCGCGCCGTAATCGAGTTTGGGACCCCGATTGAGCTGCCTCGTGATCTAGTTGCGCAATATGCAAAGGGTGGAGAAGAGAAGCACAAGGCGATTGCGGAAATGCTGGATACTATCCAGCGAGCGCTATTGACGGTGACGGTGACCTGCTCTGACTATGATACACTTATGGTAATTCAGGCGGCGCGGCGACTGTACAAGCCTATTCAGATGAAAGTTCCTTTATCTATAGTTATAGAGATGAACCGGAGACTTCTTGTGGGATACAATCAGTTTAGAGACGATCCTAGAATTATTCACTTGCGTGAGGCAGTGGCTGCCTACAACAAGCAACTTCAAAATCTGGGAATCACTGACCACCAGGTCGAGTACGCAAAGCTATCTGTTCCTGAAGTTATGGGAAAGTTACTGTACCGGACATCAAAACTTGTGATTTTGGCTATAGGTGCTTTGCCTGGTACACTTCTCTTTGCTCCGATTTTCATTGCAACAAAGCATATTTCAAAGAGAAAGGCTGAAGAAGCCCTGAAGGCATCTACAGTGAAGCTGCAAGGTAGAGATGTTGTTGGCACGTGGAAGATCTTGGTAGCGCTCGTGCTTGCTCCTGCGCTGGACTGGGTCTATGCATTGATGGCTACATGGATCACTTACCGCTACGATCTATTCCCTCAGGTTCGTCCTCTGTGGTTGATTACGTTGGGTGCGATGATTGTTTTGCCGATGATTACATATGCCGCGCTTCGAATTGGGGAGGTTGGGATGGATATTTTCAAATCATTAAATCCGCTGGTTACCTGTCTAAACCCCTTTTATTTCAACGCGATGGCGAAGTTGAAGTTGACGAGGGAGGATCTGGCAAAGGAAGTCACGGAGGCGATTGATGTGCTCGGACCTGAAGTGTTTTCAGACTTTGAAAAGTTCAGGATGATTCATGCCTCTGCTGTGGAGGAGACTAAAAAGACAAAGTAGCGGAGTGCTTTGTAAATTTTTGACTTTCTGTAATAAGTACAATGTATTGTTTAATGTTGCAATAAATAGTAGATTTGAGGAAAAATAGAGAAAATCGAGTAAAATCAAAATAAAGTGAAGCCGCGTTGGGAGCAAAGCTGAGATCAACAAATCCTGAACTTCCACGCTCAAAACTACTTCCACCTCTCTGCAATCCTATACTCAGACAAGTTCTCGCAACACCTTCTAAATTCACTACTTTTACTCTTTATAATATTCTCAACTACTCTGCTGATAATATGGAAGGTCCAACGAGCGTGTACAACTCCAAGCGCGCGTTCATCGAGTCGCAGGTGCGCGTGTTAAGTGAGCCCTTGCGACCTTCACGCGAATGGACAGAGGAGTATCCCGAGTTTGCAAGGGAGAAAGCAGTCGAACGCGCGTTGATGAAAGGTATTTCAGACTGTTTAAGAAGTGGTTTGATGAATCAGTGGTAATTCGCAGGGCTAACGCGTAAACTAGTACACATCATGCAACGACGACACCTCCGCGAGGTATACTCATCGCAAGCAATCCACCAGGTCGCGTCACAGGTCGACAAGCTGCACCAGGAGAAATATTTAGTGGCTACAACTGGTAGTTCGACTATTGCTGGAACCGCTACCTCACCCTTGCGAGCGGTGATGAGCGGAGAGATTGCGCTGACAGAGCCAGAGTATGTTATGTGATGATAATTCTTGGACTGGGCAGGTTCTAATTATTTTACAGAGCAATCGAAGTACTTCCAGAGACATGGGAAGAAGCGGCTGGTCCTTCAACGGATAACGATCCAGAAGATCTTGCGCGGTATGAGATCCACAATACTATATCCTCGGTTCTTCATATTCTAACCGTCCTCTTAGCTACGAGAAACTACGAGACGAACTACTTTCTCTCTCATCAGCCTTGTCAAACGCACAGCAAAGAGACGCGCAAGTGTCAGAGATCCATAGTCTTGTAAAGATGTTTACCGACCCGGTCCCAAACGTTCAGCAGAATCTTGTGTATAGAGATGGAGAGATAGAGCAAGAGCTGGCCAGAATGCGCGTATTATTGGCACGTGTAGGGGCTAGACTTCCACAAGCACTTGCTACGCAGGAGTCATGAGCGTGCGTTTTTCACTTTGAGAGAAAGAGCTTGTCATGAGAGAGAGAATTGAGCGGCTCAGGTGAGTTCGGAGTGGTTTGCTGCAATTCTTTCAGACGCGACGATCTTTGCAGACTCTGAACTCACGCGTGTTGTTACCTCTGAGACGCGGTCGGCTTGAGTGCGACACCTCCGATTCACCTCTACGCAGATCAACTACTACTGCAGATTCTACTACTGCAGATTCTACTCTCCAGATTTACATCACATACGGATATATTTATAGCTCATACGCGTCGGAATACTAGTGAACTGAGGCGCGTCATTGTGAGGAGGCGTCGAAGGGGCTCGTTAGACGCGTCGAAGGCGTGGCGTGCGGCTGAGACTTCAAACAAACTGAACAAATTCAATAACTTTAATTGTCCACTTCCCCAGCTCAGTTCTCACTTTTGTCTGCTATTTTTGCCAATTAACTAGCCTGGTTCGGAAGGTATTATATCATTGGCTTGATTTTCAGTGGTTTGCTGTTTTGCCCCGGGTCTTTGAGCTAACGGACTTGACCTGTAATGTAATTTTAAGTTGTACTGAGCCGGCAGCCGTTCGCTACTGAACCCTCAAACATATTCAGGCACACCTCGAGCGCGCACACCTACCTTTATTCCTTTTATAAATGCGAATGCGAATGACAGTTAGCATAGTGGATTATTGGACTCGAGTTCTCTCAGCTCACTTATAGCCCACAGGATTGAGGGAAGAGGGCACGCTAGTATTGTTAGGGCTCGCGTTTGTTAATTGGAATGTCGGCCCCCTTGCGCCAGGTCCCTGCGTCGGGTTGTACCCCCCCTCCCTTCTGAATACCCCTTCGATCTGAATTCTCCGACTCCTGGTATAACGGCCGTTATAATGGACCGTCTCGCCCTGTGCAGCTGCTCTTCAGAAAGCTCCGCAGTCCTATTTCTTCACACGTCGTTTATGTCTCTTTGATCACCATACGCTCGTTCAGTCGTGATCTTGTACATTCTTTTACGCAATGCGTTTCTCAACACTCTCTACACTTTTGAGCGCAAGCTCGCTCTTTGCGTCGGCGGTGAGCGCATATTCTTCCTCGGCAATCGACAACGTCGCAGTCTACTGGGGCCAGGCATCTGCCGGATCGCAGGATTCACTGGCGACGTATTGCGAGAGCGATAGTGTCGATATCGTGATTCTTGCGTTTCTGACGACCTTCTTTGGGTCTGATGATCTGCCAGAGATAAATTTTGCCAATGCTTGCTCGGATACTTTTTCGGGGACTACGCTCTTGCAGTGCGACCAGATTGCGTATGTGTTCTCATCTCTACTTAGAAATAGTTGTGTTTCTTGCTTACATTGTGTAGATCTGATATTGCGACCTGCCAGTCAAAAGGCAAGAAGGTGCTTCTCTCTCTGGGAGGCGCTGTTGGAACATATGGCTTTACGGACGACTCTGAGGCCTCAGACTTTGCGACTACGCTATGGAACATGTTTGGTGGTGGTGATTCGGACTACAGACCATTTGGCACGTCGATTGTCGACGGATTTGATCTCGATATTGAGAACAATGAACCGACCGGGTACGCTGCATTTGTGACGCAGATGCGCACGTTGTATAGCGGCGGCGATTACTACATCTCTGCCGCACCGCAGTGTCCGTTCCCGGATGCGAGCATCGGCGACGCTCTTGACAGCGCGTGGTTTGATTTCGTGTTTATCCAGTTCTACAACAACAACTGCGGCGTGACTAATCCCGATAACTTCAACTACGACACCGACTGGATGACGTGGGTGACTTCGACGTCGCTCAACTCTGACGTGAGGTTGTATGTCGGTGTTCCCGGAAGTTCGTCAGCGGCTGGATCTGGATATGCTACGCCTTCGGAACTGCAGTCTTTGATGAGCGATATCTCGGATAAGTCGAGTCTCGGTGGTGTCATGATTTGGGACGCTAGTCAGGCGTTTACGAATGAGATTGATGGGGTGGAGTTTATTGATGGAATCAAGAGCATGCTTGGTAGTTTGGATGGCTCGTCTGACAGCAGTAGCAGCGGAACGACCACAGCAGCATCTTCGACGTCGACTACTGCTGCTGCGGTTGTGTCTACTTCGTTGACTTCATCCGAGGCACAGAATTTCTATGTTGCTTCTTCTGCGACTACCTCGTCGGTATATGTCGCACCGACGACAACATCTGCATCGAGCACTTCGACAGCTGCATCGAGCACTTCAACTACATTCTACAGCGCTGCGCCTACGGCCTCGTCAACAGCGGATGAGTCGACATCTACAGTTACGGTGCCCAACCCTTCGACGTTGACTATCACAAACTATGTGACGATGACGGTGTCGAATTCATCGGGAGCGTCAACTTTGTCGACACTTACTACGATCTCGACAGCAGCAGTGATGAATCTATACGTGAACAGCACGTCGGCTTCGACTGCTACGTCGACTACTTCCGAGGTTCTTCCTTCTGCCACGGCCAGCACGAGCAATTGCACAGATCTGACCGGCACCCCGCTGGCGGCCTGCATGAACGAGTATTACCAGACGGTGTCGGCGTCGGATGCCTGCACATTAGGCGAAGTTGGCTGTATCGGCGATTTATTCGCGCAGTGCGGCTACGGGACGTGGTCTACGTTCGCATGTGGCACAGGAACTGTTTGTCGCGCGCTGCCGTCAGGAGACGAGACGTCGACGGAGTTTGCGATTGCGTGTGATTCGGAGGCTGATATCGCGGTTCGGTTTGGGACCTCGTCAAAGAAGGTGAAGAGGAACGGGCTGGTGAGACGGAATCATAGACACCATGGACATGCGCGACATATTGGCTGATTTCGTCTAAATTTTGTCTAAATTTTGTGAATAATTTTTGGGATATTTTATGTTTTTGTTTGGGCTGCATTGACGACTAATGACTTATGACTGTTTGATACGAATGAACTAATGATCAAAGAAAGCACTTTATGATCAAAAAAAGAACTAAAAGATGATATAAATTGACATTAAAAACTTAAGAAATAACCATAGACCATGCTACGGATATCTTTAGAAGCATCATCCTCGACAAACATCGGCCACCACTTTTCTTCGAAAAGCTTCTCAACTTTAAAGCCCATTGCCTCGGCATCGGTAAAGAACTGAAAGTCGCGATGGACGAGGCGAGCGCGATGGGGTGTGAAGACGACAAAGATCTTTGCGTCCTTGTTTGAGCGCGAGAGGGTGTTCCAGCATGTTTTTAGTAGTTTTGCGTGTTCGGAGTGGTTGAAGACGACGTCGGAGAGGATGACGAGATCGAAGCCGTCGCTGGCCTTGTCTTGGCCGAGGTATTCTTTCAGCGGAGTCTCGTCGTTGCCCCAGACATATCCGGCGACGGTGAACGTGTCTTTGTCGATGCCGTCGACGTGGGCGACGTTGTATTCGATATTTTGGATGAGCTCAACCTCAGGGTAGTCGGTGATGACGACGCGGCTGGCGTTGTGGATGCCGGCGATGAATGAGGGGAGGGCAGCGCCGGCGCCGAGCTCGAGGACGGTTTTGTTTGTGAGGAGGGCGGACGCGTGTTTGTCGAGGTAGTTTGCGGTCACTTTTGAGGCGTTCCAGAGGAGGTGGCCCCAGAGAGGGGATTTGCCTACCAGTCTGAGGTTTATTTTTGAGGGTCTGTATGCTGCTGTTAGTATAAAACAGAGAGAAGAGTAGATAGAGAAGATATATATGACATACTGGCCATCTGTGACGAATTCGGGTTTCCGTTCATAAGTATCAAACGACGGCGGCTCAGGTTTCTTGTAATAATCCTCGGGCTCTTCAAACAGCGAGGTCTCGTCTCCAAGCGCAATCTCGTCGTCGCTCATTTCTGTTTCTTTTGTCTTTTTGACTGTTTACAAGCCGCGATATTGAAATCAGAGACTATCGTCGTTCGAGGAGGTTGAAAACTTTTTAGGGTTTTGGTAGTGCTCAGGGGAAGTGGTGCCAGTTTAGGTACGAGGAGAGAGATTTGATGGTGTGTATTATAATGGGGATTGATATAGGAGATGCCAGATCATGTCAATTATTGTATTTAACAGAATAGTAAAAGCAAATACAAAGAAACAGAGGAAATACAATCAAACAGAGCATAGACAATGACAATGCTATGTAGAATCTGCTAATTACTGGGAATCCAAGCCGTATGCTGGCGGTGGAATATGCTGACCACAACACGTGATCCACTATTCTGGACACAAAAATCCAGCAAATCATGTGAGGTTTTTTGTGTTCGTTTTCGTTGTCGGACTTTTGCCTTCTGACTCAGTTCAGTCAACAGCTTCACCACTTTTCTGCGCATCATCTAGAGCTGTATTCTAGAGGACAAGAGAAGAAGTATCTGAAGATGTCCGCGGGACCCTTGATTTGGCGGACGCTGCTCGGTCGTCGAACCGTTGGCGCGTCTGCTGCAGCGTCAGGGATTAAGCAGGCAGCAATTCGAAACTATTCCAATTCGTCGTCGTCGTCTTCAAAGGCCTTGCGGCCGACTCGTGGGCGAAAGCATCCGTTGAGGAAGAGTGCGGGAGAGGAGGAGGCTGAGCGTCGGGAGCGGATGAGAAAGAGAGAGGTTATTCCTACGGGACATTCTAGTTATTCTCGTATGTTTCTCCATGTTTCCATGTTTCTCTATATCTCTCTGTGTTGGTGGTTGCTAACAAATCCTACTACAGAGCTTGCCTATGACTCGTTCTTTGCTGGTTTCCGTCCGATTCCTATCAGGGCCCAGTCGGAACCCCAGCCGGAGTTTTTAGATTTCGAGGCATTCAATTCTGAAGTGCCCGCGACGGAGATGGACGAGCCAATGTCGATGACGATGGAATTTGATCTGACTTCGCTTGACTATCCGATCGGAACGTTTTCTGCCAGCGGAGCGGTTCTTGACCCGGTGATGGCGTCGATTCCAAAGTCTGAGCTCGCGCACATCCGCGGTAATCTGCCTCCGGCCGCGCCGGGTGCCAGCAATGCCGAGCACCGGTCTGCGTACGGCGAGGCTGCGATGACGACCGTGCTTGAGAAGCTTACAGCGGCCGTGGAAGGGTCTGACAGCGATACCCAGCTCGATATGGCGTCTGCGTTCAAGTGCTTGTTGATGGCGAGTGCCAACGGGGAAGGAGTCAACGAGCTTGCGCGGCGCATGGACGAGCGATTCGGGTTGCAGCTTATGGGACTTACCGACAACGGGGAGGTTCTTGAGTTTCTGAGGCCTTTGAACCCGCCGCGTGTGCACCGACGATCGGTGAGGGACGCGGGCGAGCGCGGGATGCAGCTGACCAGTGTTGTGCGGAAGCGGAGGTTGAAGATGAAGAAGCATAAGCTGAAGAAGAGACGGAAAGCCGAGCGTGCTTTGAGACGAAAGCAGGGTTAAGGGGGAGGTCTCTTGTGTATATAGTTGTGTTGATTGAATTATAATCATTATTCATTATTACGAGTAGTTGTAACTATATACAGTAGCTTGACTATGTTGAAGCATACTTTGCAGTAAAGTAATGGACCAGACTGGCAGCTGCCTCTTCGTCACCACTACGAACCAGGTTTGCTACACATGAGATTAGCAGATGCCGTGTGATGGCAGATACACAGCAACTCACCGATATCGACATTCAGAGGACTGTTGGGTTCCGGATCAGATAGCAGGACGAGGATCGCCATGCAAGCAGACTGCAGGGTCCAGGCCGCTGTCCATTGGCCTTTGAGGATGTCTAGACATACCAGGCCGTCCTAGACGTATATTAGTATAGTTATAGTAGAATACAAGACAGATGGTGAATAGTATACCTTCCAGTTGACATTTGGGTGGCATATCGGGGTGATGAACTTGATCTCTGGCGGATGCAGAGGATACGTCTTTGGAACCTGAATATCGATATTCCAGCGTCCACCTACGCGTCTCGTCAGTCTCTGCTCTTCACTCTCTTCACTCTTCACTCTCTGAAGCTCTCACCTTCATACAGAGTCCCTTTACTTCCTCTGATATATCCAACCCAGTGCAGCAGGTCGTTCTCGCTCACCGGCCTGATCCGCACCAGCTCCTCTTCGCTGTCTGAACTCGACTTCTGCGCTGCTCTGAACTCCTTCAGCAGCCTTCTCGTAGATGCCAGCGACATCTTCACTCTTCTGTAAATGTGCTGAGATGTAGACAGACTGCTCAGTGGCCTCGGTTCATATGAACGCGGGGTGTCACATGACACATCACATGACTAGTCACATGACTAGGCACATGACATTGCGATAGCCGGTGGTCTGGGCGGGCGCTGATTATCTCCGCAGGGCTCGTCCGCTCGTCCTCATTGTCTTCTTCACCAACAAAATACTCAGAGAATATAGAAAAATGTCGGCATTGAAGCACCGCGCAGTGGCAGACGAGAGCTCGGCCGTCTTCTCAGACGACTCCTCGACCGCGTTCTCGTCCGGGCTCGGGACGACGTCGACGACCGATCTGGGGACGACGGTTCCGGAGGAGCAGCTGCTGAGCGTGAAGGGCAACGATTACGGGTTCCCGCTGCTTATCAAGTACGAGCAGCCGGGGACGATTCTGCGGAATATGCCGAATATGCTGCTGGAGAACAAGGGACCTGTTGCGCGCGACCATCTTGCGAACGAGCGTAATTACCTGGCGTGGGCGCGCACGTCGCTTTCGTTCACGACCGTCGGACTTGCGGTCACGGCTGCGTTTAGAGGTTATGGGGATGGGCTTTTGATTGTCGGGAAGTTGGTCGGTGGTGAGTACTGTCTTTATTATCTCACATAGCAGATCTCTGGCTGACATCTCAGCCGGCTTCATTCTGTTGGCTATCGCTCTCATGGTCATCGGCACCTATCGATACTACATCACCGCTATCTGGCTCCAGCGCGGCAAGTTCCCGCCCAGCAGAGCCTCGATATTCCTCATTACTGTATTTTCTGTATTGGTACGTTGTTATCTCCAACCGTGCTCATATAGAATGAACCCATGCTAACCCCTCTAGCTAATCGCGCTGGCATTCATCCTGATTGTCATCAACACCTCGCGTGTTATCTAGTCTTTTGAATTATTGGGTAAAGCATGCGACGTCAACCAAAAGCATAAACGTCCTATTATTCTCTTTTTTCTCTTTTGTTTATCATTTCATTCACAGTTTAATGACGTTGTCCTTCATGTAAAACGGAGTCTGTATCGTACGAGGTGTTTTGAGTGGTTCACGATTTAATATCTAATCTTTTCTTTCTATTTTTCTTTCTATTTTTCCATTCTAGTTTGTCATGACGAGGCTTTGGTGTTTATAATAGTATTTCTATTTATTTGACGACTATAATAAAAGTTATAGTACCTATTATAAACCATATAATACATCCATGTAACTTTCATAACCTAGTTGCAGCGGACTTAAAAATGAATATATCATCATCATATACAATCAATCAAACGGTATGGGCTTAATTGCACCAGGAATCGTTCGCAATTGACCCTCATGCCCCTGTTGACTTGCAGCAATCGAACTGGGGATCTTGATCCCGCAGCAATCACCCCAGATACCCTCACCATGTACATGTCCCTCGTGATGAGTATCCTCCTCTTTACTTGCCCGAGGAGCCCTCTCGCTCGGAAGCTCACCAACAACAGACAAGATCTTTCCAAACAAAAAGTGCTGCATGACTGGGACTTTGCCCAACACCTCGTTCTTGTACATCTTCACCATTCCCTCGCTGACTTTAGCCCACGTCTTAACGCCCGAGATGTCGTCGAGCATAGGCGAGCTCCAGCGCAGCGACGCGGTCTTTACGCTGTTGATGAACGCGATCGCGCCAAGGTACATGTACTCCTTCCCGTACGACTCGAGCACGTCGTTGTCGTGTATACTCCGCGGACGCAGGTATTTGTGGGTAGAGAGCTGCGCGGCGCCAAACAGAAAGGGAAGAAAGTGGTAGTCGTCGAGACCCCATACGCCATGGGAACCTGCCGGTTCAAGCCAGTAGACTGACTGCAGCACGCGCATGAGCGCAATGTACCGGTTAAACACGCGCAGGACAAGAGCAGGGAAATCGTCTTTTGTAAACACTCCAAGCTTGAAGAGCACGAGTAGAAAACATATAAAGTTGAGCTCGTGTCCTGATCCGTAGTCGATCCGCGTGCGATTTCCAAACGAGTGGAGGAGGTAGGTTTGCAGATCAACAAGTCCGTCGGATGACTGAATGTCAGATGAAGAGAGAGATGTGGTTAGGAGGTTGTTTGTAAATAGTTGTGTCTCGAGATCATCGTAAAAGTCGCGGAATGCCGGGTTGCCGAACCGCGACTTTTCATTTTCAACTGCCGGGTGCTGCTTTGATATTGTTTCGATCTTCTCTAGAAGATCCAGTACTTGCTCCACATTCTATACTCATCTCACTTATTAGCTCCTGCTTCCCCCTAGTCTCAACTAATCATCAACACACCTTTGAAACCGCACAGGGAAACGAGTTTGGTCGTCCGGTGCACGCCTCTCGCAGATCGAGAATGAACTGCAAAAGTGAATTGTACGTTTCCGAGCTCTGAAAGACTTCCAGATCCTCTGCGGTCAGGATCCTGCTCGTCGGTCTGTTTGTTACTGAGTTCTCCATCTGGTTCTGATCTGATTCTGATATCTTCCTGATAGATGATCTGAGGCGTGACTATGAGTTATGTAGGGTCACGTGCGATATCACGTGAAAAGTATACACGCAGAAGAATCAACAAGAAGCATGCAATTCAAGCATAGAAGACAATAATAGTAGTTTATAAAGACTTCTAATAGAATTACAAGAAGATTACAACAATTATCACTGTTATTACACGCGACAGAGAGCTACAAAAAGCTACAGAAGACACACAACACAAGCGCGTCAACATTCCACACTTACACCATATAACCACCACCACCGCACCGCACCGAGATATCTGGCACAGATCCACCCCGCGAACATCAGCAACAACGCGAAATGGCCGGTTTGGTTTGATTCTTCTTGCAGATAGAAGCAGAAAACAACAGAAAATCCGTTAAAAAGATAAAGCAGAGGAGAACTAAACAGATTGCTTGCATATTTGAGTCTCTGCGGTCCCTTCGCTGCTGTTTTATCTACAAGGAACAATGTTGAGACAGCCTGGTTCTGCGGTGATGGGCAGCCAGGATCCGTCGTCGCCAAACAGAAAGGGTTGGTTTTGTTTGTTTGTTTCAATTGCAGAGAGAAGAAGACGCGTTGATGGAGTTCGAGTACTGACTGGTGTTGTAGAATCTCTTCCCCCGTCAATCAACCCGGGCAAACAGTCGCAGACCCTCTGCAGAAACATCTTGATTCATGGCTACTGCAAGTACGAAAACAGTGGATGTATATTCAGACACGATAATGTGAGGCGCTCTTTTTTTTTTTCTGGTGATTAGCTCTGTACTGACTGTTGTAGACGAAAACGAACGCGTCTGCTGCAAAACCAGAGACGTAGGTATCCTCTCTACTCTGCTCTCTCTGACCCTACTAACGCACTCAAAGACCAAAGAAACGTTTGAATGTGGAATCCCCCGCTTTCAAACCTGGTTCGGCAGCGCTGTCATCCTCGGCCGCGAACGCGTCGACGACGACTTCTCCCTCCAAGACGCCGATTCTTCTGAGCCAGGCAGCTGATTCGGCCGTGTTTGTGCCTCGCAGCAGTACCGCAACCTCATCTGCGATGCCGCAAGAAGGGATCAAGGAGTTTGAGCCGTCGCCTGATCGGTCGATGTATGTCAATCCGGCGGTCGATCTCTATAATCAAAAGTCGATGGTGAATCCGAGTAGCCAGCCGTTTGTGCCTTCGTATAGTCAGATGCCGTCGATTAATTCACAGATCGCTGCGGAGTCTGTAAGTGCCTTTTGTTCAAGTAGTTGAGAGGAGCTACTAATGTTTAAAGCAAATGCCACAGCCGGTTTCAAATCAGAGATACGACTACAATTCGATGGTGCCGTACGGAACCGCCCCTCCGGATCTGTACTATCAGCAAGCTCAAGCGGCCCACTACCAGCCGGTAAGTGTTCCTTTAAAGTGAGAGTGAGAGTGAAGAGATGCTAAGATGAGTAGTTGCAATATCATTTGTATGCACCGCTTCCTCCGCACAAAATCAATCTGCTGCCATACCAGCGCACGATCCAGGGATTCTTTCTGTCTGATAATCTGCGCGAGGAACTCCAGAGAAAGGGCGAGGCTTCGCTTCAGATATTGCCTAGTAAGCACAACTTTGATTTGACTGCATGGATGATATATTAACAGTACCTAGGCACAGGACTTCCTGAATCTCTGGATGTGTATTGCCAGCTAGTTCCTCTTGATACGAACGCGGATCGAAGTGCGCGAGTGCTGGGGTATCCGAGCTGGGTGTACAAAGCGTTTTCAAAGTCGGATGGAAACACATATGCGCTACGCCGACTTGAAGGGTTCAAGCTGACTGATGAAAAGTCGATTGCGACGGTCCAGCAATGGCGGCGGTTGTCGAATGCGAGCATGGTGACGCTGTTTGAAGCGTTTACAACCCGAGCGTTCGGGGACAGTTCGATTATATTTGTGTATGACTATCATCCTCTCTCGAGCACGTTGTTCGACACGCATTTTGGGGCGAGTGCGCGGTATCCGGTTGTGAGGAACGCGAACGGACAGATAGGACCGTCAGTTCCGGAGCAGGTGCTGTGGAGTTATCTTGTGCAGCTTTCGTCTGCTATGAAGACGATACACGGGGCGAATCTTGCGGCGCGGGTGATGGATCCGACGAAGATTATACTGACGTCAAAGATGCGGGTGAGGTTGAGCGCGGTGGGGATCATGGATGTGATTGGCGGGAGTAAAGAGCCAGTGGCGAAGTTGCAGGCCGAGGATTTGTATAATCTCGGGCGGCTGATATTGAGTATTGCGTGCAACAACCAGTCGCTGATAATGGGAGGCGCGGCGGTGTCGTTGCCGGTGCTGTCAAAGTCGTTGGAGTTTGCGGGCAAGTTTTACTCTGTGGGATTGAAGAACGCGCTTGCGTACTTGCTTGGGAGTGGCGGGCGAGGAGGAGAGGACGAGATGATGAGTTCGGGGAATGTGGACGAGTTTATACAGTTGATTTCTGGGTTTTACCAGCAGAATCTAAACAGCTCGCTGCATTACCAGGACAGTCTTGAGAGTGAGCTTGCGCGGGAGGTTGAGAACGGGCGGTTGGTGAGGTTGCTGTGCAAGTTCAACTTTATAAACGAGCGGCCAGAGTACGACCATGATCCGGCGTGGTCGGAGACGGGAGATCGGTATCTGTTGAAGCTGTTTAGGGACTACGTGTTCCATCAGACGGACGAGAGCGGGCATCCGGTGCTGGACATGGGCCATGTGCTGAGATGTCTGAATAAGCTTGATGCGGGGGTGGAGGAGAAGGTGATGCTTGTGTCTAGGGACGAGCAGAGTTGTTTGATTGTGTCGTATAAGGAGCTGAAGAATTGTGTGGATGTTGTGTTTAGAGACTTGAGCCGGCCGAATGGCTGAGATGATGTGGGAAGACAGTGAGAGTACTTGATTATACACGAGCTATGATACAGTATAGAATAGTAAGAGAAGTTTCCCTAAATAGCCTCCTCCTCCTGGGCGATGAAGGGGTTTGCAATCTCCTCGCTGCCGTCGACGGGAGAGATGAGGAGAAGGAGCGGGCCACGGACGACGACGAGACCGAGCGGTCTTGTTTGATCTTCTGGCGCGTTTCCATCTTCACCGACGTCGCCTGTGATTGTTAGTAGTTGAATAAGAAGAAGAAAGTAGACTGAAGAATACCTCTCAGATGCTCGACGACGTCGTCGAGGACGAGGTTCATGAGCTGGTCGTATCCTTTCAGGATGCCAGTGACTATCAAAGTAGTTAGTAATTGTTCTGTTGAGTAGACTCTTTAAAAGAGAACTCACCCTCCCTCCCCCCGGAGAACTTGACTCTGATCTCTCTGTCCTGATACCGGGCCAGATCAAGGATTGCTTCCTTCTTTGGTCGGTCGTGCTGTTGGTGCTGGTGCCGGCCTCTATAAGATCCGCCTCTGTTTCCGCCAGCACCGCGCTCTTGACGATGCTGCTGCTGCTGCTCTGGACGCTCCTGGCGGTCTTGCGACTGGAAAGTCAGGCTCATTGTGTGTGGTGGTGGTGGAGATGTGGTTGAGATGTGGTGAGAGTGAAAATGGGTGAAGGGTTTGAAGGCCGGGAGGGTGGATCCACAGCACAGCGCCGGTTTTTGTAGAAGAGAAGGTGAGAATGAAGCAGATATATGCAATAAGCAGATATATTCTTGCAATTGTATTTAAAACAGCGAAAAGAGGAATATATCGACGCGGGGCGGTGACAACAGGCTGTGCACTCAGTTTACTGCAGTTAAAGTGCTAAATGCACAAAAACACGACGTTTATGTGCACACGCGCCCTTTGTTTACTTTGATTTTTTTCTGCTCGGGTCCAGCGACTTCTCTCCGCTTTGTCTTCTTTCTCTGCTTCCTCTTCCCGGGTCCAATTCATCGTCAGATATCGTGTGATTACCTGCTTCTGCCTCTGATTCATCGTCTTCTGCTTCTTCTGCTTCTTCTCCTACTTCTTCTCCTTCTTCTTCTCCTCCTGCGGCCATGGATATCGGCAATATCTTGGAAACGGCCATCCTCAGCCCTGGTTCGTCTCTCTTCTTTCTTCCTCCAATTACCTCCTCCCGACTGATCTAATGCATCCACAGACCAAGCGGCCAGACAGGATGCCGAGAGTAAACTCACTCTGATGGCTACCGAGCACTTTGTACGTATCCGCTCCGTGCGTGATCCGGATCATTCACTAACCATCCTCCTCCAGGTCGACTACTTGGCGATGCTCACCACCGCGCTCGGAAATGAGAATCAAAAGACCGAAGTCCGTATGCTGGCTGGTATCGGTCTCAAGAACCAGCTTGTTGCTAAAGTGAGTTGTTGTTGCTCTGTTTGAAATCTGCTGTCACAGCTGCTTACTATCATCTACTCAGGACGTCAAAACCAAAGTCTCCCAGAACGAGCGGTGGGTCTCGCTCGCTGTCGAAGCCAAGGCTGAAATCAAGCGTACCGTATGTATCCGCTCTTAATCACCTAAATAATCTATCTCTGCTAACAAAAGACACACAGGCCCTCACCGCGCTGCTCTCGCCCGACGATCGCGTCGCAAACGCTGCCGCCCAGCTCGTCGCCGCAATCGCTGATATCGAGCTCCCCCGCGACGAATGGCCCGATCTGATGACGGTGCTCGTCGAAAACACAAAAGAGCACCAGCCCGTCAACGTCAAGCGCGCCTCGCTCCTCGCCATCGGTTACATTTGCGAGACTGCTGATCCCGGCAACTCGGGCGTCGTCGCCCAGGCAAACGGCATCTTGACCGCTATCGTCCAGGGCGCGCACGCAAAGGAACCCTCGATCGTCGTTCGCCAGACTGCTATCAACGCGCTCGTCAACTCGCTCGAGTTCATCCGCGACAATTTCGCCCGCGAGGGTGAGCGGAATTATATAATGCAGGTCGTCTGCGAGGCTACGCAGGCTCCCGATGCAAAGCTGCAGGCCTCGGCCTTTGGTGCGCTTGCTCGTATTATGAACATGTACTATCCGTACATGAGATTGTACATGGAGCGCGCGCTGTATGGGCTCACTGTGGACGGCATGCGCTCCTCAAACGAAGACGTCGCTTGTATGGCTGTCGAGTTTTGGAGTACTGTCTGCGAAGAAGAGATCGAGATCAATCTGCAGTCAGGGGACCCTTACGAAGACGAAGCGCTTGCGCCCGCTCGTGAGAATTTCGAGTTTGCAAAGTACGCGATGGGCGAGGTTCTGCCTACGCTGCTCGAGCTGCTAACACGGCAGGACGAAGATGCTGATGACGAGGACTGGAACGTTTCGATGGCGGCGGCTGCGTGCCTGCAGCTTTTTGCTGAAGATACTGGCTCGGCGGTGGTCAACCTGACGTTGCAGTTTGTGGAGGTCAACATCCAGCAGGAGGACTGGCGAAAGCGCGAGGCCGCGGTTATGGCTTTTGGTTCGATTCTCGACGGACCCGACCACGGCACGCTCGCGCATGTGATTGGACAGGCACTACCGCCGATGCTCAACCTTATGAACGATCCTGTGCTGCAGGTGAAGGACACTGTTGCATGGTGTTTGGGCCGCATTGCGGATCTTGTGATTGAAGGTATCGATACTACTGCGCACCTTCCGGGGATTATGGCCGCGCTGGTTGCTGGGTTCCAGGACCATCCAAAGGTTGTGACGAACTGCTGCTGGACGCTGATCAATCTGACGGAGCAGCTGGGCCAGGAAGGCGCATACTCGCAGACGACACCGATCTCGCCGTTCTATGACGGACTGATTGAGAAGCTGTTGGCGGCGAGCAGTCGGGCGGATAACGAGAACCTGGCGCGGACGTCTGCGTACGAGGCACTGGGAGTACTTGTGACTTGTAGTGCGAGCGATACTCTGGGATCGATCAATGAGCTATCGCTTGTGATTATCACTCGGCTTGAGCAGACGCTTGTGATGCAAGGACAGCTTGTGGGGATGGACGATCGCGTGAACTTGGAGGAGCTTCAGATTAGTCTGCTGAGTGTGCTGACAAACATCATTCGAAGGGTTTCGCCCAGCGATCGATCGTCGTCGGACAGGCTGATGACGCTGCTGATAAGCATGCTTCAGCAGAAGCTGCCAAACTCGCTGATCGAGGAGGATATTTTTATTGCGATCAGTGCGGTTGCGGGCGCGGTGCAGGAGAACTTTAGTGTTTATTTGGATGCGTTCAACCCGTATCTGATGAAGGCGCTCGAGGATCCGGACTCGCCGACGTGCAATACTGCGGTTGGGATTGTTGCGGATCTGGCGGTTGCGTTGAACGCGCAGATCGAGCCGTACTGCGACATGTACATGAATGTGTTTTTGACGAATCTGCAGAATTCAGCGGTGCGGAGGGACGTCAAGGTGGGCATTTTGTCGTGCTTTGGTGATATCGCGTCTGCGCTGGGTGCTGGGTTTGAAAAGTACCTGAGCGTGGTGATGCAGGTGCTTGTGCAGGCGTCGAGTCTGAAGCGCGAGCCGGACCAGCCGTATGACATTGTGGAGTACATTCACCAGCTGCAGGAGGCTATTGTGGACGCGTACGCGGGTATTGTGCAGGGTATGCGGGACCGACCGGACTTGCTGTACCAGTTCATCCAGCCGATCTTTGGGTTCCTGTCGGTTGTGCACTCGCAGCCGAGCATTCTGCGGTCGGAGTCGGTTGTGCGGTCGATGGTGGGTCTGATTGGCGACGTGGCGGACATCTACAAGCAGGGCCAGGTGGCGATCTACTTCAAGGAGGAGTGGATCACTGATCTGCTGCGACGGGCGCGACAGGACCGCTCGTTCTCTGCCGGACTGAAGGAGACTGCAAAGTGGGCACGCGAGCAACAAAAGGCGCAGCTTGCTCTTTTGTAGTCGATTGTTGATGTGTTGTTGTTGTTATTCCCTCATTTGTTTCATTCATTGTATATCCGCAGTAAATATCAGGCATTATCATCTATATAGATCTAGATAGTCCTTATAGGCTGACGGGGTGAGGGGTTGGTAGACGCACGTGACATTAGAAACATATCTAGAGCCTCTGCTCTACTACTACTGCTACTACTCACAATCAATCATATTCTAACAGCACAATGGACTCTCTCGATCCGGCGCACGTCGAGTCGCTGCAGCAGTTTGTGACAATCACGAGCTGGCCCGAAAACGACATCGAAGGCGCGATCCAGATGCTGTCGGTCTGCCAGTGGAATGTCGAGGTGAGCCTGTTTCTGATACTCTGTCCTGATATCAGTTGATTCCGATACAAACATCTACTCATTCATCATAATAGCTCGCAATCACTCGCTTCTACGACGAAGGACCTCTGCGACCAAACCCCCACGAGCCCGCAAGAACACCGACGCCGCCGCCGGTGGTCGCGCCGCGGATAGCGAGTCCGACGCCGCGGACGCTGGCGCCTCGGCCGTCGTCTTTCCTCGCGAGCATCATCACCTCGGTCGTGTTCTTCCCGCTGTCGGTGGTCTCTAAAGTCGCGCACTCGGCATACTACCTCTTCACGATGCTGTTCCCGTTCCTGCCCCGGCTCACCGGGGTGTACCCCGCCAACCTCGGCGCAGCGCGGTCCGAGCGACGATCTGTGAATCCACGGGACACCGCCGCGCGCTTCATCCGCGATTTTGAGGAGGAAGTAGGCAGTAGTGGCGAATCACGGCTGTCGTTCTTTGAAGGGGGATACACGCAGGCCTTGGATCTGGCGAAGAAGGAGCTGCGGTTCTTGGTCGTGCTGCTGCAGAGCGATGAGCATGATGATACTACCAAGTTTAATAAGGAGGTGCTGTGTGCGCCTGAGGTTGTGCAGTATTTCCAGGAACATCAGATCCTTGTCTGGGCAGGCAACGTTCGCGAGTCGGAAGCGTATCAGGGTGAGTTTATCTCGCATTTCTTCTAGATCTTCTCTACAGACAACTAACATACTCCAGTCTCAAACGCGCTGTCGTGCACGAAATACCCATTCCTAGCGATAATTGCCTACACCCCCGCCACAGCCTCGCACCCTTCCGCAATGTCGATCCACGCCCGTCTGCAAGGCTTCATGTCCCCTCCCGCGCTCATCGCGAACCTCAACACAGTCATCACCCGCCACGGCCCTGTGCTGGACCGAATCCGCAACGAGCGCAACGAGCAGCAGCAGGCAAGGGAGATCCGCGCGCAGCAGGATTCCGCGTACGAGGCTTCGTTGGCTGCCGATCGCGAGCGGGAGCGGGCGAGAGCGGAGAGAGAGCGCGCGGAGCAGGAGAGGATCGCGGAGCAGGAGCGCGTCGAGAGAGAGAAGCTAGAGGCCGAGCAGCGCATTGCGCAGTATAAGCTGTGGCGCGCGTCGCAGCTCAAACAGACCATGCTCGAATTCACAGACCAGCAGCCTTCTACGACTGAAAAAGTAGCGCGGATCAGTATCCGTCTGCCGTCAGGCGACCGCGTGGTTACGCGGTTTTTGGCAGAGTCTCAGACTGTCGAGGATATTTATGCATTTGTGGATTGCTATGACATCTTGCATCCCAAACCGTCGTCCTCTGCTGCTTCTACCTCTGCGCGGTCTTTGGCATCTTCAGGATCGTCTACTTCGCTCTCGTCCATGGCTACATCCACCGCTGCTGCTACCAACAGCAAACCAGAAAACTACACACACAGATATAAATTCAACCTCGTCTCCCCCATGCCACGGTTCCTGGTCCCCGTTGATGCCGACAAACTGATAAAGGACGAAAAAAGCCTGTTTCCGAACGGCAACTTGATTGTCGAGGAGGAGGTCGAGGAGGAGGAGGAGAGTGTTGGTGCTTAGAGTGTTGTCGAGCGTCGCTAATGAATCATACATCATCATCATCTACGAGCTTCTCATGTAGTGCCAAAATCACATTGCAACTCCAGCTGAGATCAGACAACTCTAGGAGAAACCACAAAGAACATAGTCCGCGCCACAATGACTTCCTCTGCGCCTTTTTTAGCTAATCTGTCTGCCGCCTCGTTCCCTTCTACCCTGGAATGACCAGACACATGCCGAAACTCAGTATCTAAATTCGCTGCCCGCCGTTTGTCAATCTGCTCTAGAATACTGCGCACCAGGTCCTTGTTTTCGACCGGTTTCCCCCTTGCGTTAATGTACCCGTTCGCCTCCCACTTTTTGCACCCCAGACGGTGACGCAGTTGATTGCGTACTGCGAATCCGTGCAGATCGTCATCGGCTGAGAAGGGTTATCGACCAACGCTTGACGAACGGCAGCTAACTCTGCTCTCTGATTGGTCTGAACAGCACCGTCAAGTGGCTTTCCTGAATTTCTCGAATCGTTCGGACCGTAGTATACACCGACCCCGGCTCTTGCGCCTGGTCTACCATTGCGCAGACAGCAGCCGTCCGCGTAGACGACAATGAAGTTTTTCCTGCGTGATTCTTCAGATTTGACATGATCATTGTAAAGATCTTCGAGTTTGCTTCGTTCGTCTACTTCGTCAGTGTAGAGATTGCCGATATACTGTTCATATGCCATCCACGCGGCCTCAAAGTCATAATACACCCTGCTTTTAGCCTTACTATACCCCGTTTACTTGATACTCATAATCCGCCAACCTGAAATAAACACCCGGCGCGCGCCCTTCAAACACAACCCAGCATTTCTCATCGTCCGCAGGATTCTTCGCGCCAAGATACCCCACGCTCTCGAAATCGTCAAAGTACGTCTCGCCTCGGTCATACAGATGGCCCTATTCCCGCCAAACAAGTGCTTTGTGGAGATTCGTAAACCAGCGGACTTCGGCGCGGTAGTAGAGGTCGAGTTGGAGCTCGGCTAGTTCTCGGTCAAGGTAGATACCCGGGTTATGACCTGGATCGGAAGCGTTAATTGATATGCGTGAGTCGATGAGATTTAGTGATGTGTATACCATCGTGAACCACGTAATAGACCGGCATTACGTTCGATCTTGTGCAATTGATCAAAAAGCGCTAATTTTAAAGGAATAGAAGAAGAGTTGGCGATATTAAGATCAGATAATCGATCTGGATAGGAACAAAGTAAACAGATAAAGTCATGTGACGCGATGCATCCCCGCAAAAGTATTCTACACTGCACAACAATTTGATAGCTCAAGATCACTGCTTCAGTCGGAACAGAGCTTTCTTCTCTTGCTTTCGCCAACTCGGACGAGTAGAGGAAGCAGAGAACTCATCATCACCACCACCACCACCTACAACTTCACATAGTGTCCATAAATCACATTATAACTCCAGCTAACTAAAGTCCACATATCATACACATCTTACACCCACTCAAAAAGCATACCTCGCTCTCATCCCCGAGATCTTCCTCTCCACCTCCCGCACAGACCGCTCCAGCTCGCTCGCAATACTTCTCTTCTTCTCAATCGGCAGAGTGAAGTACTGCTCGCAAAGGTCGCCGTCAATCGTGCCTTTCACCGGAACATACACGCCGCGGTAGATCAGGTGGTCGCGCCCGGCTAGTGGTGGGTTCTCGGTCCGCATCTGGCCTTCCAACTGCTGGAAAAACTCGACGTCTTCGCGCGACGCAAACGGCGCGATGATCCCGATCGTGCCCTGGATGCCTGTATACAGCACAACCTCGCGCCCTCCAGACACCAACTGTGTCTTGTGCACCGACGTCGGGATATCGCCCACAAAGTAATGCGCCACCAACTCCAACCGATCCGGCGCTCCGTTCAGGAACGGCCGCGCAGTCATCAGTTGCGCACCGTTATCCTCGTCCGCGTCCCACGACACTTTCTCGGGACACCGCACCACCCACAGGTTGCCAAACTTGTCGCCGCCTACGACGGTAGCGTAATCGAGCATCGTCGCACAGGTCGTGTGTCTTGCGATCGTGTCGTCCACAAACGGCAAAAACTTGTGCTCTTGGTGCCGGTACACAAGGTATGTCACCGACTGCTGGCTGTCGCCGATAATCACCCGGTTATGCGAAACGTTGATCGTCACGATCGCGTTCAGCGCCCGGTTCCGGTACTCGGCCTTGCGCAGCAACCGCTTCATTCCCATGTCGTACGCCCTCAGCGTCGCGCCAATGCCGACAAGCAGCCGGCCTTGGAACTCAGTCATGCAAATCGGCGGCTGCTCAACCTCAGTCGCGTGGATAAACTCCAGCGACCGCCCGTCTTCGCTCGCTTTGTACACTCGCAGGTATCCTGCACTGCAGTTCTTTGGAATCAGACTCACGTTCTTCGCAGTCCCCACAACCACATACACATCCAACTCCTTCCCTTCTTCTTTCTCTTCTTCTTCCTCCTCCTCGTCTTCTTCCTCGCGTCTCCGTTTCTGATACTCGCTAAACGAACACACCACGATCGAGAACGCAGCCTCGTCATCTTCTAGCTCAATCTTACTCGTAATCTCCTGTCCAATCGGATCCACAACTTCAATGCATGACGCCCATTTCCCTGTATACCTCGCATTGCCAAAGTCCTCCGCCGGCAGCTCTTCAAAATCCTGCTGCTGCTTCTTTGAGCTCGTCGCTAGTAGTTTCTCCTTTGAGCTTGGAGACAGAGTGCTGTTGTCGCTCTCGGCCACATAGTACAGTGGCTGGTACGGATTCTGCGTCATCTGACGGGGAGTATATCGGAGAGGAATAATATCTTGCTTGATATTATCCGTCAATTTCTCCATCGTAAAGATCCTATTTCATGTCAGTCACCATTCCCATACTCTCATAACCAGCTTTCTCACGAAGAAAGCGTCTGGATCACGTTTCAGTAGGAACAATTGAATATTTTATAAAATAATCAATCCTCATAATTATTAGGATACCTTACTCTCATCATATCATGATCCAGACGCATTCCCGTACCGAAAAAAAAAAAGAACTCTCATACCTTAGATTACTGCCCTCAATACCAACGACTCCCTCAGCGCACTGCTCGCTGCAAAATCCGCTGCCGTACTCCAAGGGCTCGTATACCAACGGCGTGACCTTGAAACTGACATCCTGCGTATACGCCAGCCATGACCGGCTAGACAATGCAAGTACCGTCGGCTGACCTTGCATTTCGACCTTGAACAGTTTGACTGGTTTGGGTCCTAGAAATTGTGTTTGTGTGTCGGACAGCTGGCCGGTGATTGAGTCGAGAACTGCTCGGAGATAGACTCCGTTGTGGAGACCAATGTGGAGATATAATGTTGAGCTGTTGTCCAGCAGTCTCTGCGCTTCCGGGAAAGTCGAGTCTGGCATGACCATGATCTGCAATGCTGTAGGTGCTGCAGTCAAGGCCTGCACACTCATCGACTCTAGCGTGTTTTCCGGATCAAGCGAGATAATACGCACAGTACTGTCCTCGCACCCAACAGCCAGGAATGAGTTCCGCACTTTTCCTTCCGGGACATCGCCTAGAGAGATTGAAGTCACGGCTGCACCCATCTGCTGACGATCTTGGTACTCATTCAACTGGCCTTCGTCGTCGAGCTCAAAGTATACAATCTCGGTCGTCGACAGAGCGACCGCGACTTGCCGGCTGTTGGTTGCCGCTGCAACAATCACGGTGTGCAGAGGCGCTTCCCATTCGTTTACCTCTTTGTCTGCGGATATGTGACGGATGCCCTTGGGATGCACTTGCACGAGTGAATCCTCCCCGAGTTGCTGAACTGCCAGCGTAGGCGTCGAGGATAGGAACCCAGAGTCAGTGACCTCCTCGACTGTCTCGCCGATAGACAGAATCAGAGTAGCGTTAGTGAACGAGAGCACGATGTAGGCATCATACTCGTCTGTAGCCGTCAGTCGCGTCGTCCACACCGCAATTGGCTCTCCCGGCAGCTCGGAAGCGACAATCTCAGTAACCTCCAAACCATGTCTTATAGTTCTGAACGACGAGCGCGCACCTTGTCCTGCAAGCGCATAGATCTGAGGCGCGTCCTCGCCCGTCAGATTTGCAACTTCTGAGTTCACAAGCGGACTCAAGCTGTCGATAATGTCGACGAGCACTAGGTTATCGAGCGGACGCGGATGGAAAAATGCAGTCGGGTAGTCTGAAATCTCGCCCTTTGTGTAATCTGCGCTCGAAAACTCGGTCTCGTCGTCATCGTCGCCGAGCTTCTCGAATTGGTAAAACATGTGCGAGCCACCTTCCGCGGAGACAAACAAAAAGCCGGATTTGAGAATGTTGAGGCTCTTGGCGACGGGTACTGTGTCAAAGTATTTGATCTTTATGTTCTGCACACCCTGTACGTTGTAGTCTATCGTAACCTTGAATAAATCTCCCTCGTCGGATTGCAGCAGGAAAAAGAAAGCGCTCTGCATGATTGTTAGTACATATCTTGAAGATCAAAAAGAAAAAAAAAAGGCGACCCACCTTCATCTTGTGCACAACACCGCAGACAATGATTCGCTTTCGAGAAGGATCATCAAACGGGGTCCTTCTTCGAGGAATGGGAACTTTGTGAATGCGTTTGTTCATATGCCGATACACCAAAAACCCCTCGGTGCAGACCAGCACACCCGAGGGCCCATCCGCACCACCAGGGACCGGAAGCAGGAAGCTCGAGTTGCGATCGACGACGTCGGACCATATTCTGACGACGTGGTTGAGGCCGAGATCGAGCTCGTAGTAAGTGAGCATCTTTTGGACTTCTGTGTAGGCTTTCCCGGTCGAATCGAGGTCGCATTCGGAGTAGTCGATCTCCAAGGCGGCAAAGATGGGGTTGTCGTAGCCGACATCTAGACCGATGAGGTCGTAGAGAAGACACCGCGGCTTGTGGGCCTCTAATGGAGAGGAGATTGTGATGTTTGCTTGGGAGTCACGGTTGAGGATATAAACCAGCTTATTCTTTTCGACCGACGCAATCATTGTCGCGCGACCTTTTGGATCCACAGCGAGGTATTCACCAGGCACCACGCGCCTGACACCCGTCTTTCCAAACGTTTCCAGGTGAACCTTGACGAACCTCGACTGGTCTGGTTTATACTCGAGGATAGCTATGCGCCCTGAATCCGATCCGACTATAACGTAGTCCTTTGACGCCCCAGCGACGCGGAAGGGCACAATTGTCCGAACCACGCCAAACAAGTTGTAAGACACGAGCGGGACGAGTTTTCCCGCGTTCGCGTCTGGCTTGTAGAGATGCAGATTCGAGCCTTCAGCGATGATGATTTCCTGACTTCGCTGGCCAGAAAACTGGCCGATGATGGAAGCCGTGACCGCAGAGGGCGGCACCAGCGTCAGCGCATACAAGTACATCGACATTCTGGAGACGGCTCTTCAGTTCACCGACTCTCCTTCCTTCTTCGAGCAGTGATTGTCTCTTCGTGAAGGACGTCAGCTCGTTGCGTGAACGAGTGTGGTCGAGAAAAGAAAAAGAGAAAAGAGCGTCGAGGAGCAAAACAAATTCTCTGTGCGATTACATGGATGAGGGGCTTGTGTAGGGTTTACTGTTGCTGCCTACTGTTACTGCAAAGCAATATTATTGCAATAATGATACAAAGATATGAATTAGAAATTAATAAGCCAAGTCGTAGCGGCCATCAGTGGCATTTTCGTCAGGAAGCAGCATAGTGTTCTCGGGAAACAGCTGCTGGCTGTTTTGCCTATGCGAGTCAAACTCCGGGAACAGCTCGGGACCAAGCGAATTGATCATTTCCGTGACTTCTTTCGAGAGTTCTTCTCTTGTGATGCGAAGTTTAGCAAGTGAGGTAGTCTTGTTGGGGTTGAGACAGGTAACGAGTGGTTTAAGAGACTTGAAGATGTCCATTCCGATCTCGCCGATTCGGAGCGCGGCGTAGGTAATCATCGGGAAGAGGATCAAAAAGAAGAGCGTGACGAGCCAGATCGGCCTGAATTGAGGTACGAGGTTGTACTTCCAGGTGATCCAGGTTGCTAGAAGTGCGTAGACCCAGTACAGCGCTGGAGCTAATCCGAGAGCGACCAGGATCTTCCATGTCGCAATGACATCGCGTGCTTGGACCTTAACAGTCGAGGCCTTCAAAGCCTGCGCGGCCTTTGCTTTTGATATTTTCTTGGTGGCAATAAATACCGGAGCAAACAGAATTGCTCCAGGAAGAGCACCAAGAAGCAAGATCGAGAGCTTGAGCGACCGGTAGATGAGCTTAACCGCGATAACCCCGGTTGACATGGTCGCGTACTCGACCTGATGATCTAGGATACCCAAATGCCGCAGGTTTTGGTTATATCTCGTGACTCCCTCTCGCAGATGGATAATACGCGGATCGTTCTTGTAGTGTGTGTAGCCAACAATCAAGCGGCGGTTCATTTCGATCGTGAGCGAGATTGGGAATTTCTTATGCAGAGGCTTGTATAGCCGGCGAGCAGCCTGGATGACCATCATCGTGTCGTAATCGGGTGAGGTAACTGTAACCGCCAGCAGAGCGCTCTGCACCATTCCCAGCATGGTCGAGACAGCTGTGCGACGGGCTTCGCCTCCTTCGTGATATTTGGCGACTAGATCGGCCGGGACATCCAAAGGAGGGCCAAACTCGACGACAGCTCTCGAGCGAAATTTGTGGGGGTGGAAATAATTCATGCCGCAGGGCACGATTTTGACGTTGCAGTCTGGGTTGTGGTCGATTGCCCCGAGAGCCATGATTGCGACACCGGCCTTGAGAGGAAGCAGGTCTGGCCGGTCGTGGGAGCCGCCTTCGGGAAAGATGCCGATACATCCGCCATTGTTGAGGTAGTGGAACACTTGCTCGTATACTTCTTTCTGTTGGATCTTTGGAGCAGACTTGTAAGTGAGCTTGTCGTGCCTTAGGGCGTCGAGAGCTTTGTCCTTGAATGGTTTCTTGAGTTTTAGTTCAGAATCAGAGACAATCTCCGAGATCTCTGCGGTGCCAACGTTTTTGGAGAGCATGATTAGACCACCGACGACGCACTCTGTAGTGAATTTCGTGTTTTCCCCGTATAATGTCTCTGTATCTGATCTGTCTTTGATATAGACTGTGCCGGACGCTGGTTTTGCGAGGTCTTGTGCACGCGCGACGGGGATGGTGTTGATAGCCTTTGCGATTGTTCCGATGAACTTGCGCTTCATGGACGCGGCAGCGATGAGGAAGGAGACTCGGCGGCCGGCTTCGTTGCGGATCAAGCGCATGAGCATGATTGGGTCGATGAACTGGTTTGCATGAGGAGCAGCGACGAAGATGATCGGTCCGTGTCGGGGGATCCTGTAAGCACCGCGTGGCCGGATTTCCCGAAAGAAGAGGTCGAAAACGACTAGATTGTGCGTGTTAATAGTGGTTCTTTAACAATTTCGAAATCTGTAGTATAGACTCACCCGACCAGGACCAGATAATCAGGTCATAGATCCATGCTTGGAAAGTGAGGATGGTATCGATCGAGTGTACTCTCTCCGGCTTCTTTGTGGGTTTCTCATCATCCGGAAGGAGTGGCTTGGACTCAGGCTCGACCGGATCGCTCGGCATGAGTGCTTTTGTTGAGTGAGGAGGTCAGGAAGATGCAGAGAGGAGGAGTAGAAGTGGCGGAGAGGAGATGTGGAGATTTGCGGGTGGAGAAGTTGATGATATGCGAACAAGGCAGGAACAACGACTGACGATGCTGAGTTCACCACGACGCAATTACAGCACAATAAACCACACAATTAACAACGGCACAAGTAACAACAGTAATTGAACCGCAGATTACTGTAAAAACCTCTGCTATCCCGCCGCTGGCGAACAAGTCAACGAGTCGAGAGTTCGCGGTTATCGTCTGGTTGCTTTAATTCTCGCAGTTTCTTATTTCCTTTAGAGTTTGGAGTTACCCGGTGGGAAGTTCTTTCACTATTTCCTATTTCTATTCTACTTAACTAGTTAAAACTAGTAATTTGTACTAATAACTGTGTTATATTCAGGAATACATATATCCTGTCTGTATACTGTGTCTGTGATGATACTCCTACTCATTCAAATCTTCCTGTTTATTCTGCACTACTGTCAGTAACTATCGAGACCTGATAAAGTAAACTGACCACATACTCTTGGTGTCCTTGATATGATCAGCCAGAGGAAAGTTGATACTGTTCTTGACCTCTTCGCTGCCCGCCCATTTGTTCTTCTGGCTGGGCTTCATGTGCGCGAACGACTCTGAAGATCCACCGGAAATTCCTAAGCATGGTCTCTGTTAGATGGCGAGCTAGACAATCTCCTGGCAGAGGTCAGACTTACCGGCCCAGTAGCCCATCGCGCCCATGGTGATCAGCACGGTCCCGCCGAGGAGGTAGAGGCCTGGGTGGCGACGGCCGTAGGAGTTGAGCTGGTGGGAGGCATCAGCCATATGCTGAGTAGCAGGAGACATTGTGCTGTGATGTTGTTGCTGAAAATACTGTTGGTTTCTGCAGGAAGTAGACTGGGGAGAAAGATAAGGAATGAGATCCACGGCAGATGCGTCCCTGTTATAAAGGCTCTGGGTGATTGGCGTTGCCTCCAAATCCCTCAACGTCGGTCAGGAGAATGAGTCCAAGATGGTTAAAGACGACCGAGATCGGCAAGAACTGGGTGGAGCGATTACCGCATAGGGCAGGCAGCGGGAGGGCCAATAATCATGTGGCAGATCTGGGTGATGTCATCCGATCCGAGATGAGCTCAGGCGAGTTTATGTCTTTCATTGTTGATTGCTTATCATTGTGATATTACAAGAGATCAGGAGCAGGGACGGAGCGATATCTCGACCTGACTGCCCGCTGCCACATCGCTCTCGCTATATCGCTGCCACAGCACTATTCTACTATAATACAATCAATTACAATCACTTCTTATCAACACTTCTTGTCTTTGATCCTCTACGAATACCAAAAAAGAAAGAAGTGGAGCGGTTGGCGATGTCGATCGCGTCGCGTGCGGCTACGACGATGACGTCAGAGACCGTTGTCGAGCTGCTCGTCGGTGCCGGTCCACGCAGAGATAATAGAAAGTTGTGGAGAAGATGCGATAAGAGGATTATTTGCTGTTGTTGTAGATGTAGAATGAGCTGCTGAATAGCTGTAGGTATCAAAGACACAGTAGTAGTTAACATGTTGTATAACGATATGCCAACAAATGCCAATACGCCGCAGTAGACCCCTGATCCACGTCTGCTGTTATCTGATATCTGCAATAACCCGCCGAATCTCACTTATTGTCACAACAATAGATCAAAACAGCATCATGGCTCTGGAGAAGCAGCAGCCGGCGGTGAATGAGCTCGAAGACCAACCCAGCAGCAGCCTCCCTGTCTTCCAGGGCAACGCCAGGTTCTTCCTCGGCGGCCGTCTCCAGACTTCTGTAGGTCCGCCTACAAATCTGCTGGCTGTGGTTGCTATCGTAGTTCCTGTTGGACTCTACTTTGGATTCTGGTGTGTGTCTTTTATAGTATTGCTTGTTTTCTTCTTGTTTTTTTCTTGTTTCAAGCTCACTCGTCACAGCGCGCCCCGGATATGGCATCGTCTTTCGCCAGCGATCCCAATACTCGTCGCCTATCTCCTCGTCTTGTCTCTTTCTTCTTTGTTCAAGCTCACCTCTGATCCCGGCGTATGTCATTCTACTCTTCTATTTTATCTACGTGCCCTATTCTGACTCATATCGCAGGTCCTCCCGCGAGGCATCCACGCCGAAGACGAGCATCCAGCTTCAGAACAAGAAACTGTCGTTTACATCCCCTACCGCACAAATGACCCTCTCGCGCCTACAATCGACCTGGCGGTAAAGTACTGCACCGTATGCAACATATGGAGGCCTGCTCGAGCTAGTCATTGCCGGACCTGCGATTGCTGTATAGGTGTGTTGCCTGAGCCTGAGTCATTTTCTGCATTTAACTAATGATCTCTAGATCGATTGGACCATCACTGCAAATGGTTAAATGTCTGTGTCGGTGCTCGAAACTACAGGTCGGTATCCATATAACTATCTTCATAGAAGCAACACTAACTCTTCTGCAGATACTTCTTCACCTTCATCGCATCCTCCTCCATCCTCGCCCTCCTCACCTCCATCTCCAGCTTCCTAGCCGTCTTTCTCTGGAAACGCGACCACCAAGCATCCACTCTCGACGCCTTGCGATCGGCTCCCGTGTGCTTTGCTCTCGCGCTCTACTGCGCTGTCGGCCTTCTCTACCCAGCTGCGTTACTGGTCTTCCATATGTCCTTGCTGTGCCGGGGTATGAATACTCGTGAACAGGTAAGTGATGCGTTGCCAGATGCAGCTTAAATACTTATATCTTTGTAGATCATAGAGACACGACTTCCAAAAGAGCAAAGACATCGAGTGCGGAATTCAAACATCAGCGTTCGCAGTTTTCTAGATATCTGCTTTGCGCCGAAGCCGTTGAGGTAAGTTTCATGCATTCTATTCCTGAGTTGGTGGAATTGACACTATATTCTTTCAGTTATGTCCGACCCCCTAAGAGGAAGCAGGTTTATTGAATCATTTGAGATAGTAATGATATAAATGACATATTCTCTGCTGATATCTGATCGTAGTCTGCATAAGTAAACTTAGCTGCGTAGGGTTTCCATCTCATCCAACTCATGATCCGCCTCCACACGAGTCTAAAGCACCTCCACCAACTCAACCGCCGACTCTACACACCGGCACTCTATCATTCAAAAAATACAAGCGAAATGGCTGTCTCACTTCCGGACTCGTTTGCTGAGTTGCTGCGGTCAAAGTTCGAGGACGCGAAAAAGAGCGGGACTCTTGTTTTCACGGACTCGGTTGCTGAGGATGTGGAGGTTAAGAACGTGTCGGTGGGTTGTTGCTGCATATTCATATCTGCGTATAGTTGTATTCTAACATCTGAATAGTTCCAAATAAGACTTGCAGAGGGGCTGTCAAAGAAACCTGCTCCGTCTGAAGAGAAATCAGAAGACAAAACTCCAAAACCAAAGGTATTTCTTCCTCAAACCAAATCATCAACTACAGATTCTAATATCAACAGTTCAACCCATTCCTCAATCCCGACCCCGACCTCCTTCTCTGCGACCTTGGCCCCGACTACCGACTTGTTCTCAACAAATTCAGCATCGTCCCATACCACTTCCTCTGCATCACCAAAGACTTCAGGCCGCAGTCCTCGCCGCTCTCGGAGGAGGATCTGGAAGCGACCTGGGCCTGTTTGCAGGCTGACAGTGTCGAGGATGGAAAGAAGCTGATGGCGTTTTATAATTGCGGCGAGGTCTCTGGCGCTAGTCAGAGTCATAAGCATGTGCAGTTTATTCCGATTCCCGAGAAATCCAAGCTTATTCCTGATGTGGCCTTGACGTATGGTAACTCAAAGAGCCAAGGTATGTGTCTTCTGCAGTAGACCTTCCACAACAACACAAAGAAAGCATGATCTAACGAGATACAGATGCAATCGGCGAGTTCCCAACCTTCAACCCCGAGATCCCATTCGCGCACTTTGTCCTGCCGATCCCACCCTCCGCCACCGCCGAAGACCTCGTAATGCGCTTCTCGTCCCTTCTCGCGCGCACGCTGACCGCTCTTCACGAGCACGGCCAAAAGGGTATCGCGTTCAACTTTGCCATGACAAAGGAATGGATGTTCATGGCGCCTCGGACAAAGGCGTTTTACGAAGACGTGTCGGTTAATGCGACCGGTATGGTCGGCATGTTGATGGCAAAGTCAACCGAGCAGCTCGAGTTTATCAAGTCTACTGGGCCGCTTGAGGTTTTGCTTGGAGTTTCTGTGCCGTTGAAGTTGGAGGATGAAAAACATCACCACTACTGATAGAAAACTAATCTATAATCATTCTCTATAAATCTATGAATCGCCCAGCAAAGCAGTCTGCTCGTCCAAAGTGTATCCAAGAATATACAATATATCCTGTAGCGACTCAGTATTCAGTCTCGCCGGCGCCTTTGCCTGCACAATCGGTTTTGCATTCCAAGCGACGCCGTAGCCGGCCGTGCCCATCATCACCAGATCGTTCGCGCCGTCGCCGACAGCCATGGACTCTTGTAGCTCGATACTCTTCTCCTCTGCGATCTGCCGGAGGAGATGGGCTTTTCGCTCGGCGTTGACGATGTCGCCGAGGACTTTGCCTGTTAGAGCTGTGCCGTCGGGTGATACCTCCAGCTGGAGAAGTGATGTTAGCAAGAGAGTATTACGGTATGAGAAACATTATGAAAACTTAGGGGACCGCGCACAGTATTTGCGAAAGCATAGTCAAGACCCAACTGTCCCTTCAACCAGCTCGCGAGCGGGATAAACCCTCCGCTGAGTACAGCAAGAGTATATCCTTCCTTCTTCAGCACCTTGCAGAGTTCTATGGCGCCGGTTGTAATCTCAATCTTGCTCTTCAGCGACTCAAACACAGTCGCTGGTACACCTTCGAGCAGAGATGCGCGTCGGCGGAGGGATTCGTTGAAATCGATCTCGCCGTTCATTGCCAGGGCCGTGATTGCCTATAGTATGTTAGCAACTGGTAGATACACCACAGTTGAGGAAAACGGAGAAGAGCATACAGAAACGCGGTCCTCGACATCCGCATAGGCGGCAATCATATCAATGACCTCCTGTCTGATCAACGTCGAGTCCATATCAAACACCACCAGCCTCTTCCCCCTGCGGAACACATTATCCGGCTGCAAGCAAACATCAATCTTCTCCTGCAGACATATCGGGTTCACTGCTGCCTTCAGCGCGCTGAACTCGAGGTTGGCGGGTAGTTGGATCGTGTAGTCTTCCGCGCGGTCGGAGAGGACCTTGGTGCTGGTTACTGTCACGCTGAGGGAGGAGGCCAGCGAGGTCCACGCATCGCGCTGAGCTGGTGAGATTGGCGTCTTTGAGATTATTGTGCAGATGTATTTGCTCATCTTTCTTTGTTTTACTTATAATCTGGGGATACGTAAATATTGTCAAAAGTGTTCAAACTTCGGCATCGCAAAAAAAAAATTGAGCCGCACGATGATTATTTCTCGACATCCGCAAATCCTTCTTTCTTACAACATTCACACATCACCACTCACTAAAGGATCTCGGAGACCATGGCAGACTCCATGATAGACGAGTATCTGATCTACTGCACCGCTTCCAGCGGTCCCAAAGACGACGGCACGATCTCGGTCGGCAAGTTTAACTCTGGGCTCTCGACGGTCAAGACGTTCAAGCAATCTGGATCGTTCAGTAACCGGGTCGTAGTCAACGAGTCTGTGGTGCTGGCTGCGCAGGCAAAGAAAGCGATTATCAACGTCTACTCGTATGCAAAGGACGGGCCGGTGCAGAAACTGTTTGTGCCGGACAAGCTCAGCTGTCTTGCTGCTACTCACAGTGGAAAGTTTTTGGTGGCTGGGACTGCGAGCGGGAAGCTCATCGTCTGGGATGTACGTATATTTTTTGTTTGTGAAGAAAGAGCTATGCTGACAGCGTCTTTAGCTTACCTCTGGAGTATGCTTGCTTTACAAAGAAGTCCACTACGGCGAAATCAGCTGCCTCGTGTTTTCGCACGACGACGGCATGCTGTTCAGCGGCGGGCACGATAGCAGGATACTAGGCTGGCGACTGATTGATCTCGTGAGAGCGCAGTCGCGATATGAAGAGCTGCAGCCTGTTTGTAGCTCGAATCAGCATAAGCTGCCCATCACTGGACTTGCTTGCGGGTATGGAAGTTCGCTCGAGGCTAGGCTTTATAGCACCGCAGCTGATGGAACCTGCATGGTATGTCTTCTCTGCTTATTCCGTTTGTAGGGTGTTGGTCTAACATATGGCAGGTCTGGAATGCGTCTGATTTACGCCTCTACACCACCTACGTCTTTAACGGCACAGGCACATGCCTCGCCCTCGACCCCGCCGAGCGCGCAATCTACGTCGGCACCGACTCCGGCTCCATCATCCACATCGACCTCTACCGCTCCTCCAACGACGGCACAGGGCTAGAATACAACGGCGGTCTGCAACGAGTCGTCAACGTCGAGTCGGACGCGTACGCGCGGTTTGATTCGCATTCTGCTAAAGTGCTCTCGCTCGACTTGTCGTTCGACGCCACGCAGCTCGTGTCGGGGGGTGAAGACGGCGTTGTGCTGTTGTGGGATATTTCGTCGCATCAGATTATGAAGAAACTCGGACCCGCGAAAAGTGAGTCGATACTACATCTCTCCATCTACCTGTCTCTAACTCTAGACAACTTTTAGCACCGGTATTCTACGTCAAAATTCAACAATCCCTCCCCGCCACAAAATACTTCCAACTCGAGTCTCTGAAATTCAGCTTCGACCAGCAATTCGAACGAAACCACAACTCATGGTCTCTGCCTACTCCTTTTTCCGCGCCAAACGTGTCTATTACCCAGTTAGTCAACCAACCGTCTGGTCCTGATCACGAGCAGTTTATCAAAACTCAGCCGAACGCTATCGTGCCTCCTGGCTTTACGGGGTCACTTAAACCTTCCTCGCAACGGAAACCGACACAGACTAAATCAGACACAGACAAGAATACACCAACAACACCATCCACAACAGACGAGTCAACACAACTCCCCTCCTCCGAACAAGACAAGAAAGAGATCGAAGAACTAAAGGCGAAGTTACAGACTATGACCGGGGCATACAACCAACTCTGGGCAAAGTTCTCTGAAAAGTCAAGTAAATAAGTAAATCTTAGCGACTACATATTGGGTTTCTGTGTATTGTCTTTGCGTTGGGGTTACTTTTCTTTCTTCTACATTGGGGTGGTCGTTAGAGACTGTATGATAGTATAGATGGTTATTGTTGTATTGTAATAATAACTCAAAAGTCCTTCGTTCTTTATCGTTCTTCTATTTCACTGTAGTCTATAAACATCATCATCATTATTATTTCACTGTAGTCTTCATTGATATCTTGTAGTCTTCAATGATATCCTAAGACCAGTAGCTTTACAAAAGATGATCATATACCGCGTCAGCAGACCACTCAAACTAAATCCAGCACAAACCACACCCTCAACTCCCACATTTTCTACCACACCCCAAAGAAAGATCCCCACATAGCTAATAATCTCCAACAATTACGACAATTAAAATCAACTAAAGACACAGCTTATAGCTGGCTAGAAATATTTTTTTCCAACAAGAAGCCTGGCTAGCTCAATTGGCAGAGCGTGAGACTCTTAAGTTCTTCCTTAGAAGTCATCTCAAGGTTGGGGGTTCGAGACCCCCGTTAGGCTCTTTTTTTTGCTATTTTTTTTGCCCTACAATATGTTTTTTTGAAGGATTTCCTTTTCACGTTTTAAGATAAGTATATATTTATATCACTATTGAGATGATTTAGAGCAAGGAAGACTACGTCTAGCAAATAATATTACAGTTCACAGAATCGTATCGCGCGTAGTAGAACTCAAACAACTTCCTTCTACGGATCAACGATATCCACGTATTCTTGCAGAAAATCAGTCAACTTTGCAAACTTGACTGGAGTACGTAAATCGTTCTGCCTCTGTGTATTTGATGTTTTATCGAGCTGTGTCGGCTGTTGGGGAGTGTCGAGTGTAGTCGCAGTAGCATATGTCGAGCTCGCGTTATTGCGACTAGACGCAGAAGCACATGCGTCTACTTTCTGGGGCCGTTCTGTGCGTAAATTCTCCATCATTTTGAAGAACGCGTCGGCGTCGTATGTGCTAGAGATATCCATGATCGAGCTACTGTCGGTTGTTAGTCTTCGGCTCGTGGAGTCTGCGGATGGTGAAGTGCTTGGAGCGGCGAGCGAGGTTGAAAAGGTTGATGAAGATGGAGGGTGCTGTTCTGTATAGGTACTTCTGAAAACAGGTTCCTTGCGATTCAGTCGCGCAGGAGATGTTGTTGTCATCGGTTCTTTTCTTGACTGCGCGATCTTTGAAGGCGTCGCGGGGCTGACATCTCTGATCACGTCCAAATCGCCATCGCCGATTTTAAATGTCGTACACGCCCTCTTCTTTGCACCCATCCTATCAAACTCAACCTCGTCATTCGTATCCTTCCGTTTCCTAGATATATCAAGTTTAGCAGAATCAGACTGCGGCAGAATAGGTGCCGTAAGTTCGCGCAGATCGTCGCTTGTTAGATCGAAATCGTCAGATGGCTGCGATTGCTCAATTATCTCGGCCTCTTTTGACTGATTTTCTCTTCTTTTGGTTGCGTTAGTTCCTATGAGACTTCCCAGCATTATCTCATATACAGACCTTATATCACTCAGCATAGACTCAAAGTTCAGATCAGAATAAATGATCGAGCTACTAGAGTTCCCATCACTCTTATTCTCAGCCGCGACAGCAGGCTCGCTTTGCAAAGGCTTGACAGTAGGACTAGTATTAATGCTGCTCGACGAAGATGAAGACAGAAACAGTACGTCGTGCAACGATGCCTGAGTCGACCCTTTTTTGCCACTCGTGTTCGACTTCGTGCCACTCGTGTTTGACTTTGTGATTTTGCGATAATCTGTCATCGATCGCTGCCCGAGCTGTTTGAGGAAAACGATGCTGTCGGAGTGCATGTTTAAAAGTATTTGCTCGACAGCCTCAGTTCCGACTGCACAATGCAAATTATCAGACATATTCCTATCTTAGTAATAAAGGTTCAAAAGTACCTAGCTCCTCGCACGCCACCGAAAGACGGCATTTTAGCGGCGTTCCGGTCCATTTCTCAACATGCGCTGAGCAAAGAAATTCGCGGCCACTCTTCAAATCGTTAAACCTATACACAATCATAAAGTCAGTAGGTGCGTAAAAAAGATGTATAAAGTGCTTTGTACACCGCTCTCCGGAGATCGACCAAAGTTCCGTCCGAAAGATCGACGAGGACCGAGACGGTGATTAACTGTCGATGGTAGAATTTGACGATATTCGTGTTGGTCACAGTGATTGAAATTTTCACAGACAGATTAACCCCATCCTTCACCCGCGTCTCTGAAACCTTTTTGAGCGCGACTTTGAACCTTGGGATCTTTTCTGAATCTTGCAGCAGTTTCGCCGCGCGACCGCTTGAGACTCCCAACGCATGCTCGATCCTGAACGCGTCGCAGAGCCGGAGATCGTCCACCGTCTTGATTCCCGCCGCAATCAGTTTTCGCATCGAAACGGGGCCGATACCATCAACCTGAAGCAAGACTTGTGGGGTACCGTCCCATACCTCGGCATTCATGGACCGCATTAGCTCCAGCGCCGATCTGACTGATGCTCCGTCGTGCACGTATGATTTGCAATCGATAAGACATTTCGAGAGGCGATGCACATGTTGCCAGACCATGCCCTTGTCGGCCGTCATTTGTACCACATGCTTTCCCGCGCCGTCGTAGCTCGGCTTCTCGATCCGTCCGAGAACAGCTTGGATGAGCAGATTGACTTTCTCAGCATAGCTTGTAATCTCGTTTGGCTTTGCGAACGGGAACCGGATCTCATTCGAGCTGTTGATTTCTTTGTAGAACTTTTTCTCGCCGAGCCGTAAGTTTATCTCTTTGAACTCTGAACTCGCAGAAATCACTTTCAAGGTGTCGGATAGGTTCATGTTAGCATCAGACTTTTGGAACAGTTTCATGGTCTCAAACTTGATGTAGAAAGTAGCCATCGACTGCCCATATGAGGTAGGAAGAATGACACTGTGATTTGCATCTGGCATATTCACTATCTCAGCTTCCCTGAGTAACTCAATGTTCTCCATATATATGTGATCAAGGATGATTTCGACGTCCCGAACTCCAGGGATTCCGATACTGTAGTATTCCGGATTCTGAGTGATGCGCACGTAGAGAAACGTAGACTGAAGCCATCCAATAGCCGATCGTCGATCTTTGATAACCCGCAACACGATCTCCGCGTTCATGTGCTCGATCAGGTTCTTGTGCAGACTACTTTCGACGATATCCTCGCCGTGAGAGATTTGCTCGTATTTGCTTTTGTTGTCTTTTGTCGTCATTATAACTGCCGTGCCCGAGATATCGAATTGAGGACGTCCGGCGCGGCCGATCATTTGTTGAATATCGAATTCGGCGTATTCCTGCATCTTGTTGTCTGCCCAGGAAGATGTTCCTTTGATGATTACCATCTGAGCTGGGAGGTTGATCTAGAGAATGTCAGAAGTGTTTGGAACGCAACGAGCAAGAATACGTACACCCATGGCCAGAGTCGAAGTACAGCAGATGATCAAAATCTTCCTGCTCAAGAATAACTTCTCGATAAGCGCCCGATCAGGAAACGTCAATCCAGCATGATGATAAACGACCCCACTCTTAGCCAGCTCATTCAACTCTCTATCTTGGAACCCCGCACTCGCCCCTCCCGCGGGATGCGAAAACACTCTTCGCGAAGCAATCCAAGTGCTCGCGAGATTCTTTGCTGTGCTGACCGCGATCTTGCGAGTGGCGCAGAAGATGATGATTGGCTTTTGAGAGTAGTGCGTGTCGAGCACTTCGGCGAGTTTGTTGTCGAATAACTTGTCTTGCTGGAAGAGGTTCTTTGAGCTGGAGGCGTAGCCGTATACGAACGTCTCAAGCGGAACGGGTCTGTATTCTTCCCCGAAGCGGAACAGCTTTGCGGGGACTTCAGGATCAATTAGTCCAGCTTGTTATGAGAAAGAAGAGATTACCCACAAGTTTGAGACGTTGATGACCGTCGAAGCCATTCAGCAATATCCTCAGCGTTAGGAATCGTGGCCGACAGAGCCACAAATCTAGCACTGGGACAGAGGTACTTCATTCTCGACACGACTGCTTCTAAAGTCGCTCCCCGACTTTCTCTGAGGATATGGACTTCGTCAATCTAGAGCGAGTTAGAATCGCCCACCAACGACCAGAAAAAACACAACAAGCAATACCAAAACAACAGTAACAAGACTCATCAGCTTATCATAATCCTTCCATTTCCTAGTCGTCGAGTCCCACTTCTCAGGCGTAGTGACAATGACCTCTGTATTCTTCACCATCTGCAACTCTTCGGCCGCGGTATCACCCGTGAGCAACCCGACCGAGAAGCCCAACACCGCAAATCTAACAGACCAGTCTCTCCAGCGCTCGTAGCAAAGAGCGCGCGTAGGAGCAATGTAAACCATTTTTGCGTTTGCAAAGTTCTTGCTGCTGCTGCTGCTGCTGCTGATGCTGCTGCTGCTGGAGGGCTGCTGCTGGCGGGAAGAAGCGCGGAGGATGGCGAGATCAAAGATGACGGTTTTACCGGCGCCAGTCGGAGCAGAGACAACGATGTTGTCGTCTGAGTTGTAGACGTCGGGGAAGCAGGCGGATTGGACTTTGTTGAAGGAGGTGAAGGTGAAGATGGAGCGGAATCTGTCAGGGAGAACCGAGACAGGGACCTGTCGCTCCGGCATTGCGTGTGTCCTGCTCATCTTAGTCTGACTTCAATTCAGCAGTATAAACAACATACAAAAGCAGTGTTGTAAGAAGAGATATCAAGAAGAGTATGGACGAGTGTCTGTCTAGCAGCTACGACGCGCCGGGAACGAAAGCGGCGCGTTATCACGTGAAGTAAAGCACAAGAGCCTCAACTGCTTACATTCACGTGTCTGCGATTCTCGCACGCGCTTTGTGCTTTTGAGATTTGAGATGGACAGTGGAGGATCAGTCGTGAGTATGGAGATTGGAGGATGCGAAGAGACGGACAGGAAGAGGAAGAGAAGGAGAGTTATTACGCTTGTTGGTGCACCGTTGGCGAGTGAGCTTGTGGCGAGGGATGCGGTGGAGGAGATATCTGGATCGCAGACGGATAAGCAGGACGAGATATCTGGACTGCAGACAGAGGACAGTGAGCAGGAGGAAGGTGCTGATAGTAAGACTCTGCTATTTGCTTGAGTACTTGGTGCCTCAACTAACGAGATTAGGAGAAACAGAGGTAGACACATTCACGACACTCGCAGACCCGCTCTCAACAAAGCGGGTCACATACATCAGCGACATCCCTCCTCTGGACCACATCCTCACCTTTGGACCCCGGCAGTTTTCTTTTCTGGCAGTGATACTTTCTGTTTCTGCACCAATCAAGACAAAGTCCGGTGCAGAGCTGCGGTATATCATCATCGTGGACTCGTCGGTCTCCTATCGAGCGATGGTAGCGAGCGCGATGCGTCACGACGAGACGACAGAACACGGAGACGCAGCACGGCCTCTGGTGATCTCCGCCTGGGATCTCGCGCGCGATCTATGCTACTTCAAAGGAGAGAAATGTACCCGCATCCCGCAAGTCGGCGATATCGTCTGTCTAACTGAGATCACAATCCAGGCATACCGCGGCACCGTCCGCGGCACAACGCGACGCCCTTGCTCGCGCGTGAATGTCCTGCTTACCGCGGCAGAAGCGCGTGTTAACAGCACAGATGAAAAGATATCAGCGCTTCTGCTGGATGCGCGACGGACACCCGCGGGGGGTAGCTATCGGTCGTCGTTTATGGAGGTGGCGGGGAAGGTAGTGAGCGAGTTGAGGAAATGGGTGTTGTTTATAGATCATAATCGGAGTATGTGTCCGCCTCTACGAAGAGGTCCGGAGCTTGAGTGTTCAGCCTAGTTTTTATTTTTCTCTATTTTCATAATATCGCAAGTTTCACAGATGAGCAGCATGTCAATAACCAAGAATAAATCAAAAAAATGACCAAACTAAACTACAAGAAACAAGAAGCCCAATGAAGTTTTTCAACGCAGCGTGATATAAAATATAAAAAAATGGAATCGTCTGATGCCGTCATGATCCATCATGAATATACAACGTGATATAACAACCAAGAACCAAGAAGAAGTGAAAAGTAGCAAAGCTTTCTATAATGTGCTGATTTTGCGAAGGTATAATTAATCCTGCTTTTTAATTCCCGCACCAACGCTCTGCCCCGCAACCTTCCACCACCGAGGCAAACACGAGTATCCATCATCGTCAAAATGGTCTTTACGCGAGCAATAGCAGCGGCCGCCGGCGTGCGAGCCTTCGTCTTGAGGGCATCGCGAGTAGGGAGGATGGCGGTATCCGATATCGCCGAAGTGGTGGATCTTGGATTTTGGAAGGAATAGGCCGGCGGCTAGAGAATGGATTGGTGCATCTCCCCATCGCTGCGACTGTTAGTATTTGTGTATAGAAAGAGTATTGGTGTAGAAAGAAAAGTAGAAGATATACACACCTCATAAAAGAAACCACCTTGCTTATCCAAATGATCAAAATAATCCAAATACGCCTGCGATCTCCAAAACCGGAGATCAGCGATTTCAAAGTTTGACCAGAAATGGCAGAGGTTATAGTCGCCGTCGATCTCTTTATCACCTTTAGCAGACGGCGCATGTCCATCCACAAAAAAGTCAAGAGAGTTGTCGGCCGCGAGGTATTCAGGATGCTTCCTAACAAAGTCTTTTGTGGTGTCCCAGAGGGTTTCGATGGTCACGACGTATTCGTACATTGACATTACAAACCCGTAGACTTTGTCGTGGTCTTTCATGAATGTGAAGGGGTCACTGGAGGAGTTAGTGATGGTCTCTAATCTTAATAAAGGCTACAAAACTCACTATGTTTGGTCACAGAAAAACTCGACACCAGGCTCGACTCGCCAGTACCAGTCGTATTCAGCGAGCAAAGGATGGCGAAAGAAGAAGCCCGAGTTGTATCGACACATGTGGCGGTACGACATGCTTCCAGCGTAAATGACATTTTTCGAAACCATCTCCTCCATGTTCTTTTGGACTTTGTCCTGGTCTATGTGATCGGGGATGCTCCACTGGCTTTTGTCGATCAGACCGTATTTGGTGAGGCCTGAAGCCATGCCGGTTGTGTAGTTGATGAACTAGAATTGTAAGATAAGTGAAGGAAAGTTGATTAAGGAAAAAAAAGACACACCTCAGGAGTGAAGGGCTCGTCGTTGAGGAAAACCCAGGGGTAGCGATAGTGTCTATTGAAGCGATCCTCGAGCATTCTGATTGACTTGAGAGCGTCGTTGAGCTCCGAGTTGCTGTAAAGATAAGAGTCAGCAAGAGCACAGGAGGTCAAGACAAAGAGAGAGCCTACCGAACGAGCATAACGAGAGAAGCCTTCTCGAGACCGAGCTGCTTGGGGGCAGGAAGCATTTGAGCGAGGTCCTGCTTGGAGATGCCATAAGAAGTGAGGAACTGGTCCTCGGTGTAGAGATCAGTGGGTTTGTTGACGAGGACTTCGCGCTTTGGAGCGGAATGGTAGACAAAGTGGCTAAAGATGAAGGCAAAGAAGCCGAGGACGACGACGAAGGGCGCGACCTGGAGAACGCGCTGCCAGAGCCGGGCTTTCGACCTGTAGGGAAGGAACATGAGGGGAGCCGCGGCGGGGTTCATGCGCGGGGCGGATTTGTCTTTGTATGCGGAACCGGCGGAGGAGGCCGCGGAGGAGGCGGGGGCGGGGAGGACGGGCATGATGCGGTCGGAGAGGAAGTCAGAGAAGGAGGACCAGAGGGATGAGAGGGAGAAGCGGTCGGAGTAGTAGGCAGCTGAAGAAGCAGAGGAGGGAGAAGGAGAAGAAGAAGAGGCGTAGAAGAACTGCTGGTTATCGCGCCGGGGACGAAAAGGATTTGAAGATGAGTCCATCAATGTGGAGGAGGAGAAGAAGGCGGATCGACGAGCTCGCTGTGCAGTATTTCTTTCTGCCCACGGCGTGCTAGTGAGTTAGAACGAACAAGAGAAGAGAGAAGCAGCCATGAAACGGCTGAAAGAACAACGAGCAGTTGGCAAGAAGTAAACAACAACAAATAACAAATACAAAACAATAAAGAATAAAGAATAAAATCCGGCTCAAAACACGTCGCTCGTCCTTGTCGAATTGTCCTCGGTCCACGTCTCCTGAGCACACCCTAATCCTAATCACAGCAACTCACAGTTGAGTCACAGACCCACAAATCCCAAATCACATTTTGACGAAAAAAATAAAAAAATAAAAAAATAAAAAACTTAAAATGACGCAAAGGCCTCGTCGAGCCCATCGCCTCGTCAGCTTCCTCAGTTTTGTCGAAGAGAAGAAGAAGAAGAAGTTGTTTATTGTATTGTTGTTGAAGTAGTTGTTGTTCTATTGTATTGTGTTATTGCTGCTGCTCATAGTCTTTTTCTCACCATGCACCGCTCGCAATACTTCAAAGTCCTCCTTCCCTGCCTCGCCCTCCTCCATGCAGTCCTCCTCTCCATGCTCGCCCTGCCGACCCACGGCGTAGTCGTCTCGACCGCAGACGTCTTCACCGCCATCGGCCTCGGACTCGCCGGATTCGCGTCTCTGCTCTGTCTGCGCTTCATTCTCTCGCTCTTCCCGCTCGCGTCCGTATACACCACCTCCCTCCTCCTCTTCGTCGTCGGCCTCGTCGAGGAGATCGTCCACTTCCTTCTTCTCCAGCCCCTCAACAAAGCCACCTGGCATCCCGCCTACATCCTCGGCTTCTCCTGGTCTCTCGCAGAGTGCATCGTCTCTCTCAACCAGCTCATTCCCCCGAGGCAGTACCGCTACTCGCGCGTCGCCGACTTTGACGACGACGAGTTCGACAACGACAACGACGCCTTGGTGCCCTCCGCGCTCTCGCATTTTGTCGACGAGACCCCGGCTGATTCCACTCAAGAGTTTGATCTCTCTCTCTCAGAGGCTGCTGAAGATCACTCGTTGCTTGATCCCGAAGCACAGGATCAGTCTCCCGCGCAGGCCGACTCTGATGCTCCTGCCCATGCTCATCACCACCACCATCACCACCATCACCATCACCGCCACGACGGCCGGCCTGATCCCGCATCTACATTCGCTGCCGCCGCCCAGATCGGCAAGCAGCAGCGCGAGGACCCCATCGCCCCTCTGATCGGCACCTCTCTGCTCGATCTGCCGACCTACTTCCCCTTCCTCTGGCGCACCTCCGCCCTGCTCCACCACCTCGGCTTCTCGCTCCTGCTCAGTCTCCAGGACGTCACCTCCAACGGCGTCCTCGCCGCCGTCATCGTCGTCTGTCTCTACCGCGGCGTCCTGCGCTCGATTTGGGGTATCGGAATCATGAGGTATGTCGCGCTCTCTACCCCGTCTTGCGTCATCACCTACGCCCTTGCGTCATCTGATCTCTTGTGTTCTGACTGTCTTTCATATAGATTCGGTGTCGTCACCGTCACCTTCCTTACCCTCGTCGGCGGCCTGCTTAGTTATGTCGTCGGTCTTGCTATCTGGCAGGCCATCTAAGTCTCCTCGCTCCATCTCATTTGTTTCATAGTGGTTATATGACCATGATGAGGCACAAAAAGTTCTTTGTCTTTCTATTTTCCTATTTTCTTTTCTTTTTCTTTTTCTATTTGGACGGGGTCGGGTACAAAAATCAATTATGCAATGGGTTTAAGGAATCTAAAAGTTTTGCTCTGATTTATTCTATTTTATATCTTCTCTATTTCTCTATGTGAGGCAACCACTCTGGCGTCTTGTTAATAATATCGTTGATGTAATTACTTCTTATAAACTAGTATTATAGTGATGCAAACCTCGTAAATCTGTCCATCAAAATCTCGTAAATCTGTCTATGGGCTTAGAATACAAAATTTATTCTATATCCAATCTTCTCGGGCCACTACTTTGACGTCTTGTTATATACCGTTGATGTAATACTTCCTGTACTTCTCTATAAACTACTATCTCTGCCACTTCCCCAGCTTATCCGTCATAACCTCATACGTAATAAGCGTGACCGCACTAGCCGGAATCGTTCGCAACAGATTCGTGCCCATGCCAGCGTAAAACGTACGCCAGCCCTCATCCACAAATATTGACCTCACCGTCTTCATAATGCCGTCGTATGCCGCCGAAGCTGGCTTGTCAGACGAAGAAGGCGACGCATGAGCTAGAACGCGCTGGATCTGCATCCGCGTCTTGATGACTTCAAACGGATAAGTCACCGACGACGTCAACATCTTTGCGAGCGTCGAGGCAGTGAACACCGCGGAAATCTTCTCAAAGTCCGAGGGTTTCGACTCCGGCGCCGGCACAAACACTTTCTTGAACGATTCGTACAGCGGGAACTGGATCGAGACATGCACGAGCGCGTACAGAGAAGGTACGAGACCAGAGTAGAAAGACGAAAGGCCCTCGGTTCTGTACATTGTCTTGAACGCGTCGAAACTGTCTCTGTAGTGCCACGCCGTGTGGGCGCTTTGTGTCATCAACCGCGTCTTGACGACCGTGATTGGGCTGGTGATGACGGTTGCAATCACGCCGCCGGTGAATGCGGAGGCCATGTGCATGAATGATGGATACTCTCTGAATACTATAGACCTGTGAGCTTCTCTTTTCTTCATAATACAGATAATTGACGCACCTGAGAATCTCGGAAGGTCCTTTTTACACTGCTCGTAGACTGTAAAGTACACCATCAGCGTAGGGAGATATCCCACCGTCGTCGTTCCCAGCCCGCGGTAGAAACCCGCAACACCCTCGGTCTTCCAAATAGTCTGCATCGTCCCTGCAGTCTATTAGTCTGAGCAACAGCAACATCAACAAGAACGGACCCACCAGTAAGACCCAAATACTTATCCGCGCCTTTAACGCCATACTTTGTAAACCCGCCCTTGGCCTGCAACTTTGTCCTCGCGACATCCAGCGGACAGACAAAGAACCCGGTCAGGAACCCCGCTGTTGCGCCAGAAACCGCGTGGATCGCAGTCATGTTCAGACGCCATGATGATTGTCGCGGCGGTATTGTCTCTGATGAAAGAGGTGTTTTTGAAGTTTCGGACGCCATTGCAGAGTGTTGTGGAGTATTCGGCAGACTTCTTTATGACCTCTTTATGACCTCTTTATAAGCCACGGAGCATCAAAAGTGGTAAAGCAGCTGCCCGGTGGGGGTGGGGAAACCGAGAAAAAGTCGACGACTAATGAGCTCGGAAATAAACCCTAAAACAATAAACTCCGAGGAGTCCCCCCCGGCGCCATTCTCTACTTGAATCTGCCAGAGTACTGTAGATTTTTTATAGCAATTAAGAAAGCAGTGTCTGTTCTTTATGATAGTCTCTGTCTTATTATCTGTTTTGTCAACGTCGACTGAGCAGAAGAGGATATCAAACAGTAATCTACAAACCCCTCGTTTATGTCACCACGCGCGTTGGCTTTGTTTACACTGCGCCCTGATTTGTTCCACCCAACTGTTCTCCCCGACTAAACCGATGGCAGAAAACGAAGGAGCAGATGAAGAATTAGCTATAGAGAGCCTGCTGAGCAGCACGCTGGCGGTGTATCAGAGCTCGCCAATCGTGGGATCCGCACGGCTGCCTAGTCCGGACGAGAGCTCGTGTGCAAAGTACCTGGCATCGCTGCGGAAGCGGATGCTACCTTTCCTCGAGCTCGTGAGTGACCGGTATGAAAACTCCGGGCGAACGACAGGAATCGGCAGTCAGAGCTGGAGCGCGACAACGACGGAGGAGTTACGCAAAGACGGGCAGAGCGTGGACGTGCACACGGTGAAATTCCAAGCATGCAAGTTTGTGATTCTCGTCTCCCGAGCAGACAACAATACCGAGAACGACGCGCGGATCGTCATATTTTCGCGTGCGTCACGGCAGCTGCACAGTGTATTTGCGAAATGGATCGAGCTGTATTTCGACGTCGTGGTCAGGCCTGTGCGGTTTAGCTCGGAGTTTCTGCTGCAGTTCGTGGATGATTACGTCGCTAGCTGCTATCGCGCGGAGGAGAGCACGTCGCTGGAGATTGAATTTACGACGGGAATCGCAGAGGCGAGTCGGATTACTCTGTCCTTTGACGCCGAAGACGTCCAGCGCTTCGCCAGGTCTGCAGCCGGCGGCGACGACAACGGTCCGACGGCGGTAGCGCGTCTGCTGAACCACGTACAAGCAAGCTCGGCGATCAAATTCTCGCAGCTAAAGGCAGGCAGAGTCGCGTGCAAGGGAGGCGTCGTGAGTGCAGAGGGAAAGATCAAGTTGGTAGCCAGCACGAGTCAGGAATGGAGAGTATCCTTTGCTGAGCGCTGGATTGCGGAGGTGGCGGAGATTGTTTGGCGGTAGTATTTGTATTTTGTATTATTTATTGTAAAGTAGAGCAGGTGTATTTTAGCAATCTTTGGAGTCTGGTTTGTTATGTTTTGATGTGAATTCGAGGAATATCTGAATATCTGAATTTAATCGTCGTAGAGGAATCATCCTGAGCCGCACATTTAATACTCGAAAAAAAATTCGAGATTCTCGACAACAGAAACAATTCGTCTGTAAACTCACTGCTGAAGATATAACAACAATAAAATGACGACGTCTATCACTTTGCCGCGGCCTGCTGCCGATTTCCATGTTCATGTCCGGGACGGCGAGATGATGAAGCTCGTGGTGCCGACTATTAAGCAGGGCGGTGTTTCTGTTGCCTATATCATGGTACGTCGACTTCCTCTCATCTACCATCTTCACAACTGCTTCTGACTCGGCTACACAGCCCAATCTTGTCCCGCCACTCACTGCCGTTGAGGATGTGCTGGCCTACAAATCCCGTCTTGAGGCCGTCGACGACAGCATCACGTACGTCATGAGTCTCTACCTGTCGCCCGCCATCACCCCCGACGTGATCCACCAGGCCAAAAAAGCCGGCATCACCGGCGTGAAATGCTACCCCGCCGGCGTGACGACCAACTCTGACCACGGCGTTGCTTCGTACGCGCCGTTCTACCCCACCTTTGCGGCGATGGAGGAGGAAGACATGATTCTGAACTTGCACGGCGAGTGTCCTTCGTCTGGACACATCCACGTCCTGAACGCCGAGCAGGAGTTCTTGCCCACGCTCAAGGATCTGCATGCGCGGTTTCCCAAGCTGCGGATCGTGCTCGAGCATTGCACGTCCGCGGCCGCGGTTCAGGCGGTGAAGGAGTGCGGCCCGACCGTGTCGGCGACGATTACCGCACACCATCTGTTTCTGATTATCGACAACTGGGCCGGCAACGCGTACAATTTCTGCAAGCCGGTGGCCAAGCTGCCTGCAGACCGCGAGGCGCTGCTTGAGGCTGCTACGTCTGGCAACCCAAAGTTCTTCTTTGGCTCGGACTCGGCTCCGCATCCGATGTCGGCCAAGGAGAAAGGCAAGGGAGCGTCGGCGGGCGTGTTTACGCAGACGCATGCGGTTGCGTATGTTGCCGAGGCGTTTGACAGGCTGGGGAAAATTGATAAGCTCGAGGACTTTGTGTGTAATTTTGGACGCGAGTTTTACAAGGTCGAGGAGAAGAAGGCGGGGTGGAAGGTTGTGGTCGAGAAGACTGAGGATGAGGTCATGATGGCTTTGGGAGAGGGAAGCAGTGCGGTTGTGCCGTTCAAGGCTGGCGAGAAGTTGGCGTGGAAAGTGAGCATTGTTGAGTAGCTTTGCTTGTAGTTCATTATACAATTATCTTACATCTATACAAGAACTGCATATGTAAATAGTCATAAACTGAATGTAATCGATAAGACCCCACACGCAGATAGCGCCGCACAGCATCCGCATCCGGCAACATCAACACCTCTCGAACTAATCACTTCACCACTTGTTCTTTTCTATTACTCTACAGCAGACGATGAACAACAGCAAATGCCATGCCGTCCTCTCTCCATGTGATTGTCATCGGCGCAACCGGCTTCACAGGTCGGCATATCGTGATTGAGCTGCTGAAGCGCGGGCATATCGTCAGCGGCATCAGTCGCAAGCCAGAAAAGATTGGCCAGCACGAACGGTATTTTCCTATCCCGCTCGATATCCTCGGGACGTCGGTTACTGAACTTGCTACGGTTCTAGCGAGGGCGGATGTGGTCATCAAGTGAGTCTTCTTCTCCAGTCGATGTGGTCTTGAGGTCTCAATCTCATTGTACATCAGTGCCTACGGATCTCGAGCAAGCGATAGCTCGACCTACAAACTCTTCGTCGAAGCAACATATCAAATCATCACCGCATTCAAGCACGCCGCCTTGCTCAATTCCTCTCTCTCAGCCAGCGCAGCTCCAGGCTGCAAGCCCTATCTCATCGCCATCGGCAACTCAGGCTCGTTGATCGTCCCCGGTACGGACGGGATCCACGCAGTCGACTACGAGCCGTTCTGGATCGAGTACGTGCGGAGTATGGCGCAGAGCAGGAGTCATGTTTTGTTTTGGAAGGAAAAGTATCCGGATATGAGTCAGACGGTCGAGGTCTATCGGACTGCTGTGTTGGCGTGGAAAGGGCCTGGCGCGACGCTCGAGCAGATGGAGGTCATGAAGAGTATGTCTGCTGTGATGTGATTTAAATATTGATTTCTGACTGATGATGTAGCATACGAAGACCAAATCGCAAACATCGACCACGACTTTATCCGCGCCTGCACCACATGCTACCTCTTCTTCGACGGCAACGAGTCCTTCGACTGGACCTTCATCTCTCCGCCCGCGATGTACGGCCCGGGCAAGCGCACTGGAGAATACGACGTGCACCTGGAAAACTACTTGCCGCTGCCCGAAGAAGAAGGCGGTTTGTTGCCTGGTATATCCGCGCCTGATCTCGCGATCGCGCTGGCGGATGAGGTGGAGCGGAAGGGCATGAAGTGGACGCATTGGACGCTGACGGGGAGTCAGAGGGATGACGCGCCGGCTGTGATATACCCCAAGATATAGCTTGGTGTACTTTAGTGTATGTGTAGAGTATATGTAGAGTATATGTAGAGTATATGTAAGAGTACATGTAAACTAGGGCAAGGATTTAGTGTACATTAAGGATAATTGTCAATTAAAACAGATCTCATATAATTCCCAGATAAAATAGAACTCCAGCTGTAACTGTGACTGTACTTGATTCCTCCATCTATCATTTTTTTGCTTCACATGCTTTAATATTTTTTCACTTTGTTGTTTGCAGTCTCATACTACATAATCCCCCATTGATCCTCGCATCCGTGACAGAATTTGCTGCAGGCGACAGAGGCCGAGAGCGAGTACTGCGACACACCGATCTTGTCGTCCACGAACTCGTCCGCGAAATCGTCAGATCCATGGGCCATCGCGCCGACAAACACGCAGATACTCTCGTCCGGCTCAAGGGTAGCGACGTAGTCCTGCACGCGCTGCACGGGCGCATCGGCCGAGAGCGTGATCTTGCGGCATTTGGTGGGCAGGTGGTCTGTCACTGGGTTCTTGATCACCCGCAGAAGCTTCTCGTGGGAGTTTACCGAGCGGATGGCGAGTTTGTGCAGGAGCTGGACCATGAGTCCCGAGAACCGCTTGAACGTTCGCGGGATTCGAACCGATGGGTTGACTTCGATCAGAACGCCTTTGGCGGTCAGGATGTAGACCTGCAGTTTACCAGCTTTGTTCACCGGCGAGTCCAGAAGAGTGAGAAGGCACTAGGATACACTGTTAGCTGGCTACTCTGTCTACACGTCAACAAGAAGAACAACACACCTGGTGGGTGATATCAGGCCGGGCATCGGCGATGTCGCGCTGCATGCGCTTGAGCAGACCCTGGTGATCGTCGCAGTTGAGCAACGCATACCGGTCTCCCTGCGCGCCGTTTCTCGACGGCACCTTGTGTGTTTCCAGACAGGCCTGCGTGAGCACGACTATCAGTCGCTGCGTGTCCTTGTCGCGGGTCGGGATGGGCGCTGCTGCCTGCGGAACAAACGTCGGCGGACCGGATACCGATCGCGGGCGGTGCGGTGTCCTCTCAGCGGGCATTTTCTGTGTGTTTAATCAGTTGAATTCTGCTTCTTCTGAACGCCTTCGCGACCGTCTGCTGTTTATCTGCTGCGTGGAAAGAGCTGCTGATTCTGCTGAGCGGCCTGGAAGTGGATCAGTTGGGAGTTGAATTTTTTTCCCTTTTTCTCGCTGCGGTTTAAAGTTTTCAGATTTACTGTTTTGGGAATAGCGCAGATGAATCAACCTGAGCGTGTTTACATCCACACGCGTCTTGAGATCTGATCTCGAGGTGGTGATCCGCAATTGCGAGCAATAGAAGGATCTGCAGGGAATCAGACAATGTCGCTGGCCTCTCGCGGGGCGGCAGTCGACGACGACGAAGACTACGGTCTCAACGACGACTTTGACGACGACGACCTCGAAGCAATCACCCTCGTCGAGCAGCAGATTTTGCTGTCGCAGATCGACGCTCAGAAATACAACAGTCAGCAGAAATACACCAGTCAGTCACAAGCACAGACTGCGTCGCGCTCACGGACGCTCTCGGAGGTGGTTGTGGAGAGAGACGCAGTGCCGCGGGCGCTGGACGAGTTTGAAGTCGAAGGCTATGAGCAGGGCGCGGGTGGGGAGCAGAGTGCTTCTGCATCATTGCGGAGGATGATGTCGAGGTCTGATTCGAGAGTGCAAGAAACTACACAGGCAGAAGAGACGATGCACGCCGTATGTTTGAGTTGTCTTTGTGGTATTGGTCTAAACTGTTGATCTAACACTATTCCAGCTCCGAACGCAAATCGCTCAACAGCAGAAAGCTCTTGTCGAGGTCACGGCAGCACTGCAGACTGCAAAAGGAGAAATCTTCATCCTTCGCGATCAGCAGCAGCGAGCAACTGCAGAACACGGAAAGTACGTGTTTGATCGCAACCAGATGCTCAAAGAGACGACCGAAAGCTTCCAGGCTAAGGAAGAGGAATTCTCCCGTGCGATCGAGAGCTTGAATAACGAGAAGCTGTTTATGCAGCAGGATTTGACAGAGATGCGAACAAAGATCAGGACGATGGAGAAAGCTCAGCAACGTCGGGATCCGTCGTCGGCGTCGACTGCGGCGGTCCAAGACGGGCGATTGACGCCGAGCCCGAAGAAGAAACGCGATCAGTTTAGGGAGGGATTTGATGTTCAGGTATCGCCTTTGAAGAACAAAAAACGGAAAGTTCAAGACCAGCGAGAAGAGAGTCTGTACGATGGTAGCAGTGATGTCGTGATGAAAGAGGTTACGGTTGTCAAGGAGGTTTTCATTGAAGATAAATTTCAGGTATGCAGGTTCACTTGGCTCAACTTTAGTCTACATTCCGATCTGACCCTTACAGTTCACGAGCGGTTTATTCAATCTGGACGTCGATGGAAGCAAGGCTATGGATCTATTAGGACAATTTTCGCTGCAAGCAAACGGAAACACAGACTTTAGAAGCCACATTGCTATAATCACTGCAGCTATAAACCAACCTCAGCCATCACTGCTGTCTCTTATTGAGAATCTTATTCAGTGCCTGGTAGAGGCTATGATGACATGTGCCAAAAGACCAGAAAGTGTACGTATGCACCGCTCAAGTACTTTTGAATACCGCTGACTTGCAACAGATTCCGTCGCTGAGAGTGTTGATCTCGATACTGGAATACACTGCGACATACAATATTCGAGGCCTGCGAATTGGAACGCTGCAGAGGATTGCGGTATCCTCACAGGAACTCTACTTGCTCCTAGAACCAAAAAATAGTCTCGATCCAGCCAGGGAAGCGGAGTGCCGCCGTACGCAACTCCTTCTGCTACGGCTGCTGGACACTACAAGTATCAAGATTGACAGCAGAGAAGAGATAGTTTTCGACCAGATGATTGCTGGGATGTGGATGTCAGTCTCGCATGAGATTGTCGTTAGAATACTCACAGACCAGTATTTTAACGGCCAGGATATACTGCTGAGCTGTCTTCGGCATTCGGTGATTCCTTCTTCGTTTGGGCCTTTGGTCGAGGACGTCGAGAGGCAGAATGAGCAAGAACTAGAGCTCTGCAAGGTAATCTCGTTAATCCTGGTCGAGCCGCCGCAGCCTTATCCCAGTCCTGCATCTGCCGACGAGGACCCGGACGAACGAGCGATCGAGAACGAGTCGGCGCGCGAGAGACTGATTGAGCAAGTGGTAACGACTCTGGAGGCAATCTCGGCTACCGAGCACGGGCGGACAATCATGCTGCAGAGTAAGGCCGTGCTGGCGCGACTTATCTGCTGCTGCTCTGCGGTGTTGGATCAGATGTACAGAAGCGAGACGCTTGATCGAGTGAGGTCAAGGTAAGCCTTATTCTTTTGTATTAAGTGGATGTTGCTGACTAGTCGATAGAAGCAATCTGGCGTCGTCGATGATCAAATTGACGTACAGGATAGTATTCGGCACCGACCTCCAAGACCCCGACGAATCCACAGTCGACGTGCGCGAACTAAGCACGTCATCGTCTGTCTTTTCCAAAGTATTTGGCGAATTCGGCGTGCGACAAGAACTAGTCGTTTGTCTCTCGCGAGTCGCGTTTGCGGACGAAGGAGTGGTTTTTCATAATAATTTCGACGAGATTACGGTTGCTTGTGCCGAGAGGTTGCTAGAGATCGGGAGAGATGTGGAGGAGATGAATGTTTTGTATTTGTCTGTTCGAGGAGGTGAGAGTAGAGAGGAGAGTTGACTGCAAGTACATGTAAATAAACAAAAACAGCAATAAAACTGATAAGTAAATAGTCGTTGAATAGACGAAGAGAAGTTGCACGTGAAAAGCCGCACGGACTTGGGGATCTCAGATAAAGACGTCAGCATTGTATTTCTTATCACCAACCTCCAGCGCTCTTATCATCTACTGTGGACTCACTCTACTCTGCTCTTTGTATTCGCTGCATTCTATATTTTTTAGTATTTCAAGGAGCAGGAAAGATGTCTACCTACTCGCAAATGTTCCCGCCGAAACCGGTGTTCACTGAGAAAGATATTCCTATATTATCAGGAAAGGTGCGTTTTCACTATCAGTTCTTCTTCATTCTCGTTCTGACAGTATAACACCCAGGTCTTTTTGGTAACCGGAGGATACTCAGGCGTCGGCCTTGAAGTCTGCCGTGCTCTATACCACAAAGGAGGCCGCGTGATTATCGCAGGTCGTTCAGAGAGTTCGTACACGGCCGCGGTGGAGGAAATCAGAGGAAACTGTGGCGACCGGCTCACCGTCGACCTCTCCACGCCCGGCTCGCTCGAGTTTCTCTGCATTGATCTCGCGGACTTGACGACGATCAAACCTGCGGTTGAGAAAATGCTGGAGAACGTGAAGAGGTTGGACGTGGTTTGGTATAACGCTGGAGTAATGGTGCCTCCTGCGGGCTCGAAGACCAAGCAGGTAAGCTATTTTTTTTCTTTTAGAAATCTGCTATGGCTGTGCTAATGGCTCTACGGTAGGGCTACGAGCTACAATGGGGAACGAACGTGGTGGGCCATTTCCTGCTGCACAAGCTTCTATGTCCGCTTCTGACAGCCACGGCAGCCGGTTCCGAGGCCGGCACCGTGCGCGCGATCTTTGTGTCGTCAATCATGCACACGTACAGCCCGAAGCCGTACGGGATCGACTTTGACTCGATCTCGCGCGACAACGAAAAGGCGAGCAAGATGGCGATCTGGAATCTGTATTCGCAGTCCAAGGCCGGCGACGTGCTGCTCGCGGACGAGTACGCGAAGCGGTCGGTTGCGCTCGCGCCTGTCTCGAACGAGGATCCGGCGAAGAAGAAGCCGCATGTGGTCAGCATCTCGCTGAATCCGGGAAATCTCAAGACGAACTTGCAGAGACATAGCACGGGAAATAAAATCAAGGAGTTTTTGGTGAGTATGATTTTGCACGAGCAGAGCTTGGGCGGACTGACGGAGCTGTACGCGGGGCTTGCGCCGGAGACGGCGGATTATAATGGGGGTTACGTGGTTCCGTTTGGACGGAAGGGCAGTGTTGTGTCATATGTGAAGAAGGGGTTGACGAGCGAAGGTACGGGTGCGAAGTTGTGGGAGATCTTGGAGGAGGAGGTGAAGGACTTTGCCTAAGTACAATGAGTTGATACGGAGTTGATGATGATGAGCTGATGAAGTTGATGATGATAATGCTAAGCTATTTAATACAAACTCCAACATAAACGCGAAAGCAATCATAGTAAATTGAAAAAAGATCCTTAAAAAACGCCTTTCCATCCCAGATGTATGCAGGTAAAGATGATGAACGACTCTAGACGAGCCAGGACTCTGTCCCAGCAGAGGTCGTGAGATTTGCAACACCAGCAGCACCAGCGCTTTCGGAATACACCGAGGCGAAGGAGGTGTATCGCATTGAGTGCAGATTGGGATCTGAAAGGGACTGGGAGGAGTTGAAGGAGGGGTTGAGCGGGCGCCGTCGCGAGCGCTGGAGGTACTTTGGCTGGGCCGCCACGGGAACCGGTGAGCCCGCAAGAGCAAGTGAAGAGAGCAGAAGAACGAGAAGAAGAGCAACTGAGGGCAGCATTGTGTGAATATGGTGAAGAGCGGTCTACAGAAAGAATCTGGAGGAGTATTTAAAGGGCAGCGGATCCCTTGATTCGTTTAGGTTTCATTCTTTATTTACAATGGCGTGCGGCTCAGACGCGTTGGCGTTTCGAATTTTTGTTTATTAAATTCCAAACCTGTTTCACGTCTCCTCCTCGGTCCGACACATGCACCACTCGCGACTGCAGCATCGTCCGGCGGATGCGCTGACTATCCCGTCTTTAGCCAGGCCCGCGTGGAACTCCTCCAGGTTCCGGCTCATTCGCTTCGTGCTGTGGACGTTGCCGGTGGTTGTGTCTGCGTTGTCGGCGCTCTTCTTCCCGTTGAGATAGACCTCGTATTGTCGTGCGATGGCCTCGTTGTCGAGCTCGCGGATATCCTGGATACTGTCGAGAAAAAACACGTCGCTCTGTTTCCTCTGCTTTTCTTTCTTGTTCTTCTTCTGTTGCTGTTGTTGCGATGATGCTTTCTTCTCCTCTGAATGCCCCTTGCCCGATCGACTAGACACCAACGACAGCAGCGAGGCCTTCTTCTCGACCGTCCGCCGTCGCTCTTTCAGTTTCTCATTGCTTGTGGTTCTCTTGGGCACTTTCGGCATTTTTGGCACTGGGATCGTAGGAATTGAAAATGTCATGCTTTCCAGGCTTTTCTTCTTGTCTAGAGCCTTGCCTGCTTTCTTAGCGGCTGCTGTCTCTTGCTCTTTCTTTTCATCTGATGCCTTGACTGCTTTCTTTGCGGTTGCTGTATCGTGCTCTTTCTTTCCATTGTGCTCTTTCTTTCCATCTGATGTGTCATGTTCGTTCTTTGCATCAGATACCTCGGCCTTCCTCCTACTCTTCAAACTAAGATCATGGAAACTGAACTTTTTGCGCAGCTCAGGCATTACAGCAGGTTGCATCTTTGTGTTCTTCGCACTCTTTCCAGACGAGCCTTTGCTCGACACCGTAGTCACACCCGCAGACACTGACGACGACGTCGATGCTGAGTCGGTCGTGTTCTTAAGACTGTCGCTCGCGCGTGCACTCGAAGGTGAATAATAGACCGGTTTCATCCAGACATCATGAAATCGTGACTCGGGCGGCGGAATGCCGAGGAGCTCATAATCTGGCTCGAACAGTGAAGCCTCTGAACACCGGCGGACCGTGATCCCTGTGGTGGTCATTGGCTTGTTCTTCTTCGTTTTGGAGTTCAAGGTAGGGATGGGACCAGGCTCGGGGATGAAGACCTGGTTGCCTTCGCCGCCGATAGCTACTCCGATCTGAGGAGCGCGATCGGACTTGTCCTCTGACAAAATCATGATTTGAAGTCCGTTGAACTGCGATATTGGTTTTGCCGACGCGTTAAGTTCGTTGTCTGTCGTGTTCAAAGTCGTTGTCATCGCGTGGGCTTCACCGCTACTGAAGCATCTCCGTTGGGCAGTGGGTGCGGATTCCTCTTGACTGTTTGTTGAAAGCCTTGCGCGGTCTGCTTGTGGGATCACGTCGTAGCTCATGGACTTGTGAATAACGCGTTGTTGCTGGGTGCCAGAAAGTTCGCTGGGTCGGAGCCGGCGGCGCGCAGGAACTTCGTCGACTCGTCGTACCGCTTGGCGCAAAGGAATGTGACGAACCTGGCGTTTGTGCTGGTCTTGAGGAGGAGGAGGAGGAGCTGGTCTGTTTGTGGCGGAGAAGAGGAAACTGCTGTCTTCGAGATAGAGAGCCCGACGGCGGAATTCTACCGGTCGATTATGATTAGTTACAAGAGAACGACAAGAATATAATAAGTAGAACAATTAAATAGCAATTGCGGACGCACCTTTTGTATTATCACCATCTTGCCATTGACGGGGGCGGCGTGGGTAGGCAGCAGCATCAGCGTTGTCACCTTGCATTCCATTCTGCCGCAGCACAGGGAACAGCTGCGTGCCTCCCGCCGAGGCAGTCCGCACAAGGTCAATCGCGGAGTCCGCGTCCTCGCCTTTGAAGCAGTCGTCTGAGAGATCCAACTCGCGACCGTCCTCGAACCTGTTGTAGCGGTCGCCGTCGGGGCTGGCGGGGATCGCGGGCGGGGGCAGCGCGGTGATGAAGTTGACCACGCGCTGGTTTTTCGCGTTCCACATGCGCTCGAATTCCGCTTCTTCCTCGTCTTGTGTAGGCTGGTAGTAGTAGTCGACTGCGTGCGGCATATCCACCGCCGTCTCGATATGTTCAAAGGAGACCATTGTGTGTTGTGAAGCTGCTTCGATACAGCAATGGCGTGTCTACGGGGGAGATGGGCGAGCCGAGCGAGAGGTGGCTGTTATATTCGCTCGCGCGTGGACCAGCACGCCAACTCTCCGGATTGGAACTAAACCAGAATCTGCAGACATCTGAGATTAAGCTGGCAGCTGCTCTTTTGACCGTTGATGCAGCATTGGAGTGGTGATGGCGGGGTGGCCGTATGTGGAAAGAGGCGGGGCGTCGGAGTTTAAGGTTTGGAGGTGTTGTTAAATCCGAGCCAGCGCTGATGAGTAGTTCTTCTGTGTTTTATATACGCAGTGTTTATACAGAGATATAACAAGAATTCTTGACAATACTGTTACAGTACATACAATATAAAACAAAAACACGACATACAAAAGTACTCGGGAACAAGGCAAAGTGGAAGGGGAGGGCGACTTCCGAATTAGGAAGGTGGCTGGGTTGGGACAAACAAAGAGATCAAGCGATGGCCAGCCAGCCACCGCAGACTATTCCAGCTAGCTCTGCCCGTTTCTTCGAGGAGGCAGAGGAGGCGAGGGAAGGGGGTGGTGGAGGTGTTTGAAAAAAGTGGGAATCTGGCTGGTCCAGCGGAGTGGGAAGGAGATCAGGATGCAGCTATGCAGTATGCGTACGAGTAAGCATATCTTGATCTTGCTTGTTGTTGTGTGATTATAGATCGATAGAAGTTTATTAGAAGAAAGAAAGCAGAACGATTTATTCCCGACGTGATACTAAATGCAATAAGAAAATTCGAATAAAGGAGAGATCTGCAGGACACGACAGATAAACGCACAGTAGAATACAATGATGTTGGTACACTAAAATACACTAGCAAAACACAAGATAGAAAAAAAATGAGCAATCACTATGAGCTAACTATTTCACAGCAGGCTTTCTCCAGAAGTACTGCTTGTGCACTTTCCGGCAGCTTCTGATTCCCGCGCCACCTCTCAACTCCTCGACCGCGGCGCGTCTATGAATATCATCATCCTGCTCGGGAATGTAGTAGTACTGCTCCTCGAGTCTTTTTCCCGACGCATCTTTTCCCTTTCGCTGGATCACGCCCACGCACGCGATGTCTTTGATGGTGCTGCGGAGCTTGTCGTCGGGCACGAATTCGATGATCGGGAGCGACGCGCGGAGGACGGAAAGCGGCGTTGATGCGAGACGGGAGTAGGCAAGGTGGGCGATGATGTGGATTCGTAGTTTGTCTTGCTCGTCTTCAGGCGACGGCTCTCGGCTCTGTTGTTGGAGTTCTTGTGGCTCTTGTTGTTCTTGCTGTTGAGGCTGTAGAGGCTGCTTCGAATTCTCTTGGTCGGTGGATTGTTCTTGAGGGATGCTAACGGTTTTACTCGACGCGACTGATCCGGGCGCGTTTTCTGAAGAGGTTGAAGGTAGAGGAGACGCGTCATTAATCCTCACATTCTCCTTCTTGGTAACACCAGAGTCCTCCTCTTTGTCCTCCCACACTTTGAACCCGACGTTCTCCGGACCCCGCGCACGTTTAGGCGCGTTAGAAATAGGCCCGCTTTTGGTGCTGATGGTAGAAGTAGAATTAGTAGGGGCGACCATTGGTGTAGGGCTGCCGAGTTTTGCGGCGGGATGGTTGACAAAGATCTCGTCATCGGTTTCCTCATCGTCCTCGAGCGCGTCAGTTTCGGCCTCGCGATCGTCGATAACTTCCACGCGCGCACGCTCGCCGCAGACGTCGATGATGATCGGTGTATCGGCGCCGATCTCGACGCGTTCGCCCTTTGCGAGCGCGTGCTCGAGCGCGGGTGTGCCGACGCGCGCGCCGTTCCAGCCATGACACGAGATCTCGATCGAGTCGTGGGACTCGAGGTAGCGCGCGACGATGTGCACGCGCGAGATGAGTTTGTTGGTGCGACTGAGGACGACGGTGGAGGAGGCCGAGGAGCGGCCTAGCGAGACTTCTGTGCCGGAGCGCGGTAGGCGGGCGAGCGCGACGGTCGAGAGCGGCGCGCGGAGACTGGGGGTCGTGGTGGATGATGATGTGGAGGAGAGGACTGGGACGGCGGCGGAGGCGGAGAGAGGGGCTGGTTTTGAGGGAGCGGTGGTGGTGCTCTTGTTGATATCAGCGCCGCCGAGCGCGAGGAGTGCGCGTGAGACGGACGAGGTAGGCGAGGAGACGGTGAGGGCAGCGGAGGAGGTAGGAGCCGGAGTCGGGTAGGCAGGCGGCTCGAGCTGCTTGCCAGGCGCAGCGTCGTCTTCGTCGTCGCGAGCGCGTTTGCGGGAGGGAGTGCGGACGCGCGAGGAGGACGGGGAGGAGGAGGACTTTGAAGGCGTGGGCTCGAAGCTGGGGAGAAGAGCGCGTCGCGCGGGAGAACAGCAGTCGGCAGAGGCCGAGGGCAAAGGCGGCGATGAAGGAGGGTAGAAGGGCATTTTGGAGAGAGATGTGAGGAGGAGTGGACCGAGAATCAGTAAGGAGGAAGAGAGAAGACTTAAAAGGAGCGCAGGTTCTCGAGGAGGAAGAGAGCCGCTCGGTGGAGGGTCACGTTCTTTGGTCTCCCAAAACGCGTTCGGCGGCACGCTCGAGGTTTGTTGTAGTTAGAGCGCGTGTTTTTGTACATTTCTATTTTATTTTGTATTTAAATCTACTGTTTGAAGCAGTGTCTATATTATCTGCAGATTATAATCGCCTCTAATCTACACAACACGCTCAAGGTCGCGTCAAGTACGGCGCGGTGTCGCGCGCGCAAGAATGTAAACAAAGGCAAGTTAGGGTTTGAGCATAAATGCGCCTGCTGCGCGTGCACAGCATAAGCGCGTATTACAGCAGGTGCACAGGAAGGTTAGGGCTTCCGCGTAGGGTGCGCGTCGTGACTGCTGTCTGTAACCCTAGCGTAACCCTACAGGCTGGACCGACACACAGTTTTGGCGCGGGCAGGTCGGTCACGCAGCGGTCTCAGCGGGCAGTCGTCGATTCAGCTCAGATCTTTCTCATCACCAGCAACAACAACCTTTCGACACAAGATGACTAGTGAGTGACGACGTTGGTGTTTACGGGATTGCAGCAGACAGAGGATGTTTCATTTGTTATAGATTATCTGTTCTGTTGTTGCAGTCGTGAGTGGTGGGGATTATAGAGTGCTAACGAGCAATGCAGAGGGAACCTCCAGCTTCGGAAAGCGTCACAACAAGTCGCACACTCTTTGCCGACGGTATGTTATCATCATGAATAGAAGGAGAGAAAAAGAAGAGAAGAGAAGGAATGGAGAAGAAATGGAGAATAAGAGAAGATGGACGTCCTAACATATTTATAGATGCGGCCGTCGTTCTTACCACATCCAGAAGTCCACCTGCGCTGCCGTACGTACCAGAGAAGAGAATGAGGAAGATGATCGAGTTCTAACGGATGTGATTTGTTATGTTTAGTGCGGATACCCTGCTGCTAAGACTCGCAAGTGTATGTTGCTCTCTATATTTAAAGTAGTACTCAAGAGTTTGAGTACTCAAGTGAACACATGAACACAGCTAACAATATCACAGACAACTGGAGTGTCAAGGGCAAGAGAAGAAAAACCACCGGTACCGGCCGTGAGCGTTACCTGAAGACTGTTGACCGACGATTCAAGAACGGATTCCGCACTGGTGTTGCCACCCCCAGCAGCAAGGTGCCCGATGTCGAATAAATGCATCAATTTTCACTAAGAGCGGGAGGGTATAAATAAAAGAAAAGTTGAATTTATTGTTATTGTTTATCTTTTGATTTTCGTTGGATTTCATATTTGTCGTGTTGATTGTTGAAGATTGACACGACGAGGGAAGAAGGAGAAAAGGAAAGAAAGCAATGAACCTGCTTGTAACTTGTATCAATACAGAATAATGAGGTTTATAATAGTGAGTTGAAGTAGAAGTAGTTGTGTAGATGAAGTAGTGAAGTAGAATATCTCGGAAGAAGGCAGTGCGGCTCGAGAATATTTATAATCCTCTGGTCTGCTCTTCTTCTCTTTAAACTGCACAGGTTCTGTATCTGTATCTTTACTTCTACTACTATATCAACTACTCAATATGATCCGCCAAACCATTTGTCGCCAGGTCGCTGCACAGGTCGCCCGTCAGTCAAGAAGAAGCGCAGTCTCGTCGTCATCATTCTCGGCCGTCAGCCGTCGTCTGTACTCGTCGTCATCCTCATCCTCATCCTCGTCCTCATCAGCCCCCTCATGGAAGCCGTTCGGACTTGCAGCTGCCGGAGTGCTCGCGATGAGCAACCTGCTGGTCAGAGCCGAGGAACCGACCGAGGTGATTGTGATTGACGAGCAAATCGTCGACGGCGAGGGCAAGGTGGTCGAGGAAGAGGTCATCATTGTCGAGCCCGTGTTTGGCGAGATCCCGCCTCTGCGCGAGTCCGAGCTGGACGCCGTGTTTGACAGCGCGGTCGAGGAGGCCGGAGTGGACGGGCTGAGCAGCCCTGCGCCGGCCGAGGGAGAGGCAGAGGATGAGTTCGAGGGTGGAGCGTTTAACCCCAAGACCGGGGAGATCAACTGGGACTGCCCGTGTCTGGGTGGAATGGCCTACGGACCCTGTGGCGAGGAGTTTAAGGCTGCGTTTTCGTGCTTTGTATTTTCGCAGGAGGAGCCGAAGGGCGTGAACTGCATCCCGTTGTTTGAGTGAGTATTCTGACTGATTATGAGAGACTACATGAGAGAAGAAGAACCGCATGAAGAGAAGACGAAGAAGAAGAGGACTATGAGAAGAGACTAACAGCTTTATAGAACCATGCAAGGCTGCTTCCGCAAGCATCCGGAGACTTATGCTGATGATTTGCGATACATCGACGACGAGAAGGAGAAGGAGCAGGAGCAAATTGCTGCTGCCGAGCCCACTGCTGCCTGAGCAATGATTATAGACAGAAGAAGAAGAAGAAGAAGAAGAAGAAGAAGAAGAGAAGAGAAGAAGAAGGATCTGTAAATACAATAAGACATAATCTCTTACATAAAACATCCGACTGTCGATCAGTTGGAACTGTTCTGGGGACAAAACAACCCTTCTATAATACTCAGTACAGCAGTACTCCTCCCCCCACAACAAAAAGACCTGAACAGGCCTCGGCTTTTATCTGCTTCCCGCGCTCATCACACCTTCTCCCGTTCATCCTCCGGCTTCCGTGCTTCGTAGCTCTTCTGTCTCTTCCTCCTCAGCTATTCTAATGTCGTATGTCTCTTCTTCTTCTTCTTCTTCTTCTTCTTCTTCTTTTATTGTCATTGTTCTTTGTTTGAGTATTGAGCGCGGGCATCTCTGTTCGACCCCGCTGATCTGATCTGCAACGATCTGCTGACTTTCTTCTTCTTCCAGATCATACGCAGACGTCACCGCAAAGGACGCTTCTCAGTCCGTTGAGGAGGTGAGTACTCTTATATTCCATTCTCTACTCAACAGCTACTAACAAAACTACACAGAAATCCGCAAAACCCCTCCCCGAGCTCGAGAAGACGACGCAGAACGTCGCATCCGACGCAGCAGCGTTCGTCGACAAAGCCGCGAGCTCGGTCGAGGATGCCGCGGTCTCGATCCAGAAAGAAGCAAAGAGCTGGGATTCAAAAGACGATTTCCCTGATCCGACCAAGGCGCTGAGAGAGACCGCTGCGGATGCGCTCGACAAAGGCGCAAAGAAGATCGCGCCCAAGAAAGATCTGTCGACGAAGATTGCCGAGGCCGCGCAGCCGGCTATCGACGCGCTCAAGAAGTTCATCAGCGTCGCGTCCGAGAAGGCCGACAAGGCGGCCGCGAAGATCAAGGTCGAGATCAAGAACCCGGTTGTGGCGGCCAACGTTGCGCTCTGGACCGGCGTGCTCGCTGCTGCCATCAGCTACGGCGCCGTCGTCTTCAAGAACGGCGGTCGCGCTCCGCCTCTGCCAGAGATCTTCTACGGACCTAACGGTGCAAAGGCCAGAGTGGCCGCTGTCACTGCCATTATTGCTGCTTTGCATGGAGATGCTCTTGCTACTGCGACGTTGTATCCCAAGTACAAGAAGTGATATGTTAATAGTTTCCTTTAGTTTAGTTTAGTTTTAGTTCTTCATACACCTCTGCTCGTTCAGACAGACTATTCTTGTTCTTTCTGCTTTATTTATTAGAAGAAGTTCTTCAACTGTTGTTCAATATATCGACCTATTACCTTGATCTCTGATCTCTTGCTGTCGGAAGCCTGGCACGCGACACCCGGTGCTCCACCTTTCTCCCGATGACGTCATCGTCCGCATCCGACGTGCTCGTTTAGGAAATGTAGCGTATATACTTATTTAGGAAATGTATTGACTATATAGCAATAGCATTGTTTGTGGACTGCACCTGCTCGACTCCATCGAACCGCTTCACCCTCAGCTCTTGCTCTTCCTCAATCTCTTTACCATTCTCAGCCTCGCGCTTCCGACTGCTCTGGCTCTGGCTCTGGCTCTGGCTCTGGCTCTGGCTCTGGCTCTCGCTCTGGCTCTGGCTCTGGCTCTGGCTCTGGCTCATGTTGGCCAGCAACTGCTCGATAGAAGCCCACTTCATATCCCCCTCGTCCTTCTTCATCTGAAAAACTTCAAACATTTGCTCGTAGTCCCTCGCGTTGGCCATAGTCTGTCTCTCTGGTACTTTACCAGGAAGCATGTTTCGGAGCAAGTACTTTGTGTTTGTGAGATTATTGTCGACCGCCTTCGCCACCGCCAGAAACTCGCACACCATCTCCCGCCACGGCCGCACTTCCTCCTTCTCCGACGCAGAGAAACACGACATATTCTTCTCGGCCGCCGTCGCAATCATCGCGCTGTCGACGCCGTACTCTTTCTTCAACCGCTCGAGATCACCACCGCAGTAGACGTCTCCGTTGGCGACGCAGACCACGCCCGCTTCGTGGCAAATCTCGGCGATCTGCGCCAGATATCCTTCTCTGATTGCCCGCTCGCGCGGCCGCATGGGGACTTTTCGGCAGTGCACTGTCAGCGCAGAGATGCCTGTCTTGACGAGCCGCCTGACGAGCGTGAATGTGTCTTCGGGGGTATCGAGAATACGAATCTTGACTGAAATCCCGATCCCAAACTTTCTCCCGACCTCGGCCACGAGCGCCTCGAGGATCGCGACGAGCTTGTCGGGGGTTTTGAGCAGGCCTGCGCCGGAGCCAGAGTGCACCGAGAAATGCTTCGGACAGCCCGCGTTGAGATCGATGCCGGCGACGTCGGCGGCGACCACTGTGGCTGCTTTCACCGCAAGCTCGGGGTCGGATGTGCCGAGCTGGAAGACGAGCCGCGAGCGCTCGAGACTGTGGGCGCGCAGGACGACTTGGTCGGGCTTGTTTGGGTACCGGGCGACAAAGTCGACGGCTTTTAGTCGAGGGTTGGGTTCGCGCGCGCAGATGGCGATTTTATGGTCGACGATCTCGGGTGACCAGACGAGATCTGCGCCGTAGCGTAGTGAGAGTAGTCGAGTGGGAAGCTCGCCGGAGCGGACCTGGTCTGTTAGATGGTGAAGAGAGATGATGCTGAGGTTGAGATGCTTACCATCGGAGCCAGGATGAGCTTGCCGGCGTAGTTGAGGATAGCCATGACAGTACTAATGCTTTTAGTAGTAGTTATATCCTTCTTCTTTTCTTGTTGTTGTTGTTGTTGTTGTTGTTGTTGTTGTGTTATGTCTTTTCTTTCTTTCATCGAAATAAATTTCGTTGGGAGTCGCCCACCTTCGACGTCAGCGGTGACATAAGCAGCACCGACGACATAAAAGGAAAGAATATGTTTCCAACTAAGCTCAGCTGGTTGACTCAAGAAGACGCTCGGAGTCGCAGGAAAGCGACTGCAGAAATCATGCGGTAGAAGCACTTCTTCTCTGGTTATTGTTCTGCTGTTGGTTCAGCACTCTGCTCTTCGCTGATAGGAATGGACGCTGCAGCAGAGATCAGTGCCGTTGTCGCAGAGTACGCGTCGATGCTGTCGAGTATCGAGCGCGTGCCGGAGCACCCGGAGAGCGTCGATATCCAGACAAAGGAGAACGTCGCGGTGAGAGTGGAGGTCTCGTCCGCGGGTTGGAGGGTATGCTCTTACTTCTTCTTCCTTCTTCCTTCTTGCATCCTTCTTCTTGCAGCGGTGCCTATATCACTGCTGATGCTCAATGATCCCGCATTCTGACACTGACAATGCACTCTACAGATACAACACATATCCTGCGACAAAGATGCAGCGCTGCGACGGCAACTCGCGGATCTCGTGGGATCAGTGTACGAGACCGCAGAGGGACTGTTGATGCGGGTGTCGCCTGCGTTTGTGAAGGAGTGGCAGGCGAGGTTGGTGGCGCAGTTGGAGCTGATAGGAAGTGTTGAAGAGTAGAGTATATACATTACAATACAAATACAACAATATAATACAATCAATACTGCTGCTTATGTATAATGCGATATCTGATGCACTTCAATAATTGCAGATGCCGGCAGATAAGGTTCTGCACCAACTTTGTTTTGCTGGCTCCTCGGCCCTCAGCTCTTCCTCCTCCTCCTCCTCGACTTCTTATCGCCAACTTCCTCCATTCGCCCTCTCAGATCCCCAGAAATGGCCCCGAAACGATCCTCTGCCGCCAGCTCGCCCACAAAATCTCATAAAAAGAAGGCTCATCCCCAGCACGACTCCCACAGTTCAAATGGCAGCCCCGCCGCTCCCGCCGCTGACTTGATCGTAAGTCTTATCGCTCTCTGCTAATCTCTCTCGACTTGCAACTAAAATACTACAATAGAGCGAAAAAGAGAAAAAGAAGCAAAACTTCATCGTTCGTACGATATGGACGGTGGTGATGATCCTTGGATTCTTCGGCCTCCTCGCCGCTGGCCACGGCTACATCATGCTCCTCGTCACCGCCATCCAGATCCTGACCTACAAGGAAGTTATCGCTCTCGCAAACGAGCCGGCTCGCGAGAAGAAGCTGCCGTACGGAAAGACAATCAATTGGTACTTCTTGGCCACCACGATCTACTTCCTGTACGGAGAAAGCGTCATCCATTACTTCCAGGAAGTCGTCCTCGTCGATTCCTATCTCTTGCCGCTTGCCACTCATCATCGCTTCATCTCTTATATGCTCTACATTATTGGTATCATTGCAATTTCTTTATTTACTTTTTGACCACTAGTAAACAAACTGACCTGCTAACAACCCAGGCTTCATGATCTTCGTCTCCTCGCTCGAGAAAGGCCACTACAAATTCCAATTCGCCCAATTCGCATTCACCCACGTCACCCTCCTCCTCGTCGTCGTCCAGGCTCAATTCATCATGAACAACATCTTCTCCGGCCTCTTTTGGTTCTTCTTACCCGCCTCGCTCGTCATCATCAACGACATCTGCGCCTACCTCTGCGGCATAACCTTCGGCCGCACCCCGCTCATCAAGATCTCGCCCAAGAAAACCGTCGAGGGCTTCATCGGCGCTTGGATCTCGACAATCATCTTTGGAATGATCCTCAGCCACTTCCTCTGCAAGTGGAAGTACATGATCTGCCCCATCACCGATTTCTCCGCAAACGCCTTCACCGGCCTCGACTGTGAGCCAAACCCGGTCTTTCTCCTGCAGACCTTCAAAGTGCCCTCCGCCCTCGTTCCTCTCATCGGACGGGCGACGTTTGAGTTTGCTCCGATCCACTTCCATGTCATGGTCATGGCCAGCTTCGCGTCCCTCATCGCTCCGTTCGGCGGCTTCTTTGCATCTGGATTGAAACGTACGTTCAAGATCAAGGACTTTGGCGACACGATCCCCGGACATGGCGGAATTACCGACCGCATGGATTGTCAGTTTTTGATGGGCTTTTTCTCGTACATGTACTACGATAGTTTTATTGCCGTACGTATCTTCATTCTGCCTACATCTTAACCTCTATGTACTAACTTTGATCTCGCAGACCCACCACATGCGGGTAGGCAACGTGCTCGAGACAGCGATCCACAGCCTGACAGTTGCCGAGCAGCTTCAGCTGGTCTCATCGCTGCACAAGTATCTGCACAACCAAGGCATAATCTCGAACGAGACCTACGAATGTCTTGGAAAGGCGCTCCCATAAACTCACACCAACACACTGCAAAAAGGGATTTACTGTAACAAAATATGTCGAGAATAATGTGATCTGCTTGTGTTTTTGCACACAACAGCGATTTTTGTATGAATAATAAAACAGTCTTCTTAATCGTCGTAATCAGCAATCGTCATAGTCAAAGCAAGTAGGTGGCGGTAATCACGTGATTGTGAGCCACCTCGCCTCAATCTTTCAATCTTCCAAGGCGGACTAAACATCCTCCTCCTCCTCCTCCTCGCCCTCCTCCTCTCATCCACCCTTCTCGCGCTATCTGCAATCATGTAAGCAACTTGCTCAATTGCTTGCTGCTCAATTGAATCCTTCTTCTCTAACCTCCTCTTCTTTATCTCAGGCCGTCAGCGCTCGTGCCAAACCCCGGCGTCGAGGACGCTTCGCTCCACGACCCACTTCCCTTTGTTCTGAGGACCTACATCTGGCCCTTTTTCTTCCTCTACCCTGCCTTTGGATACTTCTACTTCCTCAGATATGAGGAGTACATCAACGGATCAGAGTGGACCTTTGTCTATCTCGGTACCATCATCTCGTTCCAAGCCCTTCTATGGCTCATGACCCATTGGAGCGTCAACGTCCTCACCCTCTTCACCACCGTCAAGGCTACCGACCCCAAAAAGGCAAAGCTCATCAGGGTCATTCCCATTGCTAATGCTGGTCAGTCTATGGTTTGCAAGCTGAGCCATATCAAGGTAATCATCACCGCACCTTATCTTCGTTCTTCAAAATAAACATCCTGGCTAACAACCTACAGAGCCGCGGCCACGAAGAAATCTCGTTCCTGTTCCAGAAGCGCAGATTCATTTTCGATCCCGAGACCTCGTCCTTCAGCCCGCCCATCTACCCGATCGACCTCCCCCGCAAGATTGGCGAGTTCCAGACCACCACCGGCAACAACGACATTGCAAACCTCACGCTCGAGTACGGCGACAACAGGTTCGATATCCCGGTGCCGACTTTCCTCGAGCTCTTTTACGAGCACGCTGTCGCGCCCTTCTTTGTCTTCCAGGTCTTTTGCGTCGCGCTCTGGCTCTTGGATGAGCTCTGGTATTACTCACTCTTCACCTTGTTCATGCTCGTCGCTTTCGAATCAACCGTCGTCTTCCAGCGTCAGCGCACTATGATTGAGTTTCGCGGTATGGGCATCCAGCCTTATGACATCTACGTCTACCGCAATGGCGAGTGGACTGAGATTACGACCGACCATCTTCTTCCCGGTGACGTTGTCTCGGTCGTCCGTACTAAAGACGACTCTGGCCTTCCCTGCGACTTGCTTCTCGTCAACGGTTCTGCCATCGTCAACGAGGCCATGCTCTCCGGTGAATCAACCCCTCTGCTCAAGGAATCAATCCTCCTCCGTCCTGCCGACGAGATTCTCGATCTCAAGGGACTCGACAAGAACTCCGAGCTCTATGGTGGTACCAAAGTCCTCCAGATCACTCCTCCCACTGACTGCCATATCCCTCTTCCTCCCGATGGTGGCGCGATCGCTGTTGCCACGCGCACCGGATTCGAGACCAGCCAGGGAAGTCTTGTGCGTACGATGATTTTCTCCACCGAGCGTGTCGGTGCCGGTAACGCCGAAGCCCTCTTCTTCATCCTGTTCTTGCTCATCTTTGCCATCGCCGCCAGTTGGTACGTTTGGACCGAGGGTGTCAAGATTGACCGTAAGCGGTCAAAGTTGCTCCTCGATTGTATCATCATCATCACCTCTGTCGTTCCACCTGAGCTTCCTATGGAGCTTTCGATGGCTGTCAACAGCTCCCTTGGTGCTCTTGGCAAATTCGCCATCTACTGTACCGAACCGTTCAGAATTCCTTTTGCGGGCCGCGTTGACGTGTGCTGCTTCGACAAGACCGGTACGCTCACGGGCGAGGATCTTGTCTTGGAAGGTATCGCCGGATTGCTCTCGTCGCCTACCGACTTGCTCGACGTCAAGCAGGTCGCGCACAACACCACCCTCGTTCTCACTACCGCGCACGCGCTCGTGAGACTTGATGAGGGCGAGGTTGTCGGTGAGCCGATGGAGAAAGCTACTTTGAAGGCTCTGGGCTGGTCGATTGGGAAGAACGATACTCTGCAGTCGAACAACAAGACTGGCGGACAGACCAAGGTGCGCATCCTGCGTCGGTTCCAGTTCTCGTCTGCTTTGAAGCGCTCGTCTAGTATTGCGACTAGCTCAAACAAGTATTTCATCAGTGCCAAGGGTGCGCCTGAAACGGTGCGCGGCATGCTTAGAGAGATTCCTGAAAAGTACGAGGAGACTTACAAGTACTTTACCCGTCGTGGAAGCCGTGTCTTGGCGCTCGGAATCCGATTCCTCCCCGACGATTTGTCCACGGCCAAGACCAACAACTTCACTCGCGAGGAGGTCGAGCGTGACTTGACTTTTGCCGGATTTTTGGTGTTCAACTGCCCGCTGAAGCCCGACGCTATCGAGGCCGTGAAGATGTTGAACGAGTCTAGCCATCGGGTTGTTATGATTACCGGAGATAACCCGCTGACTGCTGTACACGTTGCGTATGAAGTCGAGATTGTGACTCGGGATGTGCTGATTCTTGATGCGCCTGAGGAAGGCACGGACGGTGGCGAGCACGCGCTTGTGTTTAGAAATGTTGAGGAGACGTACGTGGAGGCTGTTGATCCGACGAAGCCGATTGATGCGGCGGTTTTTGCGAAATACGATATCTGCGTGACGGGATACGCGCTTGCCAAGTTTACCGACTACGAGCATGTGTGGGATCTGATCAAGCACACGTGGGTGTGGGCGCGCGTGTCGCCTTCGCAGAAGGAGTACATTCTGATCCAGCTCAAGAACGGTGGATACACGACGCTGATGTGCGGTGACGGCACGAACGACGTTGGTGCGTTGAAGCAGGCGCACATTGGAGTCGCGCTCTTGAACGGAACTGAGGAGAGCTTGAAGAAGATTGCCGAGAACGCAAAGTTCAACAGGATGAAGGATGTCTACCAGAAGCAGTGCGATATGATGGTGCGCTGGGGTGGCAAGGTGCCGCCCGTGCCGCCTGCTATCGCGCATCTGTACCCTCCGGGACCGAACAATCCAAACTACCGAAAGGCGATCGAGGCCCGAGGAGGTACTGTCGACGAGGCGTTGGTCAAGGCGGCGTACACTTCCGCCCGGGCTGATCCGAATGTGATTCCGCATGCGCTGGAGGCTAGTCAGACTGCGTCTTCGTTGGCGGATAAGATGATGAGCATGGTTGATGAGGAGGATGACACGGAGGCGCCGACTTTGAAGCTCGGAGATGCCTCTGTTGCGGCGCCGTTCACGTCCAAGCTCGGAAGCGTGAACACGATTGTGCACATCATCCGCCAGGGACGATGCACGCTTGTGGCGACGATTCAGATGTACAAGATTTTGGCACTCAACTGCTTGATTTCTGCGTACTCGCTCTCGGTGCTGTATCTTGCTGGCATCAAGTTTGGCGACGGTCAGGCCACGATCTCGGGAATGCTGATGTCTGTTTGCTTCTACTCAATCTCGCGTGGAAAAGCGGTGGACAAGCTTTCGAAGGAGCGTCCGCAGCCCGGTATTTTCAACTTTTACATCATGGGCTCGATCTTGGGTCAGTTTGCGATTCATATTGTGACGCTGATTTATGTGACCAAGCACGCGTACTTGATTGAGCCTCGCGAGGACGATATCGATCTCGAGGCTGAGTTCAAGCCGTCGCTGCTGAATTCCGCAATCTACTTGCTGCAACTGTCGCAGCAGGTGTCGACTGTCGCGGTCAACTACCAGGGCCGGCCGTTCCGGGAGAACATCTCCGAGAACCGGGCGATGTACTACGGTCTTGCGGCGGCGGGCGCGCTCGCGTTTGCGGGAGCGTCTGAGTTTATCCCCGAGTTGAACGAGAAGCTCCGATTGGTGCCGTTCGAGTATGACTTCAAGGTGCGGTTATGTGTGGCGATGTCGCTTGACTATGCGGGAGCGTGGGTCATTGAGGTTGTGTTGAAGAAGCTGTTTAGCGATTACAAGCCGAAGGATATTGCGATCCATGAGGAGAGAGATCCGGAGGATTTGGTGGTGAAGAAGACGCAGTGAGTGAGTCTTTATAGAGAGGCCCCAGCGAGAGTGAAGGTGGTTAGATTTTTTGTACAAAAATAATTGATATTCAGTATATTCATGACTTGACTGAGGATGAGGAGGAGGACAAGAATAAGGTTATAGAATAAGATTTTGACACCAATCGCCGAAAACCTTAAAACGCTTAAGTGGGCGGACATTGTGAGACCGATTGACAACGGAAGGGATTCGATAGGGCAAATTAGGATTTCCCCGCAAAAATGGTCGAGGACCCGGAGCGAGGAGCGGGATTGGAGGTCGCGAGAAGAACAGGGCAAATTGCGGTGCTATAGGCTATAAATTACTGCAGATAAGATAATAATCAGATAATAATCATTACAGATCAAATTGTTGTTTTATTTGCTTCATTATATTAAAACATGTCGCACATACTGTACACGAAAATGCAAACCAAAAAGATTGATCAAAATAAAAAAAAATGTCTAGATGATTGAAAGCTACTCAAGAATGGCAACGGGCTTCTTTCCCGAGAGTATAGGGAATCCCTCGAGGAAGGTGGAAACCTGCTCGTAGACGGCGAAGGTCACGGCCTGGCCAGGAGCGACACGCATGACACGGGGGGTGATTCCCTTGTAGAAGGCGAGGAAGCCTTCCTTTTGGATGAGGGCGCTTGATATCCGGGACACGCGTCCGATAGCGGTCTCGCCCGAAGTGGCCTTTTCACGCTGCATTCTGGTCTTGATGGTGTCGATGGGCGCGTTGGAGAGAGGACCAAGGGCTCCGGAGATCAGACCGAGGACCATGTGTTGGTATGAGGGGAGATCTTGTAGTTCTGGCTGGATCTTGGCGGCGTAGGCCTTGAGCTCGGTGTAGGCGGTGAAGTTGACAGCCTGGTTGGTGGCCTGGCGCAGAGCAGTGAGGACGACACCGCGGTAGAGGACCCTGACACCCTCCTCGCGGACGATTGTGTAGGCGCAGTGGGCGGCGTTGCGGTATCGGGGAGCGTCGACGGCAAGGGCTTCGGATGGGGCGTGCGCCTGGGCCTGCAGTCTGATCTTGACGACGTCGGTGGGGTTGACGACGAGAACGGCTTCCGTCACACCGGCAAACAAACCGGCGAAGAAGATGCCGGTCGCGGAGGTCTTGCCGGTCTCTTTGTTGGCAAGCAGGCCCTTGAAGCTCTCAAAGGAGGAGAAGCGGATAGCCATCTTCGGGACAATACCGGTGATGACTGCGCCGAGACCCTTGTAGAGCGCGAAGAAGCCCTCGTGCGAGATGATCGAGGAGGCAGTGCCAAAGAAGCCGATGCGCTTTGCGCCATCGACGGCCTTGGTCGCGAGCTGCATGCGGACTTTGATGGTGTCGAGGGGGTGGCAGGAGAGGGCCTCGCAGAGACCAGCAGTTCCTCCGGAGAGGAAGTTGATGATGGGGGTGGATTTCTTTCTGTCGCGGGACATTGTGACGAGGGCTGTGGATTAGTAGATGGAGGCGGGCAGGGGGGTAGTGGGAAGAGGAGGAGGAGGAAGAAGGAAAGGGAAAGCAGTCGGGAAGCAGGCTCGAGCAGAGGAAGAGGAAGCGGGGGAGACGAAGATTCTTATTTAAAACTTGGGCGGGGAGAAAGACCGCGCGATGAGCAGCAGACCCGGACGGCAGTGAGCATATCGAGAGCCCCTCCACCGCAGACACGGACATACTCGCGGCGCCCGCTCTGGGCGCCTTCTCATTTGATATCGAAAGTATCCCAAAGTGCCTGGCTTCGGGGCGCTGCTTACGAAGCTGGAGATAAAGAGCAGACCAGGCAATAAGAGGACGAGAAGACTGCGAGAACGTGGAGTACTGGTGCTCGTCGTAGGGAAAAGCGCATGATTTACATCAATTATCTTCCTCAATTTACAATTATCTCACTTTTATTCTTCTTCTTCTTCTCTTCCTCGTCCAGACCATCGCCGCAGGCTGCAACTTCTGCTTTATCCGCTCGCAATCCTCACTTCGGCTTTATTTCTGCCGATTCGCGCTCTGCTTCCTGATCCGCTCTTGTCCCCATGGTGGGGGCTTATATCGCATTATTTTGTGCACTTATGCCTAATCCGTCAAACCTTGCCGGAGCGTCCTCGGGAGTCTGGGTTCAGGCACCCGACGCGCGGCGGGCTCCGCAACCCGTTCCGAGCCTGAGCCGGCCCTCGGATTTCTAATAACTCGATAAGAGCACGTCTGGTTGTTGAATAATTGTCTGCGATTGTAAATATGAATGTGATATATAATACTGTTTATTGTTTCTGGTAGCAATTGCTCGATATCGCAGCAATTAGACTAACGAGCAGTGTCTACAGCGCTCAGGAGCCGTCCTCGAGAGCTAACACCCATTCATCCCATCCCGCACTTTTCTTTCTGTCCTCCGTTCCCTCTCCACTATCCCTTCTCTGCATCGGCTGTCCACTTTCTGACTTCCGCTTCTCCTTACGGCTTTCTCCATATCTCTCAAGCCGCTGTCCGGTTATAGTTCAGCACAAGGTCCTTCATCCGCCTTCTCTCTTCCTGCTCGGCCTCATGCTTCTTCCGTGTAGATATCGCTATCGTAGAATCAGCCGGTACAGCAACCGTGTGTACCTATATTTATTCCAATTAGCATCATCATCTTCTTCTGCTTCATCATATTCCCTCCCATTCTCAACTCAGAATAAAAACAATGCAAACTCACCTGTTGCCGATTCCCCTTCTTTGTCAATAGCCGGAACTGAACCTTGTTCTTCTCCTGCGGCTTACCATCCTCCTCCTCATCATCCTTCTTCGTCATATCCTGAACTGAATATCCCTGCTGATGATGACCCTGGCCCTGTCCCTGCATACGCATCATCGGTAACGGCACGTCAAATGCAATCCGCTTCTCTAGCTTCCGCGACTCAAGACTCTCCGTCATCATCCTAGAAAATTCCCGGTCAAACTCCTCATCCACTACCGGCGTATTCCGCCTCATAATCTCCTCTTCTTCTGACGACTCCCCATCGGACGACGACTCAAGATCCGACTCATCATCGTCTTCATCATCATCATCATCATCGTCGTCATCGTCATCATCCTCTTCATCCTCTCCATCACCATTTTCACCCACTCCGTTACCCACCTCGCCCGCTTCCACTTCCATCTCATCGTCCTCCTCCATCTCATCGTCCTCCTCTTCATCTTCCTCCTCCTCTTCCTCCTCCCCATTCAAACTCAAATCACCAAACGCACTCGCCATCGCATCTGTTAGTCCCTTGGCTGCCTCCTCAAGACTCTCGCTCAATTTCATGTCCGGTCGCACTGACTGAATCATATCATGTAAAGCAAACTCAACATCCATCGGAAGCGGCGTCACCTTTGTAAAGCAATAGTACTGGAAAAACGCCAAAAACAGTTCCATCTTCTTTTTCCCACTCCCTCGATCGAAATACATCCCGCACGTCTCAAGAATCGTGCAGACAAGTCGTATCCGGAAATAATCGTCCGGCGGATCGGCTGAAGAAATTACCCCCGGCTGAGGCCGTCCTCCTTCGTGCCCAAATCCGACAATCGTATACAGTGTATCAAATATAATCGGAGAATCAATCACTTTGTAATTGAACATCTCTGCCAAATACTTCACCGTAGCGATCCTCTGCTGATTCTCCTTGAAAACATTTCGCTCCAGCCCAACTCGCACGCTCTCGAGGCAGCCGTCAATCAATCGCACGATAAACTCCTGATGATAAACCGACAGACATCCGGCAATCACAGCCATCAACGATATGTTGCTGTACTTCACCTTCCAAATCTTTCGAAACACTTTCTCAACCACCTGCACTGTCTCTTCGTCATTCCAATCCAGCTTGCGGAACTGTTTCAGCACCCCATGATACGTCTGTCGGTTCAAATCCACATAAACCAGCTTCCGAACGTACTGCTCCACCACCGACCGCTCTTTCTGAATAATCGCCGGTCGCTCGGGTGGGTTGACATAATAGAAAGCGTTCTCGAGCAGAATTCGTTCCCGCGCATCAAGCATTTTGGCGGATTTCTTCTTCCACATAATCTGCAGCAACTCGGCCATCAAATCGCGGGAGTCTTCATTTCGTAGCAAAAATCGTCCGCATGACTCGAGCAGATTACTCAACGTCTCAATCTCATTCCTGCCAAAGCCGTCGACCAGAATCTTGATGCAATTGAAAATAACATGGCCTGGAACCACACGGAACTTAACCAGCTCCGAAATATATCGAATATTTCGCGATCGCGCCTCTGACAAGCCCCGATCTGCCATTCCCCCGCTACCAGCTCCGGCTATACTCCCACGTTTTCGAATCAAAACCTTGAACTCACGCTGCAAGTATCGCACTATGGTCGTCCCAATATCTGGTAGATATTTATTCAAAGTCGCAATCAACCTTGAATATACTGGAATCAGATCCTGCCGATTCTTTGGTATAGACTCTAAGCTAGTAACCAGCCTGTTTCGAGAGGCCTTTGAATTCAGAAAGCAAAAATCAATAGCGAGCTGATCTATAGACTCCCGCGTCGAAAGCTCGGGAAGTCTAAGAAGGATCAGATCCATCTGCGCTCCAATTGATGGATTTGATATTCCCCCCGGACCTGTCGACTCAACATCAGCCTCTTGATCGGCTTTCATCACTAGCGATCCATTGTCATCCAATTCTGCATCTGCAAGATCGTCGTCAACTTCTAACAATTCACTTTCGGCAGTCGGCTTTGATTGCGTAGCGTTGGAATCATCGTCGCTTGCGCTCTTCCGATTGCCAGAATCTAGAAACTCTTGAGGAACCCGAATTCGTAAGTCCAAGACATCCTCATAGAATTTCTTCTGCTCCTCGTCTTCCCAGATTCCGACGTCCTCAGATCCATTTCCAAAACCGCCTTTTGTGAATGTAAACTGTGCGCTCTGAGTGGGAGCGTCTTTGGCGTCTTGTTCAGATATATCCGGCATCTCAATCTCAAGGGCATCAGCCAACCTGTAACAAAAGGTCAGTTTTTGCTAATTCACGTTCACTGTATCTCTTTCACTCAAATAAACTTACACTTGGGCATTCGCAAGCATTTTTTCTTCGGTTTTCTGCAATTTTTCGAAGTTTGCCTGTCGATCCTCGAAAATCTCCCCTGAACGCATATACGCCGCATTGTTTCGCTTTTCTTGCTCTTTCAAAAACTAAAAGAGGTAATGTTAATATCAAACTTGGAAGGGTAGTCAGAAGTGAATTGTATACCACTCCTCCTCTTAACTTACCTTATGATTCTTCAGAATATGAATTGAGAGGCTTTTGAAATAAGATTCAAGAACTGCCCGGAATTGCTTTCTTAACTCCAAAGTCATGACTCCGTAAATCTGAGACTCGTCGGCAGACACAGGTTTTGATGCGTCTGTAGTTGAGGGCGGAGACGGCTGCGCTTCATCAACAGTCTCTTGGCTATTCGTAGCATCTAGCCTCTCCGCTCTCCGTTTCGGCGCACCCAGTATATCAACACCAAAATTCTTGATAAATGCTGCCGCCAAAGGGAGATAGTAAAATTCTTTGAGATCAGTGCTCAACAGCTCGCGCAGAACCTCAAGAGGAATAGGTATACTGATATGAGCTCCAGAATCGCGAGAGTGACTTGACGTCCCAGAACTACTGCCGCGCGAGCTGTGCTTTGTCGTGCTGGCATCAGCACTCCCTTCCGCAGCTTTTCGAGCATCGTCACTAGTTCGAGCAACTCCACACAGCCATAATTCGGTCACCAGTCGTAACAGTCCTCGCTGACGAATGAGCCTACTTGAGTCTTCCTTTGATCGCTGCTCCGGGGTGAGTGAGGCTAACTGAGCTTGAGTAGGATTTGCAAAGGCTCGCAGCAGATACAACATCAAAGTCGGGGTGAAAGATGCCTCGAATCGCTGATGCAGAGCAGATGTCACTTCGACACCAGCCCAGATATCATTTGTCAGCCGACACTTTCCCAATCCCTCTGCTGCTGCGCTAATAATCTCCGAAAGATATTTTTCAAGCGAAAGAGAAGCGATCTCACGAATCAATAGTTGTTGATTCTCGGCATTAACGGAGGTTCGAAGACGTTTGATGAATGCTGTATTTTTCTTCAAACTCGAATCTAAACTTGACGCCGTTTTGAACAAGTCTATGCAAACATGTCAAATCGTCAGTACTCATTCGACCTATATTCCCGAAATACCACTCACTTTGCTCGCCATTCCACGCGCGTTGATTTAGATCCAGGAGATGTAAGCGGCGTAGCCGGCGAGAGTCCTCATCACTGGGTCCCTACAATCCTGTCAGCTTCCATTTCACCATAAATCTCAGTTCCTCAAGCGGGAGATAGTCATAAATCAATCAATAGCTGATCACTCACCTCGGCCATCGCTCATGCCCGTTATAATTGATAAAAGTGCTGGAGGCAAGATCACCCGATGCAAATCAAGATATCAAATGACTTCTCATGCAGAATTAACACTGAAACTCCAGGATATGTGTTCTTCGTTCTGTATTGGGCTGAAGGAACGCAGTAAATATAGCTCAGGATGTCGGATCGAGGTCATGAATTGATTAAAAGCGCGCTTGTTGAGCTTGCCCACAATCTGATGCCAAATATGAGTACAGATCACGTGACGAGTATTTTTGTCTTGGACAATTTGAGCTTGCAGAATTCTATCTCCGGACCTGCTATCATCGCGTATTTTTACTATGCCAAAGACACTCGAAAGAAAGAATGACACTCTAGAGGAAGAATGAGCGGGAAAACTTCAGCGCGGTTCTTTTTTCTATGTGTCGGGTGGCTGGGGGGCCTAGATATTTGATTTGAGCAGCACATATTTAGGCGCTTCTTGCATATCAAGCTCGGCAAACAGCTTTCCCGCTAATTGAGGTCTCGCAAAATTGCTGTTCTTACCTACTTGGAAATCTGCTGCTCGTTCTGGAAATGTAGAAAGCTAGCACTGAGCCCCGAATACCTTGGATAGTGCAATGAGAACTATTGGTCTCTCTATTGCCCCCACAATGTCATGTAACGCTTCCTTTCAGTATTCCAGTCGCTCCTTATTGATGGTTGGTAGTTTAATTTTTGATTCTCAGCTTCCTCATGGTTATAACGCAATGCAAAAAGATAAAAGCCAACTAATCCATAGATCGAGAAACATCCGTAAAGATAGATCGAGAAACATCTGTAAAGATTTTCTACTAGGAAGTCTCCAAATCAATTAAGATAATATGATTAGAATAGTAATAGTAGCTATATTCCCAGAGATCTCATTTCTAACTATCACGGTTTTCCCGGTTATACCGGATCAGTAAAGTGAAGCTCCTGATATCATTCTGCTGCTGAGCTGAAGGGCGAGTAAGGCAAGAAAAGCGCGGATCTCTAGATATTGAATCTGACTCTCAAAGCTGTGGCAATGAGCTAGCTACTTGGTGGAGGGGCCACACCTTGGATGCCAGAAAGAAGGCTGTCAAATGGATCTACCCATCTCTTTATGGCTTGAGTTGCCAACCTGAAACGACATGGAAAGCCTTTGCGTGCCTTCAGCCAAACAGAAGTTTTTGTAATAGCTGTCATTATCGATCTGATATTTGCTTGCCATTCGCTGGCCCAGTGCGTCTGCTAATAATATAAACGGCGACTCCGCGCTCTGGGATCAGCAAGGCATGCAGACACGTCCCCAGACTGCACCCATCTTTGGATTTCTATACAGCTACATCTGAAGGCGCGCTTTTGAAACAAGGAAAAGTTTTTGGGGGGGGGAATGATTTCCGCATTTTGAAGGACGACCGCGCCTGTCTATTGACAGTTCATTGGCCAGTATTCTGCGCAGCATTGTCAACTGATAGTACAATGAGTTTCCGCACCGGACATGGCTTCTGCAAAAGCCATGTCTTAGCTTCCTCTAAGGATCATCACCCTTCTCCAGAGTGCTGGTGTGAGAATTTTTGGGCAGGCGGTCCAGTAAATCCCCCTCTGATGCCTCAAGCACACGGTCAATAAGCTGTCGTCATCTGGAGTATTGCTGCCTCTGAAAGCTTGCCAGCTTACATTGTTCGACCAGGAATAATCTTCCAACTTCTGACAAATATTCTGGGAAGATCCAAATCGATAATGGTGGCTGTTATCATCAGTGGTCTTCTGTGAGCCAGAAATCAGAGGGATAATTGTGAATTGATGATGATGATTATAATTATGACAGATCTAATTTTATAGTCCATGTGCAACATCCAGGCTATGATGGACGGCCTCCCCCGCGCCACTGATAATAATACAAACAAAACAGATTCCAAGATCGTGACACAATCATGAATAGTTCAACATAAACTGACATTTCCAAGTCAAAATCCCAGAAACGTTTTGCAGAATTCAAACAAGCAAGTTTGCTGTCATTTCTCTGCGCTTTCTCTATAAGTTAGTGGATGACCTCGCTTTTAAGGATTGGAATGCCAGGTTTCAAACCGCGCCTCGATCAGAATACTATACATATGAAGGCAAGCCTCGATTCTATATTGACAAACCCCTTAAGCATATCCCTCGCAGCGGTGCCAGCTGTATTGTGAGCTTCTGGACTGGACATGGCTTTTTCGACAGCTACTTTGCAAGGCATGGCAAAGAGCCTCGTCCTTCTCCAGAGTGTTAGTGTGGAATCCCACTGCAGTCAGTTGAGCATGTGCTTCTTTTTTGTTGCAATCACAGCGATGAACGAACTAGCGCTTTTGAAGATATCTTCTATCGCTGAACGCACGCTCAACCGCATTCTATGGACCGACAAAGGTCTTTCTGCATTTGTCAAATATCATCAGAAGACCCAGGTTGGCACTGGTCACTGGTATCATCAGCAGACCTCTCTCACTCAGAGCCGGAGGGATGACTTATGGATCAATGTTTTGGTGGATTTGAGAGCGGGCTTTTCCAATTTCGATATGGATGAGTGGTAATGAGGTCTCTTGAGGGAGTTGATAGCTTGGAAAGTTATTATTGAATTTTTTGGATTTTTATCTTTTATTTGAAATATATAATAGTGAATTTTGCGGAATTTCTTCGTGTTATTTTTGACTTGGAGATTTATTTGTTTTTGTGACATGATCTTAGGATTTATTTTGTTCTATTATTATATAGTGGAGAAGGGCGGGATTGTTTGTCATAACACAGTTGTTGCAACAGACTTAAAACAGAGACTTATCATCATCATCATCATCATCATATGTTTGAATAAACGATAAAAATCCACAAAATTCTCACTGATAAATATATATCCAAGCTATCTGCTACATTCCAGGTCCTCCATGCTACCCATTCAGCTCAAAATCTCATCCCCAAGTCCTACTCCTACACCTGCCAAATGGACCTCTCTCACTCGAGCCAGAGGGATGATTTATGGATCAATTTTTGGTGAATTTGAGAGCACGCCTTACAAATTTCAGGATGGATGGATAGCAGTGAGGTCTCTTGAGGAAGTTGATAGCTTGGACAACTATTATTGAATTTTTAGGATTTTAATCTGTTATTTAAGATATGTCATAATGAATTTTGCAAAATTTATTATTTGTACTATTTTTGACTTGGAGATTTATTTGATATCAATTTGCTTGTTATTGAGACACGATCTTAGGATCCATTTTGCTTTATTATATAGTGGAGAAGGGGGAGCTAGTCTGCCATTACTCAGATGTTGAAACGGACTTAAAACAGAGATTAAACATCATCATCATCAAACCTGCGAAGTGGTTTAACTACAAGGTGCTATGAAACAGTGATTCCGCATAGATTTGCAGGCATGTGAGTTAATTTACGAAGTTCAAAGAGGCGCTAGGGAAACTCTAATGAGATTTTCAATAAACAGAATATCAGTCTTCTATCTTTTATCGTAAATGATCGATGCTGAGCAGCTATCAACGCGATAGTAATAGCGATTGTGTCATAAAAACACCTTTTATGCGTTTAGTATGCAATATGACACTGTTTGGGCACTGCAGATGCTACAAATGAAGAGTGGGAGACCCTCAATTCATGCTGGAACAATATCATAATGTCTCCAGATGAGGCGACTTATAACCAACACATGATCAGATTTCGAAGACAATGTGGATTATGGCGCATCAGAACAAGTAGAGTATGCTTTCAGGACTTAGTTGGATCCATTTAAAGCGAGTCTGGTGGAAGCCTGGGTCGATCAAATTTCTCATTTGAGAGATACGTCCACATTGCAAGTGATGAGGATGATGATGATGATGATGAATCTTTTTATTATAGTCTATTTGCAACAACTAGGTTATGACAGACTGTCTCCAACTTCTGCCAGTTTTTAATCTCCATTTTTCTAGTCCAACTTCAATTTTTCCATCTCCCTGATAGGATATCCAAGTATGCCTGCCTGAAGTGGACGACAAGCTATCCAGTAGGTGCTTCAGTTCAACCATTGCCAGAAAGGGAAGGCATGTAGTAAAGTCCATAGTATAATCCATAAAATCCGGGGGATCTCATTTCGTTCACCACTTTGTTGTAAACTTGGTGCTACTGCGGTGGCGGGCTCAATATAAATTTTGCAACCAAAACCATTTTTTGCTGAAAATTATCAAGGTGAAAAATGGGGGTGTTCGATATTAGGCAAAATCCAGGAAAGTCTCCCAAGCGGGGCTCGAACCATAGATCTTAAGGGAGCAATGCAGGGCCATACTGCAGGGCCATATCACTACTCTCTTGGAGGCTGCTTGAGTTGCTGAAGCCAGGGCACCAATGCTACCTTCAACTTTGAAAGCGGAGCGCAGCCAATAGATAGAGACTTTGGTGATGGTTTCAGTCAGTCGGTTGATGGCTTGATAGATCTCAGTAGCTTGGCGTTGATTTGAGCCACGCTGAGGTTTCCCGGGGCAATAAATCTCTGTTTAAGTCTGTAGCAACAACTAGGTTATGACAGACTCTCTCTTCCCTCTCCACTATATAATAAAAAAATAGATTTCAAGATCATGACACAATAACAAAGAAATCAACAAATAAATCTTCAAGTCAAAAACAAAACAAAGAATTTTTGCAAAATTCAATAGAACATAATGCCTGTTGGCTTGTAGCGGTGCATCCCTTGTAGCGGCGCGCTTTTATCCACATCTTCCTACAAAAAGAGCAATCTCTCAACCACAACAGGTTACATTGATATTAAGACTACCTAGAATAACAAAGAACTGACATTTCTGCATCTTTTTACAAGTGCACGTAGTAACGTCACTGGCAATAGTTTCGTGCAGCGATATAGTCCCGCACACTTTCAACCATAATTATCATATAAATCAACCACAACAAGTTAAATCGAT